GCACCCGGAACACGTGGTCTATGAATAGCCTGGCGGTCTGCTCCTGACACTTCCCCCCTGGGGCTCCCCTGGCCTTGACCACCGGCGCCCCCTTCTGGGAATCCTCTGATTCGCTGGAAAGACTCATGGAATCTCTTGAGTCATTGTCATCCTCTTCCTCGCTGGCTTGGAATTCCTGCCCATCGCTCTCCATCTCCTGCCTACCCTGTGCCTCTCTCCCTGAACCCCTGACAAATACGATATTATACACTGGAACCTCGGTTGTCGAACGTCATGGCCGTTTGACTTCTGAAACGTTTGACAACCGAGGCGCAATTTTGCTGGTCGGCAAATTCCCTTTTTAAAAATGGAGAAACGTGATTCGGAATCCGTTCCGACTTCCAAAAAACGTTCAGAAATGGAAGGTTGTAGGCAATTGGGTTCCGAATTGTTCAGCTTCCGAAGCCGTTTGACAACCAAGGTTCTACTGTATATGCTACATGACTACTATGGTTATTATTACCATGACTATTATTACTATTACTGCCATGGCTGCAAATATTTAACATTCATCAGCCATGAATAAGGTACTATACAGAAGATAGCAGGCACTGCAATTTGCAATAGAGGGACAAGAAAATGATAGGGGACAGTCCAAGAATTGATACATGAAGAATATATATTCGGTAAGGTAATTATCAGGTGCCAGCAGAGGTATAGAGAAGATGAGGCATCAGTGATTCAGGAAATACTTTAATAACTAGCTACATTCCTCCTTTTTTTGTTTTCTTTAACAACGAGTCTTCAATACTTGAAAGCTGACTCATGTAATTTCTGTTTGCTCTCATTAAACCTATGATGATGCCGTTCCTGTTTGGGTTTTAAGGAGCGACTTGGAAGATAATATTAAATTTATCTCTGTAATTAGATAAGATAGATAAATACAGATTTCTAACACTGACACATTGATCAGGATGTCTTGGAACACTTAACATATTATCAGCCGAAAATGCAGGCGCAGTAGGTAAAAACATTGGGTTGTGTTCAATTAACTTTTATTCAGAGCAGGCCAACTGAAATCAATATTTATAGCAAATATTATGGGCAGTATGGAGAGATACAAAATATGGATTATGAAATAATATGGAGTTGAGAAGGTGGAAAATAGGAAGAATGGAGGGGAAGGTGGGAAGTCCCGAGATTCGGGGAAATCTCTAAATCTGGATATGTAATTTGTATTGTTATAATCCTATATTTGTAAAATCAAATAAAAATTATTTCAAAAAACCCCCAAAATGCACAAAAATGGTACTTTTAGGGAGATCCTTTTTACATCAGCCCTGCCCTGCTGACCTCAGTTTCCACTTTGATAGATTGCTAGTTGAGCCACAAAGCCAGTTAATTTCAAGTGTGGTTCTTTCCAATAATTAAAGTCAATGGGCATTCCTCCCTCTTCTCAAGAAACGAAAATAACTATATACGGTATATATAAAGTATTTTTGCTGTTACGTTAATGATGTTCATCTCCGAAGATTAGTCTTATTTTCTCTAACCACTAGATGGCACCTGTCACCCAGTGTTTCTCAACCTTGGGTCCCCAGATGTTGTTGGACTACAACTCCCATAATCCCTGAGCTCTGGCCCTGCTAGCTGGGGATGATGGGAGTTGTAGTTCAACAACATCTGGGGACCTAAGGCTGTGAGGTTTTATTCATTGGAATAGTATAAGCACAAAGGCAGCTGTTGCTACATCCCTTGCTTGCGTTGAAACTCTTCCGCCTCAGTCATCCTAATCCATTGGTAGGCAAACTAAGGCCCGGGGGCCGGATCCGGCCCAATCGCTTTCTCAATCCGGCCCGTGGACAGTCCGGGAATCAGCATGTTTTTACATAAGGAGAATGTGTACTTTTATTTCAAATGCATCTCTGGGTTATTTGTGGGGCATAGGAATTCATTCATCCCCCCCCCCCAAATATAGTTTGGCCCACTACATGGTCTGAGGGACAGTGGACCGACCCCCTGCTGAAAAAGTTTGCTGACCTCTGTCTCATCCGACTAACGAAACAACTCGGTTGTTTCTTACAGTGTGCATGGATACAGTCAAGTTAGAGATGGTGATACCTACACGTCAACAAAAGACCTTCCACAATTTTCTTTTCTTTTCTGAAGCTGATGTAATTATCCCAGTTTATTAAACATAATCCATGCTTTCCAAATCCTAAGAGGAGGAACTGCTTGCAAGCAGAATGAGCATTGCTCTCAAATCAGAAAAGTACAGAATGGTAAGAGTACTCAGAATTATCCAAAGGGAGGGCGTTCCACAGGGCGGGCGCCACTACGAAAAAGGCCCTCTGCCTGGTTCCCTGTAACCTCACTTCTCGCTGTGAGAGAACCACCAGAAGGCCTTCGGAGCTGGACCTCAGTGTCCAGGCTGAACGATGGGGGTGGAGATGCTCCTTCAGGTATACAGGACCGAGGCCGTTTAGGCCTTTAAAGGTCAGCATCAACACTTTGAATTGTGCTCGGAAACGTACTGGGAGCCAATGCAGATCTCTCAGGACCGGTGTTATGTGGTCCCGGTGACCACTCCCAGTCACCAGTCTAGCTGCCGCATTCTGGATTAATTGCAGTTTCCGGGTCACCTTCAAAGGTAGCCCCACGTAGAACGCATTGCAGTAGTCCAAGCGGGAGATAACTAGAGCATGCACCACTCTGGCAAGACAGTCTGCAGGCAGGTAGGGTCTCAGCTGGCGTACCAGATGGAGCTTGTAGACAGCCGCCCTGGACACAGAATTAACCTGCGCCTCCATGGACAGCTGTGAGTCCAAAATGATTCCCAGGCTGCGCACCTGGTCCTTCAGGGGCACAGTTACCCCATTCAGGACCAGGGACCCCCCCCACCCGCCCGCCCCGTCCCCCCAAAACAGTACTTCTGTCTTGTCAGGATTCTATCTCAATCTGTTAGCCGCCATCCATCCTCCAACCACCTCCAGGCACTCACACAGGACCTTCACTGCCTTCACTCGTTCTGATTTAAAATACTTTGAAATGCCGTATTTTTTGCTCTATAAGACTCACTTTTTCCCTCCTAAAAAGTAAGGGGAAATGTGTGTGCGTCTTATGGAGCGAATGTAGGCTGCGCAGCTATCCCAAAAGCCAGAACAGCAAGAGGGATTGCTGCTTTCACTGCGTAGCGATCCTTCTTGCTGTTCTGGCTTCTGAGATTCAGAATTTTTTTCCCCTTGTTTTCCTCCTCCAAAAACTAGGTGTGTCTTGTGGTCTGGTGCGTCTTATAGAGAGAAAAATACAGTACTTGCCAGAGTACAGTGGAATGTTGGTTCTCGTATGGCTTAGCTGACGAACAAATGGGCTCCCAAATGCCGAAAACCCAGAAGTGAGTGTTCCGGTTTTTAAAAGTTTTTTGGAAGTCGAACATCCGATGCGGCTGTTGGCTATTGTTTCCGGGGTGCCGGCACCAATCGAAAGTCGCGCCTTGGTTTTCGAACGTTTCGGGAGTCGAACGGACTTCCGGAACGGATTAAGTTCAAGAACCAAGGTTTCACTGTATAGCGAAACATGAGCAGGTTGCATCTGAGGCAATGGAACGGGCAGGTTTCCCTGCAAAACCCTTCACACCACCTCTCACACTGTCCAAGGACTCTGTAGGAACAATAGTGCTGTTAACACGCACCTGCCAATTTTACAAGGCAGTATAACGTAGCTTTCTGTCTTCCAATTGGGATGCTTGAGGATTTCAATCGCTCCAGAGTTTAGCACAACAGAAAACTTTCAGATCAGAATGTAGATCTGTGGATTAATTCACAGTTATATGAAACTTTCCTCTGCATGGCCCAGTTAACTTAAGTTTTATGATGTGGTCCCAAGCGCTGCCTTTAAAAAGAAAGAAATTTGTGTGAAGATGTTTGAGGAAGCAGCCATGCTGTCACTTCCTGAGTAATTGTACAGAAAAACAAGATGACTGCTTCTATGTACCAGTGGGGGTGATTATTGCCTTTCCTGTACAATGTCCTTGCTAGGCTTGAAATTGAGGAGAGGAGAAAGAAATAGGGCAGCCTTCAAGCTTCCTAGTAAAGAGTTACTTAAAAAAACCCTAAGATTTTTATTTAAAGTGAGTTTTTAAAAGGATTTCCCCATAAAATCCACCGAAATGGGATGGACTTCATGCACAATCTCCCTCCTCTGCCAGAGGCCTCCATGGGATCCAACGGATCTGTGCGAGGGACACCATTGGATACAAACCCCAGATTAATTCCATGGCATAATCTCTTATCAGCTGCAGGGCTAGGAAGTATCTCGGTCGTAGTATTTGGAGAGGTGCTTCTGGCTAGGGCAGGATTAGAGAGGCTGATGGATTTGACCTGGCGCAAGTCGACCTATTGGGAGTTTTAAGAGCGCATATTCTGCTATAGCAAATTGCTCCCCTGCTCTTTCAAAACGAGAATTTTGATTATGTTTCTGTGACTTTCTTTCCCTCTCCCAAAGAACTGTTTGTCAATAAAACTGATGCCCTCCGTTGGCCTCTCTCTCTGCGAAACAAACCTCTTTGCGAATGCTTAAGGTAGGCTGTTTGGCAACGAGAACATAACATACTTTTTTTTTTTTTTACACCATCTCAGTTTGAAAAGTGGTTGAGGAACTTCATTTCACACAATTTGTTTCTTGTCCATGCCAGCAAGTCCTGGTCTTGCTGCTACGGCAGGAATTGACGTAAACTGGTTAACGGTAGAAAAAGGGTTCGGGTATCCATGTGAACACGTGCCGGCAATGTTTCCTAAATGAAAAACGTCGCGTGTGAAGCAGCCCACCGGAAATGGTAGCTATACAGAGAACCTGTAGCATGTTGTGAGAGCTTTGGGGTTGTGAGAGAGGGAAATACATACTCTAAGGTATAAGCAATGTGCGGCAGAAACAAAATATTCACCCAGTCATGGTGTGCCGCTTATGATGGCATTAGGTTCCTAGCTGAAGTCCGGAATGCAAATATTCCCTCAGAACACAGGTTAGACAGATTACATCCAGTTTATTTATAAAAAGGTTTGTACAATTAAATTATATATATATTTAAAATTTTACACCCTCCTTCCTTCATTTGATTTCTAAGGAAATTGGTCCCAGTGGTTTTACACTGCTGTCTCTTTCGACTCGGGCAACTGTGGAGGCTTAAAGTTCGTCACTTCTTTGAATGTGATGCCTGGGGAAACAAGAAAGAAAAAGAATTGCTTTCGCATTCAGGGAAATAATGACTCACATCCCTATTTCTTATTGTGAAGTACCACCAGACAGGGAAAATATCCCACCCCCATCATTGAGAGTGTGAGGGCCTCTGATTTAGCTATAATTAATTATATGTTAATAACATCTATATCAGGCATAGGCAAACTCTGTCCTCCAGATGTTTTGAGACTACAATTCCCATCATCCCTGACCACTGGGCCTGTTAGCTAGGGAGTTGTAGTCCCAAAACATCTGGAGGGCTGAGTTTGCCTATGCCTGATCTATATCTTCATTATTAACTATAATATTTTATACGGTATATATATATATACCGTATTTTTTGCACCATAACACTCACTTTTTTCCTCCTAGAAAGTAAGGGAAAATGTCTGTGCGTGTTATGGAGGGAATGCCTACGGGTGGCATGCCTACGGATTTTCCTCCTCTACGTGTGTGTTATGGTTGGGTGAGTGTTATAGAGCGAGAAATACGGTATATAATCCCTATTATAGGTATTACAACAGGTCAGACTGGCTTGATGAATCAACAGCAGTGAAACCAAAACTATGCAAGAGGAGAAGGTAGATGACATGACAATTGAGTGGAGAGCCATAACTCATGTTGTCAAACACACACTTTGCAAATAGAAGATGCCAGATCCTATTTCAGGCATATCCTCTTAAAATTGCAGGAATTAGGGCTCAGAATGTCCTCTGCTTAAGACAGGAAGCTGTCCTAATGGAAACTGTCTACAATGGCTTTCTACATTACGTCTGCCATTCTTAGGCCAGCGATGGAGAACCTGTGCCTCTCCAGATGTTACTGGATATAGCTGCCATCATCCTAACTATTGGTCATGCTGGCTAGGGCTGATGGGGGGGTCAGAGTCCAATTGCACCTGATGTCCATAGATTCCCCATCCCTGGCCTAAGACCTGTTTCCCAAACATGGGACTCCAGCTGTTTTTGGACTACAGTTCCCATAATCCCTGACCACTGGTCCTGATAGCTAGGGATGATGGGAGTTGTAGTCCAAAAAAACGGCTGGAGCCCCAAGTTTGGGAAACAGTGAAGTAGGCAATATGTGGATTAGCAGTCTGATTTGTTGCACAATACAAATGTTGATAAATAGGTGATAAACATGGGGGAACGGGAGTAGAATGGAAAGGAAAACTATACAGAACCAATGAGGGCTGGAGGGAGGAGGACACATATAGAAATTCACTGCATCGGATTTCTAAATTCACCTGAAGTATATTTTAATTATAAGCCTATTTGCACAAGAGCCCATAGATGTTTTCTGTCCTAGCCTGAAGATTGCCAAAATGTACCAAACGTACATTTCCACTCATCCAGGGGCAGATCCATGTTGTCAAAAGTGTCGTCGTATTTCTCTGCTTCGGTTTCCTCTTCAGGATCATGAATGGCTTCAAAGTAAGGGTGCGCTAAAGCTTCTGCAGCCGTCACTCTCTTCTCTGCGTCTAACACCAGCATCTTCTCCAAAAGGTTCACAGCTGGATCAACAAAGGAGAGGGAAAGCACTAAGACCCAGCACGAAACGTAATGATTTTAATTTTCCAGCAGCAGGTCAGGTTTAAGAAAATAATGCCGAGCTTAACTATGCTAATGGACGATCATATAGATCAGGAGTGGCTTTTGCAGTTTCAGAGGCCACTCAGTTCCTTGGGATTGAAGCAAATTCATCCAGCTGCACTGGTTCCTGGTGGAGTACAGGGTCAGGTTTAAGGTGCTGGTTTTAACCTTTAAAGCCCTATATGGCCTAGGACCCTCATACTTACAGGACCGCCTCTCCTGGTTCGCCCTACGGAGGACCTTACGGTCCACAATCATACTTTGGAGGTCCTGGGCCTCAGGGAGCTTAGACTGGCCTCGACCAGGGCCAGAGCCTTTTCTGCTGCGGCCCCAGCCTGGTGGAATGCTCTGTCGCAAGAGACCAGGGCCCTGTGGGATCTGACATCTTTCCGCAGGGCCTGCAAGATGGAGCTGTTGCACCAGGCCTTTGGTCCAGACCCAGTCTGACCCCCTTCCTTCTTCCCTCTTTCTATGGGACTCTGTATGTAAGTGGCCTCTTGGCTCCTCCTATTGGCCCACATGGGACCAGCACGGGTGGCCAGGCCTGGTGAACATTTAATATTCCTTACCCCTACGGTTGTGATTCATGGGTTCCCACCTGATTTGATTTTAAATGTGATTTTGAACTGTATTTTAATCAATTGTTTGATTTTGTGTTTTTAATGTATTATGTATTTGGTGTTAGTCACCCTGAGCCCAGTCTTGGCCGGGGAGGGCGGAGTATAAATAAAATTATTATTAATATTATTATTATTATTATTAGGTACGCCTAGAAGGAAGAGCGTATCCTTACAAATCACGAAAGTAGGGACAGCATGAGGCCATTAGGATAGGAAGGGGAAGGGATTGCTGAAACAACAAGAGAGATTTTGCAGCTTTATTGACTTTCTGGAATACTCGAGATAGCCTTATAATAAAAAGTATATGATATAAAGTTGGCTTCACATTATTTCTCTGAGTAGCTACTGGTGCAATATTACAATAAAACCAAAAAGATGAAGTATGGAAACTGTCACACAGCTTTTGAAAATATTTATTTCTGCCTTACTAATGAAACAGGGACGCGGGTGGCGCTGTGGTCTAAACCACTGACTTGCCGATCGGAAGGTCGGCGGTTTGAATCCCTGTGACGGGGTGAGCTCCCATTGCTCGGTCCCTGCTCCTGCCAACCTAGCAGTTCAAAAGCACATCAAAGTGCAAGTAGATAAATAGGTACCGCTCTGGTGGGAAGGTAAACGGCATTTCCGTGCGCTGCTCTGGTTTTGCCAGAAGCGGCTTAGTCATGCTGGCCACATGACCCGGAAAAACTGTCTGAGGACAAATGTCAGCTCCCTTGGCCAGTAAAGCGAGATGAGCACCGCAACCCCAGAGTCGTTCGCAACTTTACTTAACTGTCAGGGGTCCTTTAACTTTTAATGAAACAGTAACATTCTCTTATACCACACCTTGCTTCAAAGTTGGCCGTCCTAATGGGAGATGGATTAATTCAGGTGGGGATAAATATCTTGTACAGAGGAATTTTCAGATAGCAGCAAAATTATTGGAAAAGCTTGTTAGAAAAGGACAGAAAGTATCTGTCCAACTTCAATTAAACTTAATTGTTCACTGCCATGCTATACCACACAGCTTTATTATTCGTGACGTCCATCTATATTTACTTACCTAAAGGATTTGCATACTTCAAGATAGCAGCAAAGTCTTTTTTCTGCACTTTTGGAAGGCTTTTGATATAGTTCTTTGCCTTGAAAGAAGCCAAAACAGGATGTTAACATTTACAATAAAGAAATGGCATCAAATTTAGTCTGCCCCATCGGGTTTATTCTCAGTGCTATCCATGGAGTTCAAATTCAGTTGTGTCTCAGACTACTACATAATAATAAAAACGATCTTCCAAAACAAAGGTACAATGAAAATTACTATGAAAAAGCATATATGCCGTCTCCCACCTGAACTGATGCAATCCACATGACATTTCTGAATCTGCACTATGTCCTTAAGAAATCAGAGAAAGCAAGAGCTACTTACATCTTGACTTTGCAGTTTCTGAACAAAATCTTGAGTTGGTGTGCCTGTTACTTTCATTATTTCTGTGAGCTGGTCCAGGTCTGAATGCCAAAGTCAGGAGTCAAATCTTCAGTATGTATGTCAAAATAAAAAAGCATGTTGTAACAGAACTGGTTTTTCTTGCTATTAATACTGGAAAATACAACGCGTGTAAAAAGGAGAGGTGTTTTAGACGGTCTTGGCTTCTACATGCTAAAGTCTACTTGTCTCTTATACCTTCCCAAAACCACAGCTGGCTAAGGATGACCTCTGAATACCATTCAGAGATAGCAATGGGGAGGACACTTCATAGCTCAGCTTTGGACCTGACAGAAAAAATATGTTTGCACAAAGACTTGAATGAGATTATCACCCCTCTTTTATTGTCCATTCTGGGTCGTCCAACCACTGACACAGGGTCCTTTCTCTTGGCAGATCAAGATGAGCAGGTAACAGCAAAGGTTGCAAGCTCCACTATTTGACTATTGATTCAAAACCCTAAAATGTATTTTATAGAATTGACTTTTTATTTCTATTCTTTGTATATCGTATTGGTGTTTTATTGCTATGGCCAATGGCTGACACAAATAAAGATTCATTCATTCATTCATTCATTCATTCATTCATTCATGTTTCCACAAGCTTTTATAAGCCACATTAGAGCTCAGATAGTTTTATACTTCTCTTTCAAAACTAGTTATAAGGACTTTCTGCAAGCTTTTGAGGGCAGCCTTCCTTAGCTTTAGCTGTCCCTGACTTTCAGTAATACTTGCTGAGCTTCTATGTAGTCCCACAGTAGGGAAGGAAGGGACAGATACGAAGTTGTAAAGCATAGCTGGCAACCAAGTATATATGATTAACTAAAAAACCAGCCCTGTGTGCCAGGGAGTCTTACAAATGTGAATTTCTACTTGCAATTAGTAATGCAAAGCAGCCGTGATGTACTATTAAGTTTCCCTCTTTGCAAATTTTGGCCGAAACACAAACTTTAAAAAAAACCCCAGACATTTGGAAGCAAGAAGCTCAAGGGATAATTATTTGTTTAAAGTGTTTCTGAACTCGCACTCTTTTGACACCCAGATTCTTACATACTTCTACATCTTATTATTATTATTATTATTAATAATAATAATAATAATAATTTTTTATTTATATCCCGCCCTCCCCAGCCAAGGCCGGGCTCAGGGCGGCTAACAACAATAAAATAATACAACATTCTAAAATCATTTCATTAAAAAATTACTTCAAATCAAATTCATGGCAACCATTGGGCTAGAGTTCTGTGAAGATTGCCAAAGGAGGGAGTCAGGCTGTGCCCTGGCCAAAGGCTTGGCAGAACAGCTCTGTCTTGCAGGCCCTGCGGAAAGATGTCAAGTCCTGCAGGGCCCTAATCTCTTGTGACAGAGCGTTCCACCAGATCGGAGCCACAGCCGAAAAAGCCCTGGCTCTGGTTGAGTCCAGCCTAACTTCTCTGTGGCCTGGGACCTCCAAGATGCCAAGTGTTCGCCGTGAAAGGATACGATCGTTGCCTTTGAAGAGCGGCCTTCCCGTGATCATCTCAGCCATGATGCAACCCACTGACCAGATGTCAACTGAAATACAGAAAATGGTTACATTGAATTGCTGTGCGAGACCTTTTAAGTTCAGCTTATGCCTGTGCTTTATGCAGAAAAACAAATCCTTTACGAGGCAAGGCACATAAAGTATTTTGGTTTGCAATTGCAAAATGTGCATTTGGTTTCTGCAAGAGGAGTAGCGCCTTGACGCAACCCAATGTGTGCTTTTGGGGGAGCTGTGGAGGACTGGATTACAAATGTTCCTTTTCTACTTTCAAGAGTGAGCAACTATGGACGAATGCAGCAAGTTGTGATTCTGAGTTGGGGCCATCCACTGTGTCATTAGGTTTTCATTTACTGTATTTTTCGCTCTATAAGATGCACCAGACCATAAGATGCACATAGTTTTTGGAGGAGGAAAACAAGAAAAAAAAAAATTCTGAATCCCAGAAGCCAGAACAGCAAGAGGGATCGCTGCGCAGCGAAAGCAGCGATCCCTCTTGCTGTTCTGGCTTCTGAGATAGCTGCGCAGCCTGCATTTGCTCCATAAGACGCACACACATTTCCCCTTACTTTTTAGGAGGGAAAAAGTGAGTCTTATAGAGCAAAAAATACGGTATTTAATACACCTCATCATTTCTCTATGGAGCTCAAGGTCAAGCTCAAGATCAGCAAACCTTTTCAGCAGGGGGCCGGTCCACTGTCCCTCAGACCTTTGGGGGGGGGGACTATATTTGGAAAAAAATATATGAACGAATTCCTATGCCCTACAAATACAGTGGTGCCTCGCAAGACGAAATTAATCCGTTCCGCGAGAGTCTTCGTCTAGCGGTTTTTTCGTCTTGCGAAGCAAGCCCATTGACGGATTAGCGCTATTAGCGCTATTAGCGGTTTAGCGGCTATTAAAGGCTTAAAGGCTTAGGGATTAGCTGCTAAAAGGCTATTAAAGGCTATTAAAGGCTTAGCAGATTAGATAAAGGGGAAAGCGGAAAAAAAGCTCTAGACTCGCAAGATATTTTCGTCTTGCGAAGCAAGCCCATAGGGGAATTCGTCCTGCGAAGCAACTTCAAAACGGAAAACCCTTTCGTCTAGCGGTTTTTCCGTCTTGCGAGGCATTCGTCTTGCGGGGCACCACTGTAACCCAGAGATACATTTTAAATAAAAGGTCACATTCTACTCATGTAAAAACACGCTGATTCCCGGACTGTCGCCGGGCCAGATTTAGAAGGTGATTAGGCCAGATCCAGTCCCCGGACCTTAGTTTGCCTACCCCTGCTCTAGGTCAGCGGTTCTCAACCTGTGGACTACAACTCCCATCATCGCTGAGCTCTGGCCTAGCTATCTAGGGGTGATGGGAGTTGTAGTTCAACAACATCTGGGGACCCACAGGTTGAGAAAGGCTGCTCTAGGTGGTGTGGTTAGTTCTCTCCCTACCCCATTTTACCCAAGGGATCCTTTGAGGTGTGCTAGGTTGAGAGATGGTGACTGCCCAGGTCACCCAGTGAGCTTCATGGCTGAATGACTACTTGAGAAAGGGCAGTACCTCTGCAGTAGAGAATCCATTCTGCATGCAGAATGACTCAAGTTCAGCATCTCTAGGTAGGGCTGAGAACCTCACCTGCCTGAAACCTTGGGGAGCCACTGCCAAGTTAGGGTAGAAGAGTTTGGATTTGATATCCTGCTTTGTCACTACCCTAAGGAGTCTCAAAGCGGCTAACATTCTCCTTTCCCTTCCTCCCCCACAACAAACACTCTGTGAGGTGAGTGGGGCTGAGAGACTTCAGAGAAGTGTGACTAGCCCAAGGTCACCCAGCAGCTGCATGTGGAGGAGCGGAGACGTGAACCCAGTTCCCCAGATTACGAGACTACCACACTTAACCACTACACCACACTGGCTCTCTGGGTAGAGACAATGTTGAGTTAAGACGTTCCAGCAATCTGACTTGGTATAAGTTCTTAACTGCTCTGATAAATAGTGCTTTAGGCAGTTTTGCACATGATGAAGTGCAGTTCTGCAGTGATGTCCAAACTTTTTTCAAAGAGGGCCAGATTTGATGAAGTGAACATGCATGAGGGCCGGTCAAAGTTGTTGAGCTTTTTTAGGATTTTGCCCCAAAGTTGTTGACCTTTTTAAAGGATTGCTCCCCCCCTAAAAATTATTGGGTTGAACTTACATTTACCTTAGGTTAGGCCACGCCCCCCACCAACCAGATTGGTCGACCCAAGGAGTGACGCAGGGGAGAGCTCCATGATGAGCCCGCAACACCATTTCCCTGGTGAAGAGAAATGGCTTTGGCAGAGCTTTGGCTCCTGGGCAGCGCAAGCCAAGCAGCAGGCGCTCAGGGGCCGCAACAGATTCATTTCTCAGAACTGCTTGTGGGGGGTGAATTAAATCGACCAGCGGGCCAGATTTGGCCCCTGGGCCGGACTTTGGGCATGCCTGCTGTAGAGGGACTCGTCAACCTGGGAAGGTAGCCCATCTAGGAGAAGGACAACTCTGATCGTAAACCTCTGCTGCCTTGTGAGATATCTTCAGGAGAAGAAAAGGCTAAGGAGTAAAGACTACAAAAATCCAGAGTGGCGGCCCTAAAACGGTTGGATGGTGCCTTTGTACGCCTCTTTCCGGCAGCTCCTGCAGCCAGGTAGAGGTAAAGGTAAAGGGACCCCTGACCATTAGGTCCAGTCGTGGCCGACTCTGGGGTTGTGGCGCTCATCTCGCTTTACTGGCCAAGGGAGCCAGCGTACAGCTTCCGGGTCATGTGGCCAGCATGACTAAGCCGCTTCTGGCGAACCAGAGCAGCACACGGAAACACCGTTTACCTTCCCGCATGAGCGGTACCTATTTATCTACTTGCACTTTGACGTGCTTTCGAACTGCTAGGTTGGCAGGAGCAGGGAGTGAGCAACGGGAGCTCACCCTGTTGCGGGGATTCGAACCGCCAACCTTTTGATCGCTGTGTTTGATCGCTGTGTTGCACCCCGGGGAGGTAACTTCAGCACTGCTTTCGCAGTGGTTTGACTTCACCCTTGGAGGCACACTCCATTGTTTCTCGACACAAATCATAGAACTGTAGAGTTGGAAGGGACCATTTGGGGAGGGGTCATCTAGTTTAACCCTCTGCAATGCAGAAATCTTTTGCCCATGACCTTGAGATGAAGTGTCTCATGGTCTACTGACTGAGCTATCCCAGATGCAGATGCCAACATCTGATTTATTGTGGAACGAGCATTCAAAGGCATCAAGTGACTTCAACAGAAGTGCGGCTGAGAAGGCAACCAATGGTTAGCACTCAAGAGAAAGGAAAAGGACTACAGCAGCGGTCCTCAACCTTTGGGTCCCCAGATGTTGTTGGACTACAACTCCCATCATCCCTAGCTAGCAAGGCCAGAGCTCAGGGATTATGGGAGTTGTAGTCCAACAACATCTGGGGACCCACAGGTTGAGAACCGCTGGACTACAGGAAAGGGTGGACCAATACTGGAGGCAGAAACAGCTTAATAATAATAACAGTGATGATGATGGTGATGGTTTGGTCAAGCAGATGGCTATAGGAACAGGAGTATCTGCCAGTATCTGCAAGACTGTATCTATTGCCTGGGACTGAAGTTGTTCTAGGAAGTTAATAAGGACACTGAGACAATGAGAAGGCAGGCTGAAACCCAGGCATACCCTGAGGTAGCTAGATTGCCATATGGCAATACCTTGGAACCCATGAATGGTAGAAAACGTCCCTTGATTTCCCGAGGGGAAGCTGGAATTGTTTCTCAAGACACCTGGAAGGCCTCCGCGGAAGTTAACAGCTGCCCTCATTTTTGTTCCAGATATAAACAGACTGAGAATTCCAATTAACACAACAGAGATCAGGGGATTATGTACAAAGCAACACCCCTTGGTTGGTATTCCGTGAGACAAATATAAGCACAGGGTAGCTTTGTGTAATGATGCCACTAGAAGAGCTCAAGTTACAGTGTTAATCTGAGCACAAACACGACAATTACCTGTTTGTGTATAATGCATCCAGTTAAGTATAACTTCTGGGGCTCTGTACCATCTGGTAACCACGTAGCCAGTCATCTCGCTATCTGTATGCCTTGCTAGCCCAAAATCCAGAATCTGTTACAGAGGAACCAAAGACGCATTCAATTTGCAACTCCAAATTAGTCATAAACACATCGAAAACAGGGGTGGCAGAGAAGCAGAACGCGTTAAACCGATGTTCTAGCACTGCAATTGAAAAAATCACATTGGTAATAAACATGCAAAATTACACTCCTGATTGCCATTATAATGCTGGGGAGGAAACGGTGCTGTTGCGCTCTGTTAAGCGAGAAGAAAAATACTTTTCTTCTTCGCTAAGAGTCCGGATCGAGGGCTCTGTCCCAGCATCTGTTTTCAAAGCCAGAATATATGAAGCGAAAGGAAAATTAATCACTTTGAATGATGGTTTAAAGACCTATGGGGCTAAGATTCATGCTATGATAATTGGGTTGAGCAATAAGGAGCAAAATTTCACCCTTTTCCTGCTGCAGCTCCTAGTACCATCATTTCAGAGGGGAGAAAACAGCAAAGACCTGATGAAGAGGGCACAGCAGAGGTTATATTTTCTGAGAATCCTCCGGAAAAACAATCTCTCAAAGGACCTGTTGATGGCATTTTACCATTGTACTGTTGAGAGTGTATTAACTTATGGTCTGTGTGTGTGGTTTGGGAGCTGCACGGTCAGGGGAAAAACAATGCTGTCCAGGGTTGTAAAGACTGCAGAGAGAATAACTGGGTGCACTCTTCCCACCTTGGATCAAATCTACGCTTCCAGATGTCAGAAGAAAGCTGCAGAGATAGCGCAGGATAGTGCATACACCAGAAATGATCTCTTTCAGCTTCTGCCTTCTGGAAGAAGGTACAGGGTTATAAAGACTAGGACTAGCCGCCTGAGAAACAGTTTCTATCCAAATGTGATTTTGGTTTTAAATGCAGTGTAAGGAGTCTCAATGGGAATGTATTGTATTTTTAAAATGGGGTATCAGAGTTTTTAGGGGGCTAACCAGGTTGGGATAGCAGGCTTGTTGGTTTTGAATGTCTTATGTAGATTCCCCCCCCCCCCAATTTCGTTGTTCTGTATGGGACAATGACAATAAAGAGTATCGTATCGTATTGTGGGATCCTGTGGAAAAGCCAGAATGTGGAAGGAAGTTGGTGCAGGGAGAATTAGTAGAGATCACCTCTCTTCCTCTCGCATTAAAAGATGTTGCCGATAGATCGCCATTGCTTACTTAGCACCAACTAGGCAAAGAAATGTTAGTCATGGGTCCCAGAAGTGGTGGCAAGGTGCATTCTATACTTCTACTCTTAAGTCTCTTATTTTAAAAAGACCATACTCTGGGTGATGGGAACCATGCGTATCCACCAATATCTATGAGGTTGTGTGTAGGGATGATCGCGGAGTGGGGAGTGGGGTCCGGAGGGAACACACTCCCCACCCGCAGGCAGCCTCAGTCTGCCTGCACGCGTGACCTTGGGGTGCGGAGCACACACACCATGCCTGTCTGAACACTGTTGCCTCTGTCTAACCTTTTGTGGTCTCAGTAGTCTGCGGTGCCCTGTCGGTAACCTTTGTCTCTGAGACCTTTTGTCTCCTTTGTCATACACTGTGCAAGGGGAAAATGACGCGGTGGAAACAGGTGCCAAAATAATTTTGTACCACCCCACGATCTCGGGACCGGAAGATGTGTAAAGGTCACAGCCCAAAATGTATCTGCCTGGTTTGCATATTTGTCTCAATAAAAGGAGGCTCCACAGGGCTGGCCGGCAGCTTGCTTGCAGCTCACCTGTGCGCAGCTCACCTGCATTATCAACTCCTGCCTCATGTCCATCACTTCAGTTGTGTGTACAGTGGTGCCTCGCAAGACGAAAAGAATCCGTTCCGCGAGTCTCTTCGTCTTGCGGTTTTTTCGTCTTGCGAAGCAAGCCCATTAGCGGTTTAGCGGATTAGCGCTATTAGCGGCTTAGCGGGCTTAGCGGATCAGCTGATAAGCGGCTTAGCAGATCAGCTGATAAGCGGCTTAGTGGCTTAACGGATCAGCTGTTAAGCGGCTTAGCAGATCAGCTGATAAGCGGCTTAGCAGATCAGCTGATAAGCGGCTTAGCGGATCAGCTGATAAGCGGCTTAGCGGCTTGGGGAAAAGGGGGGAAAAAGGAAAAAAAACCCGCAGGAACTCGCAAGACATTTTCGTCTTGCAAAGCAAGCCCATAGGAAATTCGTTTTGCGAAGCACCTCCAAAACGGAAAACCCTTTCGTCTAGAGGGTTTTCCGTCTTGCGAGGCATTCGTCTTGCGGGGCACCACTGTACATGCTTTCTCACTGCACCCAGTTCGATACTTATTTATGGAGGTTTGTGCTCACAGACACTATGGGATGGTCACCAGTGGTTGACAGAATCAGGCCGTTAAGCACGCAAAGGAATCTTAAACACTGTTGCGCTCTCTGTTGCAAGAAGTCCCAGGGCAGGATCCTTTCATAACTTGCAGAGGCTACTTTAAAATAAAAGGATCGCAGTCTGAGGCTGTATATGCAATAAGCATCATTTTGCCTGGTGCTCTGCAAACTGTCGCTGAAGCACAGGCTGCAGTTAGTTGCAAGGATTTAAAACGCAGTTACACCAGATCTGTGTAATATGATTACAAAGGCTGGCTGCAGTCACAAGCCCTTCAACCCTTCGGTTAAGAGAAGGTAATTTTTCTACAGGGCTTACGCTTCACTCTTAAAATGTTTCAGGGTTAATAAGGTCTGCTTGTTTTGACAGCGGTGTTTTACACTACAATTCTGTCACAGATAATAGGTCTGTGGAGCATTGCTGATTTCTTAGAAGATGGATGTGCGACAAAGCAAAGTCTCCTCTTGGGAACTGAACGGTGTTTTTAAAGCATGAACCGTCAATTACTCAAACTTCCCTGCATTAATAAAATAAAATAAATCAATTTTGTAAATCTTAAGTTTCCTATCTCTCTGTCAGCTGTAGTCTATTTTTAGGTCAAAATCTGATGTTTTAACCTTGGGTGTCAAGCAGGAAGGTTCCTGCTGAAACTATTAATTTCATTATTTATTATTTTATTTATTCTTTATTTATTTCATATTTTGCTAAGGTCTGATTTCATAGGATGGGGAACCACTTAACTGCTAAATCTACATAATGTCTTCTTCTTCTTTGGTGATCACTCATAGCTGAGTAAGATTGTCTTCCATAAACACAGTTTTAACAGTGGTTCCACAAGTGACTGTGGAGGTCAATTCTGGATCCACACATCCTTCCATAGTGGGGACATTGGTTTCCGGGTGGGAGTTGATCATGGTGAGGGTTTGCCAAGCATGCCTTCCTCTTAGCACGTTTCTCCCTTTCGTCCTGAGTTCGAGTGTCTTCAAAACCCATGACACCTTTGGTAAAGGCTGTTCTCCAATTGGAGCGTTTGCAGGCCAGTATTTCCCAGTTGTTTATACCACATTTATTTTAGATTTGCCTTGAGAGAGTGTTTGAACCTCTTTCGTTCACCACCACCAGCAGGAGGCCCCATTAGCTAAAGTGGTGCTTCAGGTTAAGAACAGTTTCAGGTTAAGTACGGACCTCCGCAACGAATTAAGTACTTAACCTGAGGTACCACTGTAAATACTTGTTCTTGTGCAGAGGAATGAGCTGCATTGGCCACGGCCACGCAAGTCGCCGGGGTCAAACTGCCTCAGCTCCCTCAGCAGGAGTGGCGACAATTTCACCCCGATGCCTCAGCAGGGCTGGGGCTGATGCATTTTGTTCTTCTCTCCATTTGCCGGGCACTGGTGGCGGAGGTACTCAAGAGCGGCAGTGATTTCATTCGCGATATACAGCTGGGTGAAGGTGACATTGTGGTCTGGCCGTCAAACCGGTCCCGGGCAATGTATCGATATGTCACCCAGGTCTACTTATTTCCATCAAGAAACAGCAACCACAGACTTAAGCACACATTCTTCGACGACAAATGCAAATTGAAAACAATCTCTCTCGCGCTGAATCTGACATCATTGCTAACCCTTCCCAAGTTTCGGCGCTGGCGACAGAGCCACTTGCAGTGAAACAACTGCTTTGTTTCAGAGAAATGCAGATGTCTACTTGGTTTTGATATCCTTGTTCACACTGAAAAGCACTTTCGCAAGGAATGGCATTTATCTAAAAGAGACTATTCATTATATGAAGGGGACCAGGGACGTTGTCTCTGCATACTAGTTTTTTTTTCTGGCAACAGTAAGTGGTAATTCTAGTTCACAGAAGTGGTTTTGTGGTTGTTGTTTTTTTTGAAACTGCACAATTGAATGATAAAAGGCAGCAATACTTAACACATCAGTCGGATCAAATCACTCTTTTCCCACTTCCCTTTTAACTTAAACCTATTATTTTATCGAGAAAGTTGCAATTACATAGTCAATGCCATTCTATTAATGCCACAACTCAGCAGTGTGCTTGGAAGGGTTTGATCGTCTTCAGGTTATGGGCTTGGTTTTTTTGCTGCTGCTGCAGCTTCCCAGCGTTCAAATGCAAATATTTTTATACCCAACACTCCCTTTAGCTCTAATAGAATATAAAATGTAGCTCGGCAGTTCAAAGATCCAGGAAACAAGTGAATGCTGTTTGTGGCGAGGAGACAAGCAGGAGAGAGTAAAAAGAGAGACTTCCAATCCCCGCACCATCTACAGCAGGAGTCGGCAACGTGCGGCCCGTGGGCCGGATGTGGCACACAAAAACCATTTTACCAGCCCCTGGGCCGCCCACTTGGCAAGTCCCCCGAGCACTGCGCTAAACCGGAGCAGTGCAGTGTGGGGACTCGTCAAGCGGTGCCAAAAATTGTACCTGCGCATATACCAGAAATTGTGTCTGCGCATGTCCAGATGCTGAAAATCGCTTCTGCGCAGGTGTGATTTTCGGTGTCACGCTGCGCCAGTCCGGCCCACGGATGATCTCTGTGGGAGTGATTCGGCCCATGGCCGGTAAACCTTGCCGATCCCTGATCTACAGCTACCCACTCCCTGGTAGTCTTGCACCAGCTGAGCTTTTCACCGTTAGGCAAGCCAGTGCTAGCAGCTGAGAGCAGCTTTGACCTCTTTGACCTCTGCACCTGCAGCCAGTCTACATCTTCTGGCTGCAGCATCAGCTACAAAGCAGAGACAGGGCCAATGCTACAATTGTTTTAACTGTTTTAAATTTACATGGGGTTTGCATGTGTCCAGAAGGAGCTGGGGAGAGCAGTGGGGGCCCCAGTTGCAGTGATTCAGGAAGATTTGGTGTGAGAGGTGGGGCAGGACGGGTAAGGGGCACATGGGACAAGCAGTTAGTGATTGTGCTGTGTGCCAGACCCTCTTCCAACCTGGGGAACTGCACCTGTCCTATCAGCCAGCCCTCAGGGGTGCGGGTGGCGCTGTGGTCTAAACCACTGAGCCTCTTGGGCTTGTCGATTAGAAGGTCAGCGGTTTGAATCCCCACGACGGGGTGAGCTCCCATTGCTCTGTCCCAGCTCCTGTCAACCTAGCAGTTCGAAAGCACGCCAGTGCAAGTAGATAAATAGGTACCGCTGCGGCGGGAAGGTAAATGGCGTTTCCGTGCACTCTGGTTTCCATCACTGTGTTCCGTTGCACCAGAAGCGGTTTAGTCATGCTGGCCACATGACCCAGAAAGTTGTCTGAGGACAAAACCAGCTCCCTCAGCCTGAAAGCGAGATGAGCGCCGCAACCCCATAGTCGCCTTTGACTGGACTTAACTGTCCAGGAGTCCTTTACCGTTTATCAACCAGCCCTCAGGCCTGTGGCTGCCGTAGCTGAATGCCAAGTTGGCTCTGAGTAAGACTTGCCTTATCCATTATCTGATTATGAATGAGGAAGCCAATCTGGTCTGCATCACTGAGACCTGGGTAGGTGAGCAGGAGGAAGTTGGTCTCACCCAGCTGTGCCCACTCAGTGCAGCATCAACATAGGAAGTGAAGTTGATTTGGTCTCTCTTTCTCTCCATCCAGGCTCTCTGTCCAGTTGGGAACATGTGTTCCTGGCCCTGGGCAACTGGGATGGATTAGGGATTCTGCTGATTTACCACCCATCTTGCTGCCTAGCAGTCTTCCTGCCTGAGCTGACACAGCCGGTCTCAGAGGCGATATTGAGGACTCCCCGACTGCTGGTTTTGGGAGGGCTTCAACAGCCACGCTGAGGTGATTGCCTCAAGAGCTTTTGCTGCAAGGGAAATAACCCAACTGCATGCACAGAACGAGCAATTTTAGTTTTGGAAAGACAGTAAGAATGTTGAAGTAAGAGAGTTTCCAGTTGGTTCAAAAAAATATAGATTTTCTTCTTGGCACTTTAATGACACTACCTCAACCCAGTAGCACTGCAATTCCTGCTTATTATTTCATGCAGCTTAGTAAAATACCTCTGGCAAAGTTTATTCCACGCAAGCAAATGCTCAGCTCTGCATTCCTCTTATAAACAATGAACCTCGCAGCATCTTGGGTGAAGTCCAATAATTACCAATGAAACCCGTCGTGCACGGCCCTCTAAAAAAAGCAGCTAATTGCCTATGGTGCAAGCAACCTTACCTTAGCCAGTAATTATGAATTATGTTATTTCAGGCTTCAAGACACACTGGGCTAGTTTGGACAATCGTATCTCGATTTAATAAGCCAAGATATGAACAGGCCTTGTGGGCGCACACAGAGCCCTTCATGTGAGGAGGCAAAGCTGTAAAGTTCTCAGTTAATTATAATTTCTGATCTGGGAAGCTATGGTTAATAGCTTCGGAACACACCATGGTACAGTGGAACCTTTGTTTTTGAGCGTCTCAGAAGCTGAATGCTTTGGAACTCGGACACTGAAAACCTGGAAGTAATTGCTTCCGTTTTTGAATGTGCCTCAGAAGTTGAACGGCTTCCGAGGCGTGTTTCTCAATTTTCGCCATTGAAATTGCTGACAGCCCTTTGCGCCTTGGTTGTCAAACGTTTTGGAAGTCAAATAGTCTTCCGGAACTGATTACTTTCGACAACCGATGTTCCGCTGTATTAAACTTCAAACGGTGGCTCAATACACTGGCTATATCAAACCTGTCAACTAGTTTCCTGGATGGGATGAAATGGGTAACCAGAGTTAAGCAACCTGTTTCTTGGCTTGCTTAACTCATTTCTGCCAACCCTTGTGAACTTATGACCCAAACACTGCCATTATTCTATAACTTCAGAAGACATTCAAAGGAACTACCACAAAATAATTATATACAGTGGTACCTCGGGTTACAGACGCTTCAGGTTACAGACGCTTCAGGCTTCAGACTCCACTAACCCAGAAATAGTACCTCAGGTTAAAAACTTTGCTTCAGGATGAGAACAGAAATTGTGCTCCGGCAGCGGGAGGCCCCATTAGCTAAAGTGGTGCTTCAGGTTAAGAACAGTTTCAGGTTAAGAACGTACCTCTAGAGCAATTTAAGTTCTTAACCCGAGGTACCACTGTACTACCCTGCGCCACCCTCCTTTTGAAAGGCTCCTATCACATTAGTTCCGAGGTCCAACTACCAAATCCCCCCACATCCATTTCTATATCTTCAAACTTCTGTAAGCCCAAAGTGTTCAAATTTCTTACCTTCAGTTCACAGTCTTCGTTTACTGCTAGATTTCCAGGTTTTAAGTCCTACAAATATATTTAAAAACAAAGAAATCTGAGATGAAATTCTCTTCAGGAAGAATGCATTTAAAATAAAAAAAAAAACCAGTACTTCTTTCAACGGAGGGCATTGTTTAGGGCAGGGTGGGGAATGGGTGATTGGCCCGATAGGTGTTGACGACTGTTAACGACTGCAGTTGGTCTTACAGGAAAAAGCAAGGGATGAGATGGCCAAAGATAGCTTTATCATGTATAATGAGATAAGAATCCAATATCTCTATTCAGTTGCTGAATTACAACATATTACCAAACCTAAAACCATGGAGACCTGGTCTGAATCACCCATTCCTACCACCCTTCTGAGTAATACCCCTCCCCACCCTCTCACTATATATATGAGGTTCTGGTGACTTCTGTTTCAGTGTATCTGAAGAAGTTTGCATGCACAAGAAAGCGCATACCGAAAACAAACTTAGTTGGTCTCTAAGGTGCTACTGGACATTATTTATTTTTATTTATTTCTTGATTTCTGATAGTGTCAGAACTTGAAGTGGAAATTGTCACATATCCGGAAAACAGCCTTATCCTGTATCTAAGGTCGGGGCACATCAAACCTAGATCTAATCTAGGACTAATGCTATTCTAGGCCTGAAATGCCTAGGTTAATGACACAGGTTCAACTTAGGCGCCTTTTATTTTATAATACAAGGCTGCACACTTAGAATTTATTATAACACTTCCACTGAGCAAACCCAAGAAACCACCTACACACAGTGAGCTTTCCTGGTACAGTGGTGCCCCGCAAGACGAATGCCTCGCAAGACGGAAAAACCGCTAGACGAAAGGGTTTTCCGTTTTGAAGTTGCTTCGCAGGACGAATTCCCCTATGGGCTTGCTTCGCAAGACGAAAATATCTTGCGAGTCTTGAGATTTTTTTCGCTTCCCCCTTTATCTAATCTGCTAAGCCTTTAATAGCCTTTAATAGCCTTTTAGCAGCTAATCCCCTAAGCCTTTAAGCCTTTAATAGCCGCTAAACCGCTAATAGCGCTAATAGCGCTAATCCGTCAATGGGCTTGCTTCGCAAGACGAAAAAACCGCTAGACGAAGACTCTCGCGGAACGGATTAATTTCGTCTTGCGAGGCACCACTGTACTTAACAACAGGAATATCACTCCCCACATTGTGATACTTACTCTAAAATGGCAATAATTTCTGATTTAGCTACAAAAGCTTGGCGTTTTAAATAGTATTTTAAGAACATACAGAAGAAGCCAAAACATATCAGATATCTACGGAACAAGCAATGCGTATTTTCCTAGTCACAGCAGATACCTGCTCCTAGGTCCTAATTATTAAAACCACGTAATAAAACAGTTACTCTTCTTTGTAGTTCTTTTTCTTCTTACCATCGATAGGATGAAAAATAGCATGTGAATATGTGTGATGTAATGGATGTAATCTAATGGATGTAACTGTCAAGGGGTTGGTTCTGGAATTAGCCATGCTTAGAGTAGACCCACTGAAAGCAGTGGAACTTAAGTTGCTCATGATTAGCTTAAGTCCCATGGATTTCAGTGGCTGTACTCTAAAGGCTGACTTGGGATGCAACCCATTAATTGTATTTTGTTCATCGGAAACAATCCTTTCATTTTAGCAGTCGCGGAACAGATTTTGTAATCAGGATCAAGGCAAACGTTAAGTTAACATTGCGCTGACCCACTAGGTGTTTGTTTCTTAAATCATTCTCATGCCTTTGGCTTGCTTCTGTGAGAGAGCCATCTAAAACTACAGGACAGAGAAACAGCAACCCAGAAATGAGATTCTTTACTTACCCGATGAATTATGCCTGACGAGTGGATATACTGCAAAAAACAAAATTGCACTTTATTTATCGGACATTGATAAACATAGATCACACGGAAAAGGTTTGTGAAGCTATATGACTTTAAATTCTGATCACCGGAAACTAGAAACTACGACTGATTTTGCCTGCCAGTAAAGTTTACTTTATTAATTACATTTATATTTCATGACTCCTACAAGGAGCTCCAACATGATTTCTGCCCCTGCCAACCACGGTCTTCTCAAAGCTGTGAGTTGTTCAGTTTTACAAATGCATAAAAAAGTGTGAGTGAGCTACTTTATATAAACATGTTAAGTCATTCTATGAAACTGTAAGAATGTCATTGGCTGAGTTCACATGTAGCACTCAGCCAAACCATGGCTTAGCATGAATGTGTGGTCTCCCGGGAAGAGACTCCAACTGCTCTGGTCCTGCTACACTAAACCAAGGTTTGACTTACCATGCTGTCCAAATAGAACAAGGACTATCATAAGAGAAAATGTTTTCAACGTATATAATTGTTATTGTGACTTTTTATATTGGATCAAATTGTTACTATTAATGTTTGATTTTTTAAAAATTATTTTTATATGTGTTGGAAGCTGCCCAGAGTGGCTGGGGCAACCCAGCCAGATGTGTGAGTATAAATATATTATTATTATTATTATTAATCTCAAAGATCAATCTGAAGGTGCATATAGTGCATCAACCTAAGTATGCCTACATCTGTTCAGTGGCTAAACTGGCTGGAGGATGTGATGTCATTGCCCTGAGCTTTACAGAAGAAAAGCAGGATTTGCTAATTTATTGCATAAATTTAAGCCGTGTCAAGATCTAAGAAAAAGAGAGGGCTCAGGTTGATTTCTTCGTTTAATTATGTTTTCTTTTTCTACTTTTAATCACCCAAGGTTGCACAGCTTAATGCTACAAAATCACCCTTCCTACTTAATTACTATATAATTAATCTCATCCCTGATATGGCTCCCCCTCCTTTTTTGCCCCCACCCCTGGGAATCATCAATTCTGCTCTGCGCTGATGATTCTGTTTTGTTATCTCAGAATAAAATCTCAGGAGGATACAGGTTAAATTTTGCCAACTGTGTAAAAAAAAAAAAAAAAAAGCATCTAAAAAATAAAAATTAACTACGATAAAACCAAGGTCATTGTATTTGGCAAGAGGACTACCAAGTCCAGTTGAACTCTAGACAGTCACACCCTAGAGCAAGTACTCAGATTTAAATATCTAGGATTATTTATTGATGGGAAGTCATCGTGGAAACCCCATCTGGAAGCAATTCAGCTAATATCTGGCCGTTCTACTGGACAGTTATATAGGTTCTTCCATTCAAATAATGGGCAGCTAATCAACCCAGCTATTAAGAGCTTTGCCTCTAAAATCATCATCCAAGTGCTCTATGGGGCTGAGATATGGGGAACTGGTGTTAAATCTGAAATAGAGGTCCCACAAAATAAATTTATAAGGCAGATTTGGGGACCTCCCTGCGGGACACTGGCAGAGTGGAGTTGGACCTTCCCTTGCTTGCAGCCAGAAGTGATCAAGCCCAGGGGTGCCCAAACTTTTTTCAAAGAGGGCTAAATTTGATGAAGTGAACGTGCGTGAGGGCCAACCAAAGTTGTTGAGCTTTTTTTAAGAATGAAGTTGTGGAGCTTTCTTTAGGATTTGACACCAATAAATAAACTGCCACAGGAGCTGGGTAAAACCGGCCAGGGGGCCAAATTAGGCCCCTAAAATGGACTTTGGGCATGCCTGATTCTGATCTAGCCTATCTGAGATACTAGCGCAGGCTATATGCCTTCAGTGATCATACTCTTACTAAGCTCTGCTGGTTAGAGCAACTAAGGCTGGGCACAAAAATGCCAAGAGAAGGTTAGGGCTTATAATCTTCAAATGGAGAACTACTTGTATAGTCAGTGTGCTGTAGTGGTCAAGAGCAGTAGACTCATAATCTGGTGAACTGGGTTCGCGTCTCCGCTCCTCCACATGCAGCTGCTGGGTGACCTTGGGCTAGTCACACTTCTCTGAAGTCTCTCAGCCTCACTCTCACCTCACAGAGTGTTTGTTGTGGGGGAGGAAGGGAAAGGAGATTGTTAGCTGCTTTGAGACTCCTTCAGGTAGTGATAAAGCCGGATATCAAATCCAAAACTCTTCTTAGCCCTTAGCCCACGCGACCTTAGAAACTGGATTTTTGACCAGGATGCCAACCAAGCCAGAGCATCCATCATTGCCACCCATTACTCTACTTGGTACCCCCAAATTAAGACCAATCACTCAAGGCCCCGTTGCCTTGAGACTCTGACCTTCCCACAACTACACGGGGCCTTTGTAGAACTAAGATTCCAACAGGATGCCCTCAGCATATTTAGAAGGGAGATAGCGGGGAATGCCCCATATGGATCGTATATATGGATGCAATCAGGTAGGAGACATTACACACTATCTGCTGATTTGCCCCCTGTATAGAACGCCCAGAGGGATTTTTTTGTATCGCCAATTCTTAATTGGCTTCCAGGTCGATCCGCACAGGAAGTGAAAGTCGAACCCCTAGCAGATAAACATCTATATATTACACACCCAGGAGCCAAATTTCGCTGGCAGCCAAGAAGTTCCGTTCCAGCCATGTGAATGCACTCCAATCTCAATTTTTAATGCTGTAAATTTCTTTTTATGTTGTAAACTGATACAGGTTACGTTGTATGATTTTAGAGGAAAGCTTTCCTTTTATTCTCTGTCGCCTTCGGCTATATACAATAAAACTGATGGATGACCGAATGCTACAAAATCCATCATCCTAGCTGTATGAAGCTCTAGAGAATACCTTTTGCGTGTCTTCTTTACTTTTTCTCAGGCTGCCAGATTTACCATAGAGCAGAGCTTTTGTGGCTAAGACAGATGCTCCGAAGACAGAATTGAAGGAGGGGCCAGTCTTCCAGTCCCAGTGCTGTGAGAACACATGCCTTGCCCTCCACAAAGCCTTGCACAGCTAACTCCAAGTATGATATCTATTTGCCACAAACTGACGCTCTTCTTCTATATCAACACAGACAGGAAACCACGGCCTTCCAAATTAGCACTGTTTAAAAAGCCAATGGCTTCCTGGGACTATGCAAATAGGTTTGCTCCAAGAGAGGAGCTCAAACCAACTTTGGTCCTCTCTTGGCTTTTTAAGCTCAAGCGTGTCATCCAAATTCTGGATCACGGTTAAGGTCTCTCCTCCTTCAGCACAAGCGTTCATCACAGGACAAACCACAGCTACAGACCATGGCTGAGGAGATACCTTAACGAAGATCCCAAGTTCAGGTAACATGCTAAGCCAAACTTTACAAGTGAAGGCAACCACTGTTTCTCTCTCAGTGTAAAACAAGGGTTGGGGACTGAATCTGGCTGGTGGATTTTACTCCTGTAAAATTGGCAAAGCTATATCATAATACTGATAATTTATGTTGGAAATGTAAAGAAAAAGAAGGTACTTTTTATCATATGTGGTGGACCTGCCCCAAGGTGGGAGAAGATTTATAATGAATTGAAAAAAATGTTGAAATATACATTTATTAAGAAACCAGAGGCCTTTCTTCTTGGAATAACAGGTTTGGAATTGCCCAAGAAAGATGTTAGACTGTTTTTGTATGCCACAACTGCAGCTAGAATTTCGTTAGCTAAGAACTGGAAAACACAAAAAGTCCTAACAGTGGAGGAATGGCAGATGAAGATGATGGACTTTTCGGAGCTAACCGACCTGACTGGAAGAGTCCGCGACCAGAAGGAGGAGGACTACCAGGAGGAATAGATGAAATTCAAAGATTATTTTGTTAAATATGTTAAGATAATTTAACTGGAAAATTTTGCAAATACCAGATAGGCTTAGGATTTAAATATGTACTGTTAGAGAATAACATGTTTAAAGTTAAAATGAAAAGAAAGAAAGATGTTAAGTGATTAAGTTAATTTTATGAGAAAACTGGTTTTGGAAAACTGTTACAATGATATACACTGATATTCAGCCAGGGGGATTTGAGGAAGTCACTTAATAATGTTACTAAGATCGGATCAAGTACAGTTAAGATGTATGTATGTTTGTTTGTTTAAATTTTGGAAAATCGATAAAAAAATTTGAAAAAGAAAAAGAAAGAATCTGGCTGGCGGACTGGTGCTTTACCCCACCCCACCCCCATGGGCCAAGTTTTGCAGGTGGTGGGGGGAAAACAGGCCTTTTCTGCAGTGGCTCCCCGATTGTGGAATACTCTCCCCAAAGAGGCTCGCCTGGCACCATCATTACATGTTTTTGGGTGCCAGGCAAAAACATTCCTCTTTACCTAGGCCTATGGCTATTAAATAATCTATGGCCTCGGAAAGTGTGGGAGAAGAGGACTGTTATTGTAACGACTATTTTATTATTAGGCTGTCTGTCAGTATGCTTTTTATTATGTTTGTATCATTGATGTTCTGTAATGTGTTTTTAATGTTGTACACCGCCCTGGGATCTCTTGATAAAGGGTGGTATATTAATTGAAATAATAGTAATAATAATAGTTATTATTATTATTATTATTATTATTATTATTATTATTTATACCCCACCCATCTGGCTGGGTTTCCCCAGCCCAACTGAATATTAACAAGGATAATAAAAAAGTGATAAAACATCAAACATTAAAAACTTCCCTAAATAGGGCTGCCTTCAGATGTCTTCTAAAAGTCAGATAGCTGCTTATTTCCTTGACATCTGATGGGAGGGCATTCCACAGGGCAGGCGCCACTACCGAGAAGGCCCTCTGCCTGGTTCCCTGTAACCTCACTTTTTGCAGTGAGGGAACCTCCAGAAGCCCTCAGAGCTGGACGTCAGTACTGAACGATGGGGGTGGAGACGCTCCTTCAGGTATACTTCAGGTAAATAACAACAGCAACAACAAACAACAACAATAACAATAATAGTGCAGGCAACGACACAGGTCTTTGCAGGTGATGTTGATCAGCTGGTTGTCAAGTACTAGCAAAGCCCTTTGCCTTTGCAAATCCTACAGTGATTCTCAGCACAAGCACACCACATATCACCTGAAAAGTGGCACCTGCATCTTTACCTGCGCCATACCTGACCTCATATACAATGGAAAGACTAAGCAGACCAGAGAAAAATACAATAAATGAGAGAGACTATCAGTGAGATTTTCTGTAACATACTTCTCTACCTGGATTATTTTTCTGGTTTTGCCTTACAGATGGCTGTCGATACAGCTTGCAATTACTGCTCAGTGTCCCATCCCCCCCCACATTCAGCCATGTCTATCTTAATCTTTATTTCTTTGAGGCTCTTGTCCGGGGCCTAGGCAAACCTCTAAGGTTCTATTAAGGGTGTATGTCCCTAACATATCAAATAGACCTTTTGTAGTGGCAGCAGCAGAAGAAAAATCTTATCACGGGCTCATGGAGTCATATAACAGGAGAGAGTTGCAAAGGAAATACTTCTAAGTAATTGGAGAATCCTAATGGCCTAAGAAGAAACAGGAAAAAATAGGAATTTCCTGCCAGCAGCCAACTCCCTCTTCTGAGAAACAAATGCATTCCAATTAGGGTACGCTTTCTCCTAAATATCCCTGTTATGCAGAACTAATAAAACACATCTGCACTCAGTGAATATACCCAGAGAAAGTTCTGTCTATAATCCTAAATGCATTTATTTGCGAGGAAGTTAATTCTACCTAAGCCCAGAAGCACTTATTTTTTAACAAACGTTTAGCTTGGACTTTTAAGCATTAGAGCTCGAAATCAACAAAATACAAGCCAATTTGAAACGAGTGAGGACTGCTTAGGCACCAATCCACCTCTCTCATTGATTTGAAGGTGAATATTCTTAAGGAATCCAAGCTCTGTTTGCTTTACAGCCATGTTCAAACCAAGAACTGCACTTTGGAGCAAGAGTTGCGGGTTACTGCCGAAGCAAGCCATTTCATTTCGAAGTAGTAGAGTCTCCTCAACTTCCCCAGAATTTTGCACAGTTAAGAAAGTTCACTGAGAAAAAGATTCCTATTCCTCCCTTCCCCATTGACACCAAAACCTGAACAACATGGTACAGTGGTACCTCGGGTTAAGTACTTAATTCGTTCTGGAGGTCCGTTCTTAACCTGAAACTGTTCTTAACCTGAAGCACCACTTTAGCTAATGTGGCCTCCTGCTGCCGCCGCGCCACCGCCACACGATTTCTGTTCTCATCCTGAAGCAAAGTTCTTAACCCGAGGTACTATTTCTGGGTTAGCGGAGTCTGTAACCTGAAGCTTATGTAACCTGAAGCGTATGCAACCCGAGGTACCACTGTATGGGGCGTATTAATGGGGACCGCTGGGGAAGGGGGAAATTGTTCAAAAATGGGCTTGGATCCTAAGGTAACTTAAATTGAAGGATGTACATGGAAGGAAAGTTTCTTGGGCGTTCCTCCCCACTGGAAACCATTCCACATTGTTCAGGCAAGGTCCCCAGCATCTCCAGGCCTTGTAGAAGGATTCACTGGTAAAAACAAAAAGGTAAAGGACCCCTGGACGGTTAAGTCCAGTCAAAGGCGACTATGGGGTTGCGGTGCTCATCTTGCTTTCAGGCCGAGAGAGACAGCTTTTGTCCACAGACAGCTTTCCAGGTCCTGTGGCCAGCAGGACTAAACCGTTTCTGGCACAATGTGACAGAAACCAGAGCGCACGGAAACGCTGCTTACCTTCCTGTCGCAGTGGTACCTATTTATCTACTTGCACTGGTGAGCTTTCAAACTGCTAGGTTGGCAGGAGCTGGGACAGAGCAACGGGAGCTCACCCTGTCGTGGGGATTTGAACTGCCGACCTTGTGATTGGCAAGCCCAAGAGGCTCAGTGGCTTAGACCACAGCGCCACCTGCAAATGGGAAGGAGGCAATAGGGAACTTTCCTTCCATGCGCTTCCTTATCATAGGCTACAAGCCAATATGCATGAGATAAAAGTGCAGAGGAAACAATTTGACAGAGAGAGGCTATATTGCTTTGCTATTCTTACCAAGAACACCGGACCCGCATTTGGGACTCATTCACACAGAGAAGCAGCGATGTAAATTGCCGCTTTAAATGCTCTTGTTTTGTGCATGGTGGTTTGGGCTGTTTCCAGGAGGGGTATGTAAACTAGGCCTGAGATAAGAAGCAACTGCATGCAATCAAAAGCAGCATGCGAGTTGATAAGCCTCCCGCAAAATCATGTCAAAACCGAAATGCACACACAGCATTTTGAGCTAAACAATAGCTCAAAGGTGAATCAAGGACAGTGTTAAGTGGGCTTTGTGTGATTGCTGCTCAGGCACAGAAATGTCCCTCAAGGTAGATAATCTCCTTACTGATTTCCCCCCAAGATAACTATGTTTGTTTAGGTTGAACACAAAACCAAAAAAGGTTTAGGTTTGTTTAGGTTGAACACAAAACCAAAAAACAGTTTGGACATTTAACGATGTGTGTGGAAAGCAAGGAACCAATGGCTACATTACAAGCTCACTATGCCTCCATATGAAGTGGATTTAAAAAGTCACTGATGTGTAAGTCTATACAGAAAACATCTGGATCAGTGACAGTAGAATTGGAAGTAGCGTCTGTACAGGTCACGTTTCACTGCTCTGATGGGGTGCAAATATTCCCACTAAAACTAAACGCAGTACAAAAGTGTTTAAAGCTAGACGTTAAGAGTTAACGTCTCTTAGTTGGGAATTGCGTCCTGAGGACTTTTGTCTATTCTGTTAGTCACGAAAAGTAGAGGACCTTTCTTTTCCTTTTCATTTGCAAGGTTGTTTGACATGTTTTGCACAACTGCACAATTACGTGCTTCTTCTACTCAATTTAGCACATTCTGCGTAGATCCAAGATACATTTAGAATTCAAATGGAGATAGCGACTAGACTTGTACTCGTAATCTACACCAAACAAGGAAACAAATATTTTGGTAAGAGACAGGCCACTATAGGGTTTTCATCAGAGGATGAATAACTTGCCCTATGAACAATGAAGGCAATCATTTCTATTGCAGGTAACTGAAGAAGTGTGCATGCACATGAAAGGTCATACCAATAACAAACTTAGTTGGTCTCTAAGGTGCTACTGGAAGGAATTTTTTTCGACTACGGCAGACCAACACGGCTACCTACCTGTAACTATTTCTATTGCAGGGTATAGAAGAATTGTGGCAACCAGACAAACTATTTATTTCCCCCTTCCTTATAGTGATTCCTTCGTCTCTGATGCCTCACTGAAACTGAAATGCTTAAAAAATATATATTCTAGGCTGCCTGAATAACTTTATCTTCTTGCTATGTGCTGCTTTTCTGCCTTCATTTCTTACTGAGATAATGGGCCAGTTCAGACAAATGTGAGAGACTCTGTGAGGCAGGGAAGCTCTCTGTCCAGTTGGGAACATGTGTTCCTGGCCCTGGGCAACTGGGATGGATTAGGGATTCTGCTGGTTTACTGCCCATCTTGCTGCCCAGCAGTCTTCCTGCCTGAGCTGACACAGCTGGTCTCAGAGGCAGTATTGAGGACTCCCCGACTGCTGGTTTGGGGAGGGCGTCAACAGTCACGCTGAGGTCTGAAAGCGAGATGAGCGCCACAACCCCATAGTCTCCTTTGACTGGACTTAACCATCGAGGGGCCCTTTACCCTTTTAAATTAAATACAGGACTGCAGCCTAAATCTGGACTCAGAAGTACTAAGTTGGATTCAAGGTATTGAATATGCCAACAGTCCAACAAAACTAAGGGGTATATCTGTTCACAAGACACACTTTATTCTTAATCCCTTACTCTTGTCATTTCCTGCTAGCATTTCTCTTTGTTGTCTTTCTTACATGGTTTTTTTTTTTTTAAAGGAATCCATTTGCCATTAATATTAACATCCCATTTCCTCTCTTTTGACATGTCCTTTTCACTCGATTGTTCAAACTTTGTAGGCCAGCTCTCATGCTCTCAGGATGGATACAAATACAGCAGTAAGAACCCTGGGTTTTAGCCAATAAATCTAGGTCAAGATGCAGTCTGCAATCACATTTCACTTATGACGAGACCTTTTTTTCCTGAAGCATGAAATGGTAATAAGATCAGACAGCATGCATTTTAAAGTGGGCCCTGCCCTTTCACAATGGAATCAAAAGTCAGTAATAATATAATGTTTCTGTCAAGCGGGGAGGAGCAAGCCAAGTGATCCAATGATGCCCATGACCAACCTCTAAAAGAAACAGTTGAGGAAGAATAAAGACTAAATTCAGAGACGTGGGTGGTGCTGTGGGTTAAACCACAGAGCCTAGGACTTGCCGATCAGAAGGTTGGCGGTTCGAATCCCCGCGACGGGGTGAGCTCCCGTTGCTCGGTCCCTGCTCCTGCCAACCTAGCAGTTCGAAAGCACGTCAAAGTGCAAGTAGATAAATAGGTACCACTCCGGTGGGAAGGTAAACGGCGTTGCCGTGCGCTGCTCTGGTTTGCCAGAAACGGCTTAGTCATGCTGGCCACATGACCCGGAAGCTGTACGCTGGCTCCCTCAGGCAATAAAGCGAGATGAGCGTCGCAAACCCCAGAGTCATCCACGACTGGACCTAATGGTCAGGGGTCCCTTTACCTTTAAGGACTAAATTCATTCCTGTGCTATGTCTTCCAAACAGCTGATGGGTGAACATGGAATTTATTTTATGGGGCTACACTCATACAGCTCTAGGTACCCATCTGTTAGGGGTCCATATTCAGAAGCCTGTCTCCACAGCCGAACTACAGTAACTGTAATTCTAAGGAAAGAAGTACAGTTTAAATTTGATGCTCCAAACCTGCATGTCAAATCAGTAGGTTGGCATGAGAGACAGGGTCTCTTCTGTGGTGCCCCTCCAGATTGTGGAACTCTTTCCCTATTGGGCTGTGAAAGGCCCAACATTATAAGCCTTTAAAAAAAATGCATTTGTTTCAGGTTGCCTTAAGATCTTATAGCGATGCTGGCTTAAGTTACTGAGCCATTTTAAAAATGTTTTTAGTGCTATGTCTTAATTACTGGAGTCTAAGCTGCTGTTTTAGTCATGTTGCTGTTTTAAAATGGCCTGCTTTTAAGAGCATTTCATGCCTTACTACTGTTCTGTCAGCTGGGAAGACTACGCTCTAAAAGAGGACCTATAGATATGTCTAGAAATAAATATGAGGGAAACTTGCTCACCAATTCAAATGTAACGCTATCCCATGAACATTAGGCAGATTCCCGCTCAACTAGGGCTTGCAGACCACTTCAAACCTTGAATTTCCCCCCAATTTGCAATCCTGGCTAGTTAGTACCAGTTCAGATGTGACACTATCCCAGCCTCTCCTCGCCTCCTGACCAGAGTCCCATCAGCTAGTCAACATTGCCGATATTCAGAGCTGATGGTAGCTATTAGTCTAGTGCAGGCATCTCCAAACTCAGCCCTCCAGCTGTTTTGGGACTACAATTCCCATCACCCCTGACCACTGGTCCTGTTAGCTAGGGATGATGGGAGTTGTAGTCCCAAAACAGTTGGAGGGCTGAGTTTGGGGATGCCTGGTCTAGTGATATCTGAAGGGAAATAGATTGGGAAGAATGCGCTACACCATAGCTAAAGAGAAAGGCATTGGAAATTTGTGTGTGAAGGAGCTTGCAGCACAATCCCAATTTCCTAACCACAAGATCTTAGGAAAAGTCTAGTGTATAAAACAAACAAAAACGGAGAGAGAGAGAGAGTGAGAGAGAGAGGGAGGGATGGGGGGGGGCGAGAGATCTAACCTTTAGGCCCTTTAACATTTGATAGACCAGGAACTGGATTCTGTCTTCAGTTAGTTTCTCATGCTTCATTATTTTACTCAAGTCTGTTCCCATAAATGGCATGACAAGGTAGCTAAAAAAAAGAAATCATTTTACTTGACAAAACAACACACCAAATAAAAACATTAATATTACAAAACAATCATTTCTGAGAATTACTGTAGGCACTATTTTGCAAGCTTGTGTTTAAGGCAAGATTTATTTACCAAACACCGCAATCAGTTTATGCTTTCAAAAAACGACTGTAAACATGCCACTTGCAGTCAAGCAAGAAATACTGACTGGTAGTTAATGCCATTAGTTGCCAGACACAATTTTATATTAGACATTAAATGATAAAATTGGATTGGTTCAATACAATTATAAGGGCTTTCATAATGCTTTGGATCAAAATCTCTCTTAGCTTTAGATCTCACACTGACTTGCGACCCACTACTATAGCTGTTTACTAAATTTCACTGAATTTAATGGCACTTACTCAATAATAAACATATATAAAATGATGCGATGGCAGTGCCTTAGGCTGTGATGGAAATTCCACCCTATACTCTTCAATTATTCAAGTTTCAAAGTGGGAGCAATGCAATTCATACGACGTGACTAAATAGGCAGAATGGGAGGTGGAGAAGCCGGAACATTTCGTCTATATTTAGTGCAAAGGAAGCAAACAAAGCTCCCTCATCAATAACTCGGATATGCAAGGAACCAAGGTTAATAATCTTCAGAGTGTGTGGGTAATCTTGAATAATGAAAACATAGATGTGTGCTCACCCCGCGATTTTATTATAGCTAATTTGCTGAAAGCTCATGAATATTTCAAAGCCAATTGGAGATAGCTCGCTAATTGCTCCTAGAACATACAGGTAGTTAACGAGAGTAGCTTGCCGAAGCTGCATTCTGTGCGCAGGCTTTTAAATAAAAGCTTGGGGTTTGCACTGCTGTGTACACATTAAGAAGAAAATGGGAGAAACCTGTAGACCAGCTCATCTATATATAGGGCTGCCTCTGAAGACGGTTCGGAAACTTCACCTGGCGAAGAATTCAGCGGCCAGGTTGCTCACCAGAGCAAAACGGTTTGAGCATATTATACGGATCCTGGTCCGACTGCACTGGCTACCAATTACCATATTTTTCGCTCTATAACACGCACCAGACCATAACACGCACGTAGTTTTTAGAGGAGGAAAACAAGAAAAAAAATATTCTAAACGAAATAGTGGATATATGATTTTTGTGGTTCATGCTGTGGCCACAGACATGTGATCTGACAGTGAGTTTGGAGTAGCCCAATGCAAAAATCCTGAGGATCCATGTGGATCCATGCTTTGTAACCACGGAGGAGGGAAGGAAGGGGAACCATGGATCCTCTGCTCACGACTGCAGCAGATCCCCCCGCCACCCGCAGGCATTCGCTCCATAACACGCACAGACATTTCCCCTTACTTTCTAGGAGGAAAAAAGTGAGTGTTATTTTGCAAATAATACGGTAGTTTCCGGGCCCAATTCAAAGTGCTGGTTTTGACCTATATAATGGTACCTCAGGTTACATACACTTCAGGTTACAGACTCCGCTAACCCAGAAATAATACCTCGGATTAAAAACTTTGCTTCAGGATGAGAACAGAATTCATGCGGTGGCGGCGCGGCAGCAGTGGGAGGCCCCATTACCTAAAGTCCTCGTACCTACGGGACCACCTCTCCCGGTGTGCCCCACGGAGGACCTTAAGGTCCATAAATAGCAACACCCTAGAGGTCCCGGACCCTAAGGAAGTTAGATTAGCCTCAACCAGAGTCAGGGCCTTTTCAACTCTGGCTCCGGCCTGGTGGAACGCTCTGTCTCATGAGACCAGGGCCCTGCGGGATGTGATTTCTTTCCGCAGGGCCTGCAAGACAAGAGTTGTTCCACCTGGCCTTTGGCTTAGAATCAGTTTAATTCCCTCCCCCTCTTTCTTTTTCCTTTCTCCTCCTGTGAAGAGCCTGCATCCTAATGTTTTAATGTTGTATTTTAATCAACTTGTTTTTATTATTGTATTTTAATCAACTTGTTTTTATTATTGGTTGTTAGCTGCTCTGAGCCCAGTCTTGGCTCGGGAGGGCGGGGTATAAATAAAATTTATTATTATTATTAAAGTGGAGCTTCAGGTTAAGAACAGTTTCAGGTTAATAACGGACCTCTGGAACAAATTAAGCACGTAACCAGAGGTACCACTGTAAAGCCTTAAATGGCTCAGTACCGCAAGACCTCAAGGACCATCTCTTTCCATATGAACCTACCTGGACCCTGAGATGACCTTCTGAGGCCCTCCTACGTGTGCCTCCTCCTCAAGAGGTCTGGAGGGTGGCAACATGAGAACGGGGCCTTCTCTGCAGTGGCTCCCCGTCTGTGGAATGCTCTCCCCAGGGAAGTTCGCCTGGTGCCTTCATTGTACACCTTTAGGTGCCAGGCAAAAATGTTCCTTTTTCACCAGGCCTTTGTTTGATTTGTTTGACATCCTATACCCCTTTAAAAAAATTTGGGGGGGGGGGCCTACAGGGTTGTTGTTTTCATTTTTATTATGACTTTTGTGGTTTTATATCTTGATTTTAGTGGGATGCGGGTGGCGCTGTGGGTTAAACCACAGAGCCTAGGACTTGCCAATCAGAAGGTCGGCAGTTCGAATCCCCGCGACGGGGTGAGCTCCTGTTGCTTGGTCCCTGCTCCTGCCAACCTAGCCGTTCGAAAGCACGTCAAAGTGCAAGTAGATAAATAGGTACTGCTCCGTTGGGAAGGTAAACGGTATTTCTGTGCGCTGCTCTGGTTCGCCAGAAGCAGCTTAGTCATGCTGGCCACATGACCCGGAAGCTGTAAGCCGGCTCCCTCGGCCAATAAAGGGAGATGAGCACCGCAACCCCAGAGTCGGTCACGACTGGACTTAATGGTCAGGGCTCCCTTTACCTTTACCTTATCTTGATTTTATTCTGTGAACCGCCCTGAGACTTCTGGGTATAGGGCGGTATGTAAATTCAATCAATCAATCAATCAATCAATCAAATCTGGCTCTTAGGACTCTTCCCCAGGCGACACCCTTCATTCGCCCTGTTTTCTGCCCGGCTGCAATATATCTTGAAGTGCAATAAGGCATTTTGCTTGCGGGGATGTTAGGATGCATATGCCTGCTGTACAAAGGTACGAGTTGTATCTCTTGCTCTGGCTTCTTTTGGTCTCTGCCCCTCCATTGGCATGTAACCCCTCTGAAAGGTCATCTTTGATGTAAAGGTTCGATGCTAATTTGCAGTTGGGAGAAAACCAAAAGCAAAGCCTGAGTCTGGAGGGAACTGTTATCAAAACAGTGAGATAAGCAGTGCTTTTTTCTTTAAAAAAATGTTTAGGGGTACTCTCATATTGACTCAAGAAAATCACCCTTTTATAGTTCAAATTGGGAAAAATAACTACAGTAAACGGACAAAAGTACAAAGATTCTCAAAATGTTTAGGGGTATGCCTATCCCTGCGTCCCCCCAGAAAAAAAGCAATGGAGATAAGAAAGTCAATTGTATAGTTAAGGAGCACAGGGAGGAAATATATACTAAGCTACAATGGTCAGCAATAATTTGCTATGTCACTCCCCTTTTTTATTTCAGGGTATCTTTATTTGTAGGGACGCGGGTGGCGCTGTGGGTTAAACCACAGAGCCTAGGACTTGCCGATCAGAAGGTCGGCGGTTCGAATCCCCATGACGGGGTGAGCTCCCGTTGCTCGGTCCCTGCTCCTGCCAACCTAGCAGTTCAAAGCACGTCAAAGTGCATGTAGATAAATAGGTACCGCTCTGGTGGGAAGGTAAACGGGGTTTCCGTGCGCTGCTCTGGTTCACCAGAAGCGGCTTAGTCATGCTGACCACATGACCCGGAAGCTGTACACCGGGTCCCTCGGCCAGTAAAGTGAGATGAGCGCCGCAACCCCAGAGTCTGGACCTAATGGTCAGAGGTCCCTTTACCTCTATCTCTATTTGAAGGGTCATTTTCTCTAATACAGTCATACCTGCGTTTACATAACCCTCTGGTTACGTAAACTTCGGGATACGTAAGCGACAAACCCAGAAGTATTTTAGTGGGTTTTGGTGCGCGCGCATGCGCAGAAGCGGTCCTCCGGTTGCGAAAACCTCGGGATCCGGCCGGACCTCCGGAATGGATCCCGTCTGCAACCGGAGGCACTGCTGTAATGCAGTGGACCTGAAATTCCTCTACCAGCTGGAATAGCAGACAGAAGTAACATACTTCCACTTATTCAAAGTAAGCTTTACTCTTGACTCGTGAGAAACACCAATATACTTTTTAATGTAAAAATCAGGTCAGTTAACACACCTTACAAGTCCTTAACATGACAAATATTAGTACAAACTTGCGTGGAAAGGTAGTTGCCATGGTGCTCCTGCTAATGCATAAATCAGGCCTAGCTGTTTTTACTTAAGGAAAACAGTAATTCTACAGATACACTTTAATGCAAATTAAATATGAATGTAGCTTTTATATCACAGTGACCGCCAAAGGGCCGCAAAGCAACCAGTCCTCTTGGAACCTAAATACAAATATTTATATATCATCCAAACTTTTCAAGAGAATTGTAAACTTACAAGTCATTAAATTTATCCAGCGACACATCTGGTGTGAAGACATCTAGTAGTCCAATTACCTATGAAAGGGGGAGGGAAGTAATTAAAAACCCTGGAATTTAACAATCACAAAAAGGGATGGATGAGAAGGTACAACAACAACAACAACAATATAACCTATGCAAGTTATTATTCGCAAGAGAAACGCTGAAATAAATGGTGGCACAGTGGTACCTTGGTTCTCAAACACCTTGGTACTCAAACAACTTGGGACCCAAACACTGCAAACCCAGAATTACGTTTTCCAGTTTGCGAGCTCTTTTCGGAAGCCGAACGTGCTCCGTCTTGAGTGTTACACTTCCAATTTGAGAGCCACACTTTCGTTTTGAGTGTTATGCTTCCGATTTGAGTGTTACACTTCCAATTTGAGTGTTACACTGAGGTCTGTCTGTTTTTGCTATTTATTTTGCGTTCTTGTTTTTGCAGCTCTTTTTTGTGTGTGACTATGTGGAACCCAGTTCAGCGACTGACTGATTGATTGTGTGACTGCAGTACATTTATTTTTATTTTTTTGCTTTCATTTTATGGATCAGTGGTCTCGTTAGATAGTAAAATTCATGTTAAATTGCAGTTTTAGGGGTTGTTTTTAAAAGTCTGGAACGGATTAATCCACTTTGCATTGCTTTCTATGGGAAAGCGCGCCTTGGTTTTGGAACGCTTTGGTTTTGGAACGGACTTCTGGAACGGATTAAGTTTGAGAACCAAGGTACCACTGTATATCAGTAATTCTATATGTAACAGATATAGAGGGCTGGATCCCAACAACCCAGAACAAGTTGTGATTGCAGAATGGAGGTTTCTACCTCCTCACCATAGTTCCCCAACAACCTGTGGTTTGGGGGGCTCTCAAGACTAGTGTGGTAGAAGCATAGGATGTGTTTGGTTTAGTATTATGTGAGCAAGTCTCATTCTTTTCAGTTGCTGCTTCCCTTCTCCTCTCTGATGTAGTTATGAGACTGATGGGAGACTTTCAATTTGTTCCAACGCAGATAAGCCGCAGTTATTGTTAACTATAGTTTACTGAAACAAATAAACTTCAAATTGTGATTTATGAAGCTGGCTTGTTTCAAGAAACTGTAATTAAGATGAACCACAATTCAGGGTTTGAGTATAACACTAAAATTGTGGTTAATTGAAAACTAAAGCAAAAACCGCCAGTCTCCCCCTTGCAGAATCACTGCTGGAGGAGATGGGAACGAACAACTGCAAGGCTCATTCATGTAGTACTAAATGGTTTAGCACTTTAGCCAAACCAGGACACTATAACCCACGATCTCTGATTATTTTGATCCATTACATAGCTGGTGAAGGTGGGAAAAGAAAGAAGACCGCACTTCACTGAAGAGGCAAAGTAAAAACACCCACTTTTCCTAAAATGAAACTGCTGCATTTGAGAGCTATATATATGTTGTTTACTATTGCTTGACAAGCTTATCTGAAAACCAACGCACTATATTTTTATACAACAAATGTATTTTGAAGCAAGATGTGCTATGTCAACTGCACTCTGAGATTCTGAATGAACTGAAACATAATGAGGGCATCTCTCTGATGTTTTACGGATCTCATCTTTTGATGTTATGCATCAAAAACCACAGATCAGTGAAGCCAAGTTGCCTTGGCAGACATGGAATATCATCAATAGTTTTTGCCTTACCAAAACCACTCCAACATTTTAAATTTCACAACATGTTGCATTTCTACAGTGCTGCTTACAAAAACATTTAGAGACGGGCATACACAAAATGTTATCTGTATTGCCTTCATTTGTATGGCACAGTATGCATCACTACAACCACTTATTTCAAATTATCTTGACCTCAGCAATCCAATTATAGTCACTCCCAAATAGCTCTTTCATTGGCTGCAATTTTCATTCCGTTAGTCAGCAGAATGATCATAAATTTTCTTGCCACGTCCCCATTTCCTGTTGACTCTGTCTACAGGAATCCTAGAAAACCTATCGCATGTTGATATCAAGAGCAAATAGGATTATAAGGATGGGTCTCAGTATCCCCATTCATGTGGTTCATCCTGCTCAATCACAGACGCTGTTTGCTAGCAATAATCCCTAAGAGTCATTATTTTTGCTGTGGTTCTTTCCCCCCCTCAGCTAGTATCTCTTTTTTCCTAGATCTGCCCAGGTTGCTACTTTTCCAGTGCATAATCCTGACAAGATACAATTCATTTCTTTACAGGAAACAGCGTCTTGATTATTAACATTTTTAACAGAGTTTGGGGTTTTTTTGTAACAGTGTGGTATTCTCATTGTTGTTTTGAGCACAAACATTTGCATTTTACATTTAAATAATCCTGGGAAATGTAGCTTCTAAAAGTTGTTAGGAGACCCTTATTTCCCTCACAGAGCTCCGATTTCCAAATTCATTTGACAATCAATTCCTCTTCCCAGGAAACTCCAATAATAATAATTTTTATTATTATTATTTCTTGTGCTCTGCCCATCTGACTGGGTTGCCCCAGACACTCTGGGTGGCTTCCAATGAACATAAAAGCATAATAAAACTAATATTTTCTTAAAAAACCTTCCCTATGTAGAGATGCCTTCAGATGTCTTCTAAAAACTGTATTTATCTCCTTGAAATCTGGTGGAAGGGCGTTCCACAGGGCGGGCGCCACTACCGAGAAGGCCTTCTGCCTGGTTCCCTGTAACTCAGGCATAGGCAAACTCGGTCCTCCAGATGTTTTGGGACCACAACTCCCATCATCCTTAGCTAACAGGACCAGTGGTCAGGGATGATGGGAATGGTAGTCCCAAAACATCTGGAGGGCCGAGTTTGCCCATGCCTTCTGTAACCTCACTTGTCGCAGTGAGGGAACCGCCAGAAGGCCCTCGGAGCTGGACCTCAGTGTCCGGACTGAATGATGGGGTGGAGACGCTGCTTCAGGTATACTGGGCCGAGGCCGTTTAGGGAGAATTCCCTCAGGAGAATTGTAGCTCCGTGAGGGGAATAGGAGTCACCTAACAACTCTCAACACCCTTTACAATTTACACTTTCCAGGACCGTTTGGGGGGAAACCATGCATGTTTAAAGTGGTATGAAACTGCTTTAAATGCAGATGGGGTCATTCTCCTCGTTGTACAATGCTGTACTCCACAGAGTAATCTACTTGTTAATCAGTACCTGACGAGACCCCAAACCTAAACAACTTGAAGATACAGTCTTTATCAGTAACATGATCAATAAAAAGCCTCGTTAAACATTATATGACAGAAAGTTAATTGAATAACTTTCAAATAAAAGTTAAAACAAAGTTGACCTAAGTATGTTTAAAGCCTAGATGGGAAGTCCTACTGAAATGTGGACATAATTTCCTAGTAAACGTCCAAAGGTCTTGACGGTAATACTTCTGACTTTTAATTATATCAACTCTTTTCCAATATTCAGGATAAGAAATCAGGTACCAATCCTATGCATGCTTAGCTTGGGATAAGTCCCTTTGCGTATCCCAAGCAAATCTGCCAAGAAATCAGCTGCAAAGGCACAGAATTTTAGTGATACAGAAGTATATTCAGTATACTTCTGGACTGAGACCACTGTTTTAACTGAGTTTGTATTTTAAATCCTAACGAAAATTGTGGCATTAATTTACTTTACTCCCTTCTCTCTTTACATTAATTCTATGTTATCTTTAACATTTCCTGGCCACAGTGATCCATGCGACGGTCATCTCCAGGCTTGACTACTGTAATTCGCTCTACGCGGGGCTGCCCTTGAAGCTGTCCCAGAAACTCCAGCGGGTGCAGAATGCTGCAGCGAGGCTCCTCATGGGGTCTCTGCCATGGGAGCATATTCACCCAGTGCTTTTCAAGCTGCACTGGCTCCCGGTGGAGTAGAGTCAGATTTAAGGTGCTGCTTTTGACCTTTAAAGCCCTTCACGGCCTAGGACCCTCGTACCTACGGGACCGCCTCTCCTGGTATGCCCCACGGAGAGCCTCAAGGTCCATAAATAGCAACACCCTAGAGGTCCTGGACCCTAAGGAAGTCAGATTAGCCTCAACCAGAGCCAGGGCCTTTTCAACACTGGCTCCGGCCTGGTGGAACGCTCTGCCTCATGAGACCAGGGCCCTGCAGGATCTGATTTCTTTCCGCAGGGCCTGTAAGACAGAGTTGTTCTGCCTGGCCTTTGGCTTGGAGCCAATTTGATTCCCTCCCTCCCTCTCTTTCTTTTTCTTTTCCTTCTCCTCCTGCGATGAGGCTACATTTTAATATTTTAATGTTCCATTATTTTAATGTTGTATTTTATTTTTGTTTTTAAGTTGTAATCATTCATCTTGTTTTTATTATTGCTTGTAAGCCGCTCTGAGCCCGGCCTTGGCTGGGGAGGGCGGGGTATAAATAAAAAATTATTATTATTATTATTAACATTTCATCTCTATCCCTTTCAAAACACAGTGTCTGTTCACATATGATATTTCCCCCACCTAAACATAATCTCCAGATGGGGCAAAAAAACATGTGTGCAGATTAATATACTCATACATCTTCTGTCAGCATTTGCGCCGACCTCTTCCTCCTAATGTGCTCTTACGATACCGCTTATCTCTCTTGAGATTTCAAGACTGTCGAAATATCAACTTAAATTTAACTCACAATCCTTCTGCTAAAGCTCTTACCTTCTTCTTTTGCTCTCGAAGGTGGACCACAAATTACATTTTTATCCTTATCTTGACGCTTCCACGCATGCTCTCACATTGATAAATAGAAAAAGCACCATGGTCACAGGGATTGCTGCCAGCCGATGCGTAAGATTTCAGCCTTTAGGAAGTTCAAGAAAGAAATGTTTCCATCTCGCCCTCCACCTCCGGCATCCATCCTGCCCATATTTTTAGGTGGCCCCCACTCAACCTCCCAGAGAGGATCTTCATAGAGTGCTTTGGGGTCCAGGGGTGAGGAGGAGATCGGAAACATGACTATTGTGAACTTTTTGGATTGAACTTATCAGGGCTACATGGGAGTAAGCTTGATTGAACTCAATGGGCCTTTCTAGGTAAACTTGTTTAGGATCACACTTTCACAGACATCTGAAGGCGTAGAAGACATCTGAAGGCAGCCCTGTTTAGGGAAGCTTTTAATGGTTAATAGACTATTGTATTTTAATATTTTGTTGGAAGCTGCCCAGAGTGGCTGGGGAAACCCAGCCAGATGGGCGGGGTATAAATAAATAAATATATCATCATCATCCAAGCTGCTGCATATAGAAAGCAATTTATTGTGTGAACTGCCCTTAATATTACTGTGATTCACATATATTACACTCACTTGTAACAGTTAAGTATATTTTGCATTATGATAATTGCACAACATGGAAGACTGCTGCACCAGCTGCTAATAAGAGTTTAATTAAAGTTGCAAACGATAACAATAGTCAAGTCTGAAACGAAACAGAGAACACATTCACTGATATAATGGCAGGATTATATGAAGAAACATTATGCATATGCGCTCATATGCATAAACTAAGAGGCATGAGGATGGCAGGGATAGGAACAGCAATTTCTGGACATATAATATTGGCATCTTGGCATTATTATTATTATTACTTGCAAATGTGTTTTAATCCTTTGTTTACCATGGATTTTAATTATCTTTTGAATGTTTTAACTTCAATGTTCTTTTTGTTTTTTTGAAAGCCACTCATAGGTTTTATTACAATCATGCGGCAGGCCGAGAAATAAAATTACAAACATACCTCAGATTTCATATGAAACCATCCGGGTTTTTCTTTATAGAAAAATCCAGGTGCGTATGAACACATTTGAAATAATTTGAATTTAAAGCCATGCAACTCCGTCACAGTGCGCAGCAGCTAACTTCCCAAAATGAGGGAAGAGAGGTTTGTTAGTGCCGCTATACTCACATTTTCATGCTTCATGTGTTTCAGGAGACGCAATTCCCGATAGGCTCGCTTGGCAAAAAGCTCTGATTGAAATGGACGGTACAACTTCTTAATAGCCACTTTTGTTCCATTTTTCCTGTCAATAGCTGAGCTTAAAGGAAACGAGAACAGAAATTCCATGAATCAGAAGCTAGGCGAAAGGCTATAGCTGCATCCTGGGAAAGAGACAAAGCGCGTTTATTGACGCAGATAAGGAAGATGCCGTATAACAGCACCCAAGCAAGGGCGACAAAATTCAGTTTCTGTGTGTTCCCAACGCCTGCCAAGCCGTGTGGGCATTTCAACAAGAGGGTGGGTATGTGAGAGTGGAAAAGGATGGATATGTGTGCATGTGGCTCCCTTCAAACTTGCTTTCAGAACTCAGCAAATTTAACTGAAAGCCAGTGTGGTGTAGTGGTTAAGAACAGTAGACTCGTAATCTGGGGAACCGGGTTCGTGTCTCCGTTCTTCCACATGCAGCTGCTGGGTGACCTTGGGCTAGTCACACTTCCCTGAAGTCTCTCAGCCCCACTCACCTCACAGAGTGTTTGTTGTGGGTGAAGAAGGGAAAGGAGAATGTTAGCCGCTTTGAGACTCCTTCGGGTAGTGATAAAACGGGATATCAAATCCAAATCCAAACTGTGGCATGGTAGTTAGCTTGTTCATAAGTTAAGAGCATGGGCAGGCAGTTTCAGAAATGTATTGTAATACTGAAAAATGCCTCATTCCTGGACATATTATTTTTTATATCTAGCCAAGTATCATGTCTGGCTCGTGGGGTTTGTTTTCTTTTGCCAAATAATATTTATTAGTTTTCCAAATTTTACACAAATCAATGCCAAGTTACATAAAATTTAATACAATTTCCCCCCAAAGTTGACTTCCTGTTCTTTGTCCTCGATGCATCCCTACTTTCCCCCGATGCTGCTTGATATTACATATTTATTTCTACAGTGGTACCTTGGGTTACATACGCTTCAGGTTACAGACTCCGCTAACCCAGAAATAGTACCTCGGGTTAAGCACTTTGCTTCAGGATGAGAACAGAAATCTCGCGGCAGCAGCAGGAGGCCCCATTAGATAAAGTGGTGCTTCAGGTTAAGAACAGTTTCAGGTTAAGAATAGACCTCCAGAACGAATTAAGTTCTTAACCCGAGGTACCACTGTAATTCATATTTCATTCCTTATATACAATTAACAATTATTATTATTTAATTATTACTTTTCCCTTTTTCATTATCCATCAGCTGCCGATTTATAAATTCCTGCTCGTATATTTACATAATAATAACCCATTCCCTTAAAGAACAGAGGTTATACATCCCCTTGTGGGCTTTCCATAGGTGGCGCTGTGGTCTGAACCACTGAGCCTCTTGGGCTTGCCGATCGGAAGGTCGGCAGTTCGAATCCCCGCAACAGAGTGAGCTCTCGTTGCTCGGTCCCTGCTCCTGCCAACCTAGCAGTTTGAAAGCATGCCAGTGCAAGTAGATAAATAGTCACCGCTGCTGCGGGAAGGTAAATGGAGTTTTTGCGTGCTCTGTTTGCATCATGGTGCTCTGTTGTGCCAGAAGCAGTCTAGTCATGCTGGCCACATGACCCGGACCCACATGTGGACGAATGCCGGCTGCCTCGGCCTGAAAGCGGGATGAGCTCCGCAAGCCCATACAGTGGTACCTCGGGTTACAGATGCTTCAGGTTACAGACTCCGCTAACCCAGAAATAGTACCTCGGGGTAAAGAACTTTGCTTCAGGATGAGAACAGAAATCGTGCTCCGGCGGCGTGGCAGCAGCGGGAGGCCCCATTAGCTAAAGTGGTGCTTCAGGTTAAGAACAGTTTCAGGTTAAGAACGGACCTCCGGAATGAAGTTCTTAATCCGAGGTACCACTGTAGTTGCCTTTGACTGGACTCAACTGTCCAGGGGTCCTTTACCTTTACCTTAGGCAGTTGGGAGAGGAGAATTCTGAATAGACAGGACTTGTCTGTTCCAGCAGAACTCTTTCTGTGTTCTTATTACTACTCTAATGGGAACAGGCTCTCTTTATCTCAAACAGAAATATTCCCCAATACCTGCCACCTGAATCTTTTCAACTGGAAAACCTGGGACCTGCTGCACACAAAGGATGAATTCCATTGCTATGTGTTCTACCCAGAAAGGCACAGCAGTTTGATCTCCCTGCCCCCAGTCACAGTGAGTCCAAGACTATGTAGACAAGGTTGGGGAACATGTGGCCATCCAGCTGTTGTTGGATTCCAACTCCCATCAGCTCTAGCAAGCATAGCCAATGGTCAGGGATGATGGGAGTTGGAGTCCAACAACGTCTGCAGGTCCTTGGGTTCTTCACTCTTGCACCAGGCTAAATCGCAGTTGAATTACAGTTGTGAGGATAAGGCAGGAACAGCTTAAATCACTATGGCAGTTTTATTATGATGTTTCAGATGATAAAACACATGAGGCTAGATGTAAGTTTATATCCCTCTAAGAACCACATTTCCCACCTCAGGACTGCTGTGTTGTGGGGCCAGAAGATGAGAAAAACAGCTGTGGTGGTAGGCAGGAGACAATATTGTCACTGAAGGTCATCCCAGCTTGTAAATTAAGGTGCGACGCAAAACAGACATAAAAATAGCGAACAACGTTAACACCCGGTATGTGAAAAATTGACCCAGGGGCACTCCTAGAAAATGTCAACATATGGCTAAGGAACCATAATACAGTGCTACCTCGGGTTACAGACGCTTCAGGTTACAGACTCCGCTAACCCAGAAATAGTACCTCGGGTTAAGCACTTTGCTTCAGGATGAGAACAGAAATCGTGCTCTGGGGGTGTGGCAGCAGCGGGAGGCCCCATTAGCTAAAGTGGTACCTCAGGTTAAGAACAGTTTCAGGTTAAGAACGGACCTCCAGAACGAATTAAGTTCTTAACCTGAGGTACCACTGTAGTAAATATTCAAGACAGGTAAAGCTTAACTCAGGGGTCAGCAAACTTACCGCACCTCGGGCCGGTGTCTCCAGCGCTGATCACGCAGCGGGCTGGAGGCGGGGGAGCGCGTGCCCATATGCGTGCAAACACGCTATTTCTAGCGCACTTCCGGGTCGGAGGAGCACTGAAAATAGCTTGTGCCCATGTGCACGGGCCTCCTCCAACCCGGATGTGCACAGGAAATAACGCATGCACATGCGCACAAGCTATTTCCGGTGCTCCTCTGACCCGGAAGTGCGTTGCGGCAGCAGTGGGCGGCGGGGGTTGCCGCTGGCCGGATAAACGAGTCCCTCGGGCCTTATCCGGCCTGTGGGCCTTAATTTGGGAACCCCTGGCTTAAATGAACATTTTTTAAAAGGACTAATTCAGATGCCTGTCTTTTACGGAGTCAGACCTTTGGTGCATTAAACCCAATATATAGTGGTTGGTGGCAGTACTACCAACTGGTGCCAGGGACTAAACTTGGGAGTTTCTGACTTAGAGACAGAACCAGTAACCAAAACGGTCCTGCAAATACATCACTGTAAAAATATTACACTGCAACAGAAAACCCCATTGTTATTTAGGACCCTGATGACGGATTTGTCTCTGGGAATGTTATATGCAATAATAATAATAATAATCATAACAAAAACAAATCATAGATCATCAAATTGAGGAATTGGAAGGGTCATCTAGTCCAACCCCCTGCAATGCCAGAATCTTTTTCCCAACTTGCGGCTTGAACCAAAGACCCTGAGAATATAAACGCCTCCTTCTCTACAGAGTGAGATATTCCAGAATAATAATATGCATAAATAGATGCTTATAGTCTTATTGTTGTTAGCCGCTCTGAGCCCGGCTTCAGCTGGGGAGGGCGGGATATAAATATTTTTTTTAAATTATTATTATTATTATTATTATTATTATTATTATATTAATGCTTCCGTAATACTGACTCAACTGCTCACGAGTGTCCTTCAAAAGTGATCCTGCGAGTGCCAAGCACTGTCATCAAACAGACCTTGAAACACAACCAGAGGTATTCTGTTCCTTACCGTTAGTTTCTCTGTTCCTATTCCTTGCCCCACCCCCAAGTGCAGGCTTAGGCAAACTCGGCCCTCCAGATATTTTGGAACTACAATTCCCATCACCCCTGACCACTGGTCCTGTGAGCTAGGGATGATGGGAGTTGTAGTCCCAAAACTTCTGGAGGGCCGAGTTTGTCTATGCCTGCCCAAGTGGATATATCTGGCAGACTGAAAATAGTCTTGGCTCCACTAGTTTCTCTCATTCTTTCTCCTCGCCACAAAATGGAAATGGCGAGAGCAGAGTGAAAAGGAAGAGTGTGAGCATTGGCAATACAGTGCCCAAGACCCAAAGGAGGTCCAGCATTCACATGCAACTGGCGTAATTCTCCTGGACCCCCATGCAATTGCTATGGGGTTCATGGGGATTGCCATATAAACCACATAAAGGAAGGGTTGCAGCTCAGAGGCGGAGCCCATGCAGAGAGTCCCAGGTTCAATCCCTGTCTTTTTCAGTTAGGCTGGAATAATAATAATAATAATAATAATAATTAATAATAATTTATTTATACCCCACCCATCTGACTGGGCTTCGCCAGCCACTCTGGGTGGCTTTCAACAGAATATTAAAATACAATAATCTATTAAACATTAAAAGCTTTCCTAAACAGGGCTGCCTTCAGATGTCTTCTTAAAGTCTGGTAGTTGTTGTTTTTTCTTTGACATCTGGTGGGAGGGCATTCCACAGGACGAGTGCCACTACCGAGAAGGCCCTCTGCCTGGTTCCCTGTAACTTGGCTTCTCGCAGCAAGGGAACCACCAGAAGGCCGTCGGCACTGGACCTCAGACCAATGGGGGTGGAGAAAACGCTCCCATCTCCAAATCTGCAGACAGTACTGAGTTGGGTGGGCCTGACTCAGAAATATGGCACTTTCCTGTGCTCCTGACATTCTGGGGGTGGCTTAAATCTGCATTATTTAAGGTATTTATGTTATTTCTGGGAGAACTTTCTGACAGGAAGAGCTGTTCAGCAGTGGAAGCGTTTCCCTCAGGAGGTTGTGGACTCTCCTTACTTGGAGAATTTTAAAGCAGAGATTGGATGGCCATCTGCCATGGATGCTTCAGTTGAGATTCCTTCATTCCAACTCTACACTTCTATTCCACATTTTGGGGCAAGTCCGCACAAGGATTCTAACAACAGGGGAGAGAAAAAACGCCTGTCTTACATGTTAAATACCCTCTACCTCACCGCAGATTACTTCACCACTGTTTATGTAGGGATGGCCAAGCCTGACAGCCATTCTCAGCGGAAAATGAGGAACAGAAGGAGCTGCAAAGACCAGACGCTTGAATAGCACTCAACAAAAGGGAGCTTATCTGTGTCAAACAGTTCTTCCCTGTGCGCATCCTTCTGTATCTGACAGCTGTCAGCCTCCTCTATTTTACTCTCAACACCTTCCTGTGTCAGAAACACAACTGATGCTGGAGGTGCAGTTTCCTTGCACTAGCAGGGAGATCAGCCCTCACACAGCCTGTTGCAGGCAATAAAATACCAGCCTCCTTCCCTGTCCGCTTGAGGTTATTGGCATTTTAACATCTGTAGAAGCAGCAGAGAATCGGCTTCAAATGGGGCAGAAAGTCCACAAATTCTGTCATGCAGCCTTTTAAATGAAAGAATCCTGTGAAGGCACCCATATCAATGTCTGGGAACCCATTTGCCAAGAGCAAAATTTTGCTTCCTATCGCCCCCCCCCTTCAAACAGGAAGTTTCTAACACCACAGGAAGCAAGGCAATAAAAGTGAAAAAAAAAGAAGGTGGAGGAGAAGAAACATTTCTCCACGCACATTTTCACATTGCATAGACGTGGGCTTCAAGATGTGCAGGGAACCAGGCAAGAGGGGCTTTTCGGTAGTTGCGCCCACCCTGTGCAACGCCCTCGCAGCAGATGTCAAACAGGTAAACAGCTTGGTCGTTTTTCAAAGACATCTGAAGGCAGCCCTGTTCAGGGACGTTTTTAGTGTGTGACGTTGTATTGTGCTTTTACTAGTCAGATGGGTGGCAAATAAAATTATTATTATCATTATTATTATTATTGGGGTCCCATCAATCACATGACACGGCACATGCACACCATTTGAATGGCAATGTCCTTACACTTCCCCCCTCAAATATTTTAGGGGGAGAGGGCGGCGAAGGGACCTCGGCCCCCTAGGATTATGTTTTTATATGTGATTATTATTATTATTATGTTTTTATATGTTTGGAAGCTGCCCAGAGTGGCTGGGGCAGCCCAGTCAGATGGACAGGGTATAAATAAGCATATTCTGATTATGATTAAATAGGACGTCCCTATTTTCATTTGTGAAATATTGGAGGGTATGGGTGGGTCACCGTATAGATGTGCATTTCCCCCCCAAACAAGCTTATCCGACCACAGACCCCTGCACTTCCCCAGCTCTTAATCTTCAGACGGGCGAGCAGAAGAAGTACGAAGCGCTGGGTTCGAATTCGGCGCCCGATCGCCTCCGCCGAACCGGGCGCGCGGCGAATTGGCGAGGCGCAGCTGAGAGCGCAGACGGGAAGGCTGTGTGTGGAGCGCGCAAGCAGCAGCAGCAGCAGCAGCAGCGCGCAAACCCCCCAGCCCCCTTTTTCCAGAGTCTGCGGGGAAGCAGAAGTTGCGAGGCGCCCATTGTTCCCCCTCCGGCGACTCCGGGATCGCTGGGGAACTTGGATAGAGTCTCTCCCCACCCCCTCGCCCCGCTTTCCTCCGGGGCTGCTTCGCCTGCTGCTCCTCCTCGCCCTGCACCCCGGGGTCCTCCTTCCTCCCCTCGCCCCGCTCCAGACTCACCAGACGGCGCCGTAGGCTCCGGATCCCACCGCCTGCAGCTCCCGGTAGCGCTCCCTCACCTCCCACGCGGTCTTGGTGATCTCCTGCCGGTAGAAGCCTTTCTTGGGGGAGGACATGGCAGCTTCCCGCCTCCCCCGCGCCGCCAGCTCCCGGCGAAAGAGAGCAGCAACCGCGGCGGGAGGCGGAACCGCGCGCGGAGAGGGCGCGCCTCGCCTTTGCGCGCGCCCGTCCGCCTTCTGTCTCTCTCTCTCTCTCCGCCTGGGCGTGCGTTTCTCTTCCTCTTTCCCAGCCTCTGTGGAGGAGGGCGGCTCTCGCTCCTTCTCTCCCCCTTTCTTTTCCACCATTCACCCCCTTTGGTGGGAGGGGACCGCGCTGCAGGCAGCGTGGATGGATGGATGGATGAAGGTCTCGCAACATGCGCCCTCTTCCTCCAGGCCGTTTCCTTTCCCATTTTTTATTTTGGAGAGGTCGATTGACAACGCCGCTGGCTAGCTGGGAAAGAAATCTCTCTCTCCCGCCCCCCCCCCCGCACCCGAGGTTATATTTTATTACATTTCAAAAGTTTCACAGTGCCGGATTTAGGTATAAACTAAGCAAACTATTAGCTTAGGGTCCCACTCTCTTGGCCCCCCCCCCCAAAAAAAAAATTAAAGGGAAAACAAAAACTGGATGTACATTTCCAAAATATAACCTACTTCTCCTTAATTGTATTTCAGTTCAACAATTACTTTGATACATATTTTGTTATGTGCAAATGGCTTAGATCCATAAATTACCATATAGCATATATTCGACACAAAAAACACATAGCTGTCAACTTTTCCCTTTTCTTGCGAGGAATCCTATTCGGAATAAGGGAATTTCCCTTAAAAAGGGGGAAATGTTGACAGCTATGAAAAAACAGCGACAATTTGTTGTTGACAAAGGACAGCTGGACATATAAAGGGCTCCATTACCTTTAGTAGCTTAGGGCCTCATCAAACCTAAATCTGGCCCTGTATATACACTCCAACACATAAATGTCTCTTTTGTTTTGTCGACTTCCCAACCCGTTTCCCATGGTGGTATTTTTTATTTCTCCCCCTTTGCTGCACCATATTTTTTATTTCTTATACCATAGGAGCCAACTCCTAGGGGCTGAGGGGGTCTTTGCCCCCCATAAAATATTTGAGGGAGCTCCCCCTAAAGTTGATGGGCATAGTCATTCAAATCGATCACATGTCATGTGATCAATTATGTGGTTCAGGGCTTACCTGGCCCTTCCTAATGTTTTCTTCAAGGTGGCACCCGGGTCTTATACCATAACAATAATCTCTAATTCCTTCTGTTGCTCATAGTTCAAATCCTGATCGTGAATTCGTCATACTATAGCATTTCTTTCAGTAATCCGAATAAGGCTTCCATTCTTCCACAAAACTATCACCATTAAGTTCTCTTATTTTGGCTGTTAACTTTGCTGATTCCACATAGCCCAATCACCTTACTTACCCTTTCTTCTTTGGAGGGAACTTCTTCCTTCCATTTTTGTACATAAAGAATGGAAATGGCGGGAAAGAGAAATCGTTTTTTATCTCCTCCTAAATAAGCACTATGGTTTCCACATTGTTGTTTGCGTGTGAGGGTTGCACTTTTGATTGTCAAGTATCACCTTTGAGATGGTTGGCTAGAAAGTGGATTTTGTAATTGAACTGTCCCTGGTGATTCAAACTAAATACACATCTTGCAGTTTTAAGAGCCTCTTCCACAGTGCTCAGTCAAGGCATGAAAGCAACATCTGGTATACAGACATAATGCATCTGGACTTGGAAGCTCTACTCAGTCACGAACTTCCAAATCCAGTAGCAGTGTAACTTATTTGTCTTTATACTGTTGTCATTTTTCATTCATGCACAACACACACACACACACACCCACACACCCACACACCCACACACCCACACACCCACACACCCTGTTAGTGAATCTGGAAATTCTTCTCCAGATACATTTTATCCATGGTATCTTTTTATGTGCCTGATTTTCCATCCCCATCTATGTCAACAAACAATGAAGTTCCTGAGTGAAAATAGTGGATTAGGAACAAGAAAGAGACTTGTGGAACCTTGAATACGAATAAATTTAATTAGGGTATATAATCCAAATTATTTACAGTTTGCCAATTCTGGAACAGTCCAGTAAATTACACCGCACTATTTTTCTATAAGCATCAAGAACCATGAATGTAAGTAGCTGCTGCGACTTGCAAAATTAATTCAATTGCTACCCTATCATCTCTTTCATAAGCAGGGCAGCTAAAAAATGGGAAAGGGTGCATTCCCCACATTTTTCCTTATATGTGTTTGTGATTGGAGTCTGCAGCTGGTTTACTTGCAATTGCAGGATTTGTGGCAGACTTGTTACTTCCTTCGCAGAACTGTGTGACTCATTCACCTCTAGCAATAACTGTCTGTTTTGCATATCATGGTTAATCCACCTTAACCTTGCCTGTAAGTGGGAGGTAAAAATTGTGGCCATCACAAATAACTCACCAAAAGGGAGATTTGCCACAGGCTGAACTAAAGAGTGTCTGCGGTGACCCAGTATTTACAAGATTTGGCGTTGTTTCCAAATGGTTCCAGGAGAGTACCTGTTTTTAGGGTTGACTGAGACCGTCTCTTTCGACATTATGCTTTGGGCAGAGAGGCAGTCATGAAAAACATGACAAACATGCCTTGTTTTCTGTCACACCTCTGGGCTTATAGGCCAGAACAATTTTTGAAGTGGAAGCATCATAGGAAATGAGCTTTGGTACCATGATTGTCTCTCTGCATGGTAGCAAACAGCACACAGTGGAAGGAATCCATTTCAGTGGAATTGGACCTTGGTTCCTAACAGCAGGGCCACCAAACTTAACAATAGCACATTGGAAAATAACTGGTTTGTTATGAGCTATCCTTGCCAGCAGCTTCATCAAACAGATTTTTTAAAAAACTGCGTTACCGTAGGATCAATCAGGTTAACAAGGTGAGAAGGAACGATAACAGAAATACAAAATCATTCCTGTGCGTAGGAGTATATTCCAGCTGGTGGTCTGTATTTATTTGGGCACACTAGTGTCATTTTGGAACAAGAATATATTCTATAACCTGCACATTTGCTGGAACATTACACACAAATAACCAACAGTTGTTGGAGCACAAAATACAAAACGATTGCATAACCAACATGCGAGACAGTTCCCTTCTGCATTTGGGAAGACTGCCAATATTCATAGCTTGGACTCTTGAAGAAGCCAAACAAATTTTTTTTTAATGACTTCCCGTTTTTGCAGCTCCTTGCTTCCAGCTGGCTTTTGACAGAAATTGTAGCAGTGGGATTTCCTGCTTCAGCACGGAGGGTGGATGAGATGGACTTTGGAGGCCCTTTGCAAACTCTTGAGTGTGTGACCAACTGTTTACATTTCCCTGCTCTATGCTAGTGTGAACAGATCTGCCAAGGCAGGCACATCATACTTCTGGTGATGGGCTCTAGTCTACAAAAGCTTACGCCACAGTACACCTGTTAAGTCTTTTAGGGTGCCACAAAACTGTTGTGTATGAGGGTAACCCCAGGATCAAAGATGGTACACTGAGAGATTCTGAAATATTAAACCTTGCCAAATTTTCCATGTCAAGATTTTAATATACAATTTTATCAGCCATTCACTCCCTTTCTGAGGACGTTCAAAACAGCAAGTACCTAGAAGGTCGAACTGCCACTACATATTGGTGTGGAAGTGGTTTTTTCTGTATTAGCTGGCTTCCAGTATTTCAGGGAACTTGCAGCCTTCCAAATATTGGACTCCCAACTTCCATCAGAAGACACCTGAAGGCAGCGCTGTTTAGGGAAGTGTTTAATGTTTAACAGACTATTGTATTTTAATATTTTGTTGGAAGCCACCCAGAGTTGCTGGGGAAACCCAGCCAGATGGGTGGGGTATAAATAAATCATCATAATCGTCATCATCATCATCATCATCATCATCATCATCCTGACTTAGCTATGCTGACTTGAGATGATGGAAGTTGGAATCCAACAACATCTGGAGGACCACAGGTTCACAACTACTCCCGTATTATACCAACAATATTCAGGTGGCTCTTGCATGGGATAGTTCAAACTGGCTCACTTGTGTGGACAACTTCTTTACAAAAACAGTTTCCATATGGTTCCCTGTTCCAAGTAGCTACTGTGTCATTATCTATTAGTTTATCCCAAGAGATGCTCAAGACGCTGCTCCCCAATTTTGGAACCTTCCAGCAATGAGACCAAGTGTATCTATCTCCCTAGGGAAGGGGTCACCACTGAGAAAGCCCTGTCCCAGATACCTCCAGCAAGATGGCTCTTGGCTGGAGGACTAGCGAACAGGGCCTCAGAAACTACTCTTAATGGCTAGGCCGGCTTACATAGCAGAACGGAGCCTCAGGTGTGTGTGTGTGTGTGCACGCGCGCAAACATACAAAGACTCTCTAACTCCAAGGCTGCTTTTTCCAGAGGAAGCTCCTAAGTGACAGTATGAAAGAGGAAGTGTCCCATTTATGAGGCAAGCAGAGACCTACCAGTCTCAGATCTGAACTAGATGTATTTAATGGACATATTGATATACACATTACCATACGCCGGCCAGAGTTGTCCACCCACTTCTTTATACGTTCTATAGTATGCTGCAGATTTTATTTTATTTTTAATCCAAAGACATTCTAGTTTCAGCTCATGCACAGCACATACATTTTTACCCAGATTAAAATTAATTGCCATCATAAAAAATTTTAAAGCACAGGAAACATGTTTTGTTTTCAAAACAGTTTATTGACAGGGGAGGAACAGGCACTCCAAAATTACAGAGAAAGTGCTCTAGTGGGGAGCTAGATCTTCAAAGAACTCAAATGTGTGCGATAAATTCCACTCATTAGAACTTGACACAGTGGACCATTTTAGGGCTAGATCACTAGTAAAACTGTGCTCTGCAGTTTTCTACAACTATAGGAAAAATGACGGCAAACTCTAATGACAAAACAATGATCTGACTCTCTAACTTCCAACTGTCGGTCAATCACTCCAGAAATTCTTAGCATGGTCATGAAAACCACTACAGGTATCTATTATGACTAACTTACTACAGTGGCCCCTTCTCCTAAAGGCACTATCTATAAATTAAAAAATAAAATAAACATAACACAACATAGAATTAAGGTAACTCTTAAAAATAATAAATTGCTTGTATGGGCTTCTATTTTTGTTTCAACATACATTCATGCTTTAACTGTACAACCTCAAAATAATATTAAAATCACCGTTTTTGGCATCACAACCAATAGAATGAGACATGCAGAGAAGACACAGTTTTTTTTTGTAAAAAAACAAACCCTCAGTGCATCATTTGTCATAATGAAGCAGTTCTTAATGTTCTGTAATTATTACATTCGTAGTACAAGGCAAAACACACCCCGGATACATTTTCCTTCAGCGCTATTTATCTGCTTTCCCATAGCTTTTCCAAGATCTTTGGATAGTAAAATCTACGCTTGTGGTATATGAAATTAAATTGCAATGCAATCCGTTTAATAGTCTTCATAGTACAGCATGGCAAAAAAAAGGATAAGGTTCTGGATTTATTGTTCAATTTCAAGGCTATCCATCTTTAAATCGGGTGGTTTGAAGCTGATCACTTCTTCATATGTAAGTTCTTGAATGAGAGAAAGAGAGAGAAAAAAACAACCAAAGTGAATATGAAATATTAGTAATTTAGATATGCATCAGGGCATTGACGGCAGAAGGAACACACATATTCCAGGAAATGTCTGTGGTTGTTCGCTTTCTCAACACACACACACACACACACACACACACACACACACACATTTAATATACCAAGAACCTGAACCTCAGATTTGCTGTGCCAATAACTATATACTGAAGGATAGGCTGTGCTGACTACTGTACTGTAACAAACCATGGCTATAAAATCCCTAAAAAGACATTTTTCTCTAGCACTGAGGATGAATGACCCAACTCTGCAGGAAAACAATCAGCTCCAGTAGACAGATTTCTGCATGTTTTGCTGATGACCGTTTAAATACATTTCCCCATCTGTGTAAGGATCCTAACTCCTAATGAACTGAAGTCTTGCTTTTTAAAATAAAAAAATTGGAATGCACAGTCCATATCAGGAACACACAGTGTCATCTGACTAGTTTGCCCAGGATACAAAATAACACAATTTCCCCACATTGACACGGACATATCAACTACAGAAACTTTCCTTAAATTTGAATGAAAGTACCTACCTGTCTGGCTATTTAGTTTGAATGATCTCATGGATGCAAAACTTTAACGTTCTGCTTGCACACAGACGGACACTGCTTAAATTAAAATAGAACAGCCGAGCGTAGAAAAATGGTCTCTCTCACACTCAGGCATGGTGGAGGTGATGGAGATGAGATGTAGTATTAAAAGAACAACAACTGGTTTCTGGGTCAAAATCAAGGTACTTGTAGTAGTGTTTAAAGTCCTAAATAATGTAGCCCCACCCCACAAAACTGAGCAATAATCTCTTCCCCCCCTCACCCACTTAGGTGTTAAGATCAGTAGATCTTATGTTAGTGACATTACTATACTTATAAATTAAATTAAAAGCCCACCCAGTTCTTCTGAAAGAACCAGATAAGGCAGCTCTAGGGGGAAATCTTAGCATCTGGATGCTGATGAGAACTAATGCTAACATAGTTTGAAACACTTTAAATTTCAAAACATTGCTTCTACAACTTTAAGATGGTTTATGGTGGAATACAGTACAAAACCTGTAAAACATGGAGCGAAAGCTTTTATGAAACTAAAACAGACATTTTTAAAATCGAAACTTAAGAGAGAAAGAATCAAAAAGTGTTATGATTGATGATGGTTGGCCACATCACAGCAACAATCTCTGGGAAAACAACGTATCTTTCTAAAATCGAAAGCCCAGTGTATGTAAGGATTTCACTTCTGCTTTTCTTTGTGAGTTTTGCTAGAAGGCATTTCACTGAAACATTCCTTATATAATACCCGTCTTTGGGTGAAGTGCATGCGAATAATAATAAAACCAGCTTGCCTCAACATTTCAAGTGGTAGGGGGGGAAATACAACTGTGTCCTCTGCCTCTTTAAACCAAGGGTTGTCTATTATTTAAAGAAAGGGAGGTTACTGCATTTTACAGAAATAAATGTTGATAGGCAGTGTGTGTGTGGGGGTGAATTAGTGTGTAACAAAGAACCTCTTTCTCACGGTGTGAATACACATTCCCACCCCCCACCCCCACCCAGTGAATGGTAATTTGTTATGAGGTTATTTTGTAAAGACTAGCATAGGCTTCCTCAACTTCGGCCCTCCAGATGTTTTTGGCCTACAACTCCCATGATGCCTAGCTAGAAGGACCAGTGGTCAGGGATGATGGGAATTGTATTCTCAAAAACATCTGGAGGGCCGAGGTTGAGGAAGTCTGGTCTAGCAGAAGGTGGACTCCCTAGCTATGCAACTGGGCAGGCTATCTTATCCCAGATTGGTGGATAAGGACCACCATCACCATCAAGTTGTGGAAAATACGCCACAAAAATCTCTCAGCTAAAGTATTTCCATAGCACACATGTGTGCATTGACTTAGAATCATAGAATCATAGAATCATAGAGTTGGAAGAGACCACAAGGGCCATCGAGTCCAACCCCCTGCCAAGCAGGAAACACCATCAGAGCACTCCTGACATATGGTTGTCAAGCCTCTGCTTAAAGACCTCCAAAGAAGGAGACTCCACCACACTCCTTGGCAGCAAATTCCACTGTCAAACAGCTCTTACTGTCAGGAAGTTCTTCCTAATGTTTAGGTGGAATCTTCTTTCTTGTAGTTTGGATCCATTGCTCTGTGTCCGCTTCTCTGGAGCAGCAGAAAACAACCTTTCTCCCTCCTCTATGTGACATCCTTTTATATATTTGAACATGGCTATCATATCACCCCTTAACCACCTCTTCTCCAGGCTAAACATGCCCAGCTCCCTTAGCCGTTCCTCATAAGGCATCGTTTCCAGGCCTTTGACCATTTTGGTTGCCCTCCTCTGGACACGTTCCAGTTTGTCAGTGTCCTTCTTGAACTGTGGTGCCCAGAACTGGACACAGTACTCCAGGTGAGGTCTGACCAGAGCAGAATACAGTGGCACTATTACTTCCCTAGATCTAGATGCTATACTCCTACTGATGCAGCCCAGAATTGCATTGGCTTTTTTAGCTGACTTAAAATTCTTTTAATTGGGCCACAGGGTACATTGAGAGATTTGTTATGCACACTTACTTGGGAGCAAGCAGTATTGAACTCAGTGGGACTCACTTCCAAATAAACATGCATAAGTTCAGGCTGCTAAATGAAAGGGTGCAAGTGTTTAAACTCCACCAAGTAAGAAGAAAGTATCTGAATACACTGGTAGCAAGCAGCAAGTCGGTGTTCAGATCCCTGCACCTAACTAGAGTGCAGGTGGAATTGTCTCTTGACTCAGCAGTCAAAAGAGGAAAAATCAAATTGGAATGTGTGTGTATCAGTGTTTCCCAGACTTGGGTCACCAGCTGTTTTTGGACTACAACTCCCATCATCCCTAGCTGGTAAGACCAGTGGTCAAGGATGATGGGAACTGTAGTCCAAAAGCAGCTGGAGACCCAAGTTTGGGAAACACTGGGGGAGTTGAAGGTGATGCCCTATGTGTTGAGCACGCAACACAATAAAAGAACACAGGCTAGAACCCGAACATAAGGCGGAAGTTCATGGAAATAAATTTTACTGCATCCCCTGAAAATGCTCTCTGGAGATAGGGTGCGGAAGGCTCATCAGAAAGGAACAAAGGTGGAACAGGAAGCTTCTGTTAACTTGAATGTTGTATTAGGGCTCATGTCAAATTTCAGACAATAAATCCTGCCCTCCATTTTCCGACTCTCCATCCCACATTGCTGAGGGGTTCTTTCAACCCTTCAGAGAGGCTTCTGAACGCTGTTAGCATAGGATATTTTGCACAAAGCGAGTTGCGTGTTTATGTAATTTTCGGGTGCTGGTCTTCATTCACTTCTTAAACCTGAAACAATATCCCTTGCTAGCAAAAAAAAGAATGTTGCCCGTGGCATTATTTAAAACTTCAAGGTCCCAGTGAGAGCCTTACTCTGTTTAAATAATGTCACAGGCAACATGTTTTGCTAGCAAGGGATATTCTTTGTCACTTTAGCCTTGAGCAGAAATGAGACTATATATCTTAAGATGTTGTTAACATCCAGTGGCTGAGGTTAAAGCAAACATCTGAAGTAATTCTAGCAAGAAGCTACAGGTCCCATAGTTCACAATGTACATGCCGGGGCCAGTTCCTATCAAATGTTTGCAAGTTCTGAACAAATGGCTTTCCCTTCTTTACATTTCAAAATAAAGCTTAACCAAAATAAACAAAAAAATAGAAATCCCCTCAAGTCACTGATAACTGAGCAAAACCAGGCAAAGAGATTTTATTTCCTTATGAAGTCCTAAAAATGGAATCAAAGAGTTCTGTAAAAATTGTCTAAAAACCCAATTTTCTTTGGTCTTCTAGAATCTGGGGTGGGGGTTGCTCTGCATGTCAACTGCAGAACGACAGACTTCTTTACCTTTCCATTCATCTATAATCCGTTCTTTATTCTCTATTGATTCATCATACAGTTCTGCCTCAGGTTCATCATCAGGATCGTGGTATTGTACAAAGTAAGGATGCGCAAGTGCTTCTGATGCTGTTATTCTTTTATCGCTATCCAGTATAAGCATTTTCTCAAGAAGATCTACAGCTAGGATTAAAAGAAAAGAAAATCCAAAATTCACTTTACCACCATCATCAGGAAAACTGAAATATCTTGAGTAAAATGTTGCATGCCTTCCACAACCTAATCTCAAAGTTGCAAAATATTTATTTTTAAAAAATTAACCAAAGGAAAATATAGCATTATAAACATGTTTATTTGGTACCACTTTGCACAAAGCATTTTGTGTCTGGGAATCAGTTCCCAGGCACAAAACGCAAACAGTCAAGCATGAAATTACAGATGAACCATGATGAAAAGAAAATAACAGATCCCTGTTTGTGTATATTTTAAAGAAAGAAAATAACGATATATTTACACAGGCATGCTAGATAATTGATGCTTGGCTGAGTTAAGTTTCTACATACAAAACGTATAAAACATCATTTAATTACCAGCACGCTCACAGCTTATTAATTACTAATTAATAACTAGCATGATCACAGCCAATATTAAGTGCTGTCTAGTGGCAAGCACCTTATTTGCTGTGGTAATCTCAGGTGGTTTGTGACATCTGGTTGCCATTAGCTTAGCAATTCTGAATGCTACAGGGTTTGAGAGTGCCTTGAACCAGACTGCTATGTGCTAAGGGTAAACAGGGAGACCTTAGACTTTGAATTAAGAGATCCATGAGTAACCTTGGGCAACGTTTCGGCTGAAAAGCAGGAAGTCAGACCGACAGCTTATGCAATACACAATCTGATCCCCATACCAAGGCTGCATTTAAGTCCCGCACGATCAATTCTGCTCCCTTCGCAACTGCTGATCTGTGAAAGTGCTGTAAAGGCAAGGAAGGGTGTTGGGCAAGAGGGTGGAGATCCTCAAGGAGGGGGTGGAATATATAGCACAACTTACTACTATAGTAAGTACACACACATTCACCATCCAGGGCTTTTGTGCTGGTGTATGTTGAAAAAGAGAGGGGCTAGGGAAGGAGGAGGGGGGAAAGATTTGCTAACCCAGTCCACTCTACAGGCCTTCAGGCAAACAAAAAACAATAAATATTGAACCATAGACTGATGATATATATACTGCCATTCTGGTAACAAGCAGAAGGATAGAGTCGGATAACCAGGAGCTACATAGTAGTTGCTTACAAGCTAACTTACAGTTCCTGAAAATGCATTTTTAGGTAGTTACATGCAGTTAAGCTTCCGGACAACCACAGAAAGGCTGTGATATTGTGTTAAAAAGGCAGGCATTGGATGGAAAATTCATTTTTTAAAAAAGAATTATTCAGTGCCTTGTGCAGTACTTCTGTTGCTAGTCCTAGTAGTCATACCTCATGTTGCGTCCGCTTCAGGTTGAGTTTTTTCAGGTTGCGGACTGCCGAAACCCAGAAGTACTGGAATGGGTTCCGGGTTTCGGCAGTCGCACATGCGCAGACGCGCTGAATCGCAACCCGCGCGTGCACAGACTTGGGGTGCGAACGCTGTGGGTTGAGAATGTGCATCCCGCATGGATCACATTCACAACCCGAGTGTCCACTGTATTAGACTAGGGATACGGTCCAAGGATCCTTCATGGAGAACCTTCCAGAGGCAGGTGAGGCAAGAGGCAAAAGGGGACAGAACAATGGAGGCATGTATTACCTTTGTACAGCAGGCTACATTTCAGCCATGCAAAACTCAGGTGTTACCATTCTGGTAAGCAAAAGGTATTATCACATTCACATTCTAGCCAGGCAAAAGCTCTCAAGAAGGATGCAGGGCAGAGCACGGCTTAGAAGAGACACGATGGCTAGTTAAGAGATAGCCTCTTGGGTTGAGGTTCTCCACCCTTATACGAGACTGAAGACGTTTGAAAAATTGACAGCACCATACATTTTCTACCTGAGCAGACTGTACCTGTGCAAAACAAGAACAGTAAATACTAAAACCTCCAAGTTCATACCTAATGGGTTGGCTCCACGAAATACTGCTTTCAGATCCTGTTGAGGCATGTGTGGTAGAGATTCTATGTACTTTCTGGCCTGCAATAAAGGAAGGTGGATGCACGTATTTAGGTTTTTGGTAAAAAATATATATATTCACCCTTGGGGAATCAATACACACAACTCCTTTGGTGCCTAGGCATAAAAAATAATGGCATTTCAACACAACCAGCCATCCCTGAATATTTGCAAGGTTTATAGATATCAATCTGTAAGATAGAGAGTTAATAAAATTGCAACTCGAAGATGAGAGGCAAACCACTTTTTTTGGTTAGCTCTCTTCATCCATCTCACCTCTGCTAAACATGGGTGTAAATCAGATGCTATTGAAGCCCTAGTCTAACCCTGTGACAGAAGAATTAAGTGGAAGGATGGTTGATATTAGGGGGTAACTGGTAGTGTTGCTGAGAAATGATAGTGTATCTGGGTGTGTGGGGGGAGGGGAATAAGATGAGAGAGATAATGAAAGTATATGTCGAAGTATCAGACCCCTGTTATGAAACTTAAGCTAGTGAGTTAGGAAATTAGAACTCTGCCTATAATGACTACTTGTTTTGAATGTTACCTTAATTGCATATATGTTTGCATTCTCACATATATTCTGAAGTTCTAACTGTCTGTGTTCTGGCCTGGGTGGATTCCAAAGCTAAACACACCTGAGCCCACATAGCTAATGTAAATGCACAAATATAAAGGGATAGTCCTAATGCTCTCTATAAGACAGCAGGTGGACACGGCAGGTATTTTGAGTGAAGTCTGGACTCAGCAGTGTACCTGAGGGACTGCCCTGAGTGACCCTCAAGGAATATAAAAAAACCACCTTGTTAAATACATGACTGCAGAATCTCCACAGGTCTATAAGGTGAACTAGAAAAGCAGCGATCAGCAAAGAGGTGTCATATCCTCTATTCCCAGTGGCAACCATATGAATCACGCAGTCATCATCGCTTTAACAGGCATCAGAAATGTCAAAATGTACTGTCACAGCAATAAAAAGGGCAGAAGTGACATTCTTGCTCATACACACTTTGAAACCTAAACTGTATTTTTTGGCCAATTATATTCATTATTGTCTATTCCATGTTTTCCTGCTCACTTCCGTTTTTCATATGAAAAATCATTCAGGTCAGACATTACCACACCCATGCCACTCTCATGAGCTGAAAATTACAGCCTCCTGAAGCTGCTTTCATTAAAAGCAAATAACTACATTCGTTAGGTGCATTTGAAAAGAGAGTTTGCCTTTTAATAGGACTTTGGGATTTACTACACAGCAAGTGTTTGACGTGGGTGGCACTGTGGTCTAAACCGCAGAGCCTAGGGCTTGCGGTTCGAATCCTGGCAACGGGGTGAGCTCCCAATGCTCAGTCCCAGCCTCTGCCCACCTAGCACTTTGAAAGCACATCAAAGTGCAAATAGATAAATAGGTACCGCTCCTGCGGGAAGGTAAACGGCGTTTCCGTGCGCTGTTCTGGTTTGCCAGAAGTGGCTTAGTCATGCTGGCCACACGACCCGGAAAAACTGTCTGCGGACAAACGCCGGCTCCCTCAGCTAGTAAAGTGAGATGAGCACTGTGACCCCAGAGTTGTCCGCGACTGGATTTAACGGTCAGGGATCCCTTTACCTTAAGTGTTTGACTAACTTACTTGCAAGTCTCCACATGCACCCTTCTTCAGAACCCAGAACACTTATAATTGGCATTCTGGGAACATCACCAGAAACACCTCAGGAAATGGTCAGAGACTGCTATGATTGGGGAAGGATATGGCCAAGCAACCAAGAGCAGCTCAGAGTACAACAGAGAAACAGGAAGAACAGAAAACCTAAAGTAATAACTTTTGTAATTCCCTATCGAGGAATAGGGAAATCTGGGAGGCTCCCAACAGAATATTAAAAACACGATAAAAGATCAAATATTAAAAGCTTCTCTAAACAGGGCTGATTTCAGATGTCTTCTAAAAGCCAGATAGTTGTGTATTTCCTGGACATCTGATGGGAGGGTGTTCCACAGGGTGGGCCCCACTACCGAGAAGGTCCTCTGCCTGGTTCCCTGTAACCTCACTTCTTGCAGTGAGGGAACCACCAGAAGGCCCTCAGAGCTAGGCAGAACGATGGGGGTGGAGACACTCCTTCAGGTATACTGAGCCGAGGCCATTTAGGGTTTTAAAGGTCAGCGCCAAAACTTTGAATTGTGCTCAGAAACGTACTGGGAGCCAATGAAGGTCTTTCAGGACTGGTGTTATATGGTCTCGGCAGCTACTCCCAGTCACCAGTCTAGCTGCCACATTCTGGATTAGTTGTAGTTTCCAGGTCACCGTCAAAGGTAGTCCCACATAGAGCGCATTGCAGTGGTCCAAGCGAGAGATAACTAGAGCATGCACCATTCTGGCGAGGCAGTCTGTGGGCAGGTAGGGTCTCAGCCCATGTACCAGATGGAGCTGGTAGACAGCCGCCCTGGACACAGAATTGACCTGTGCCTCCATGGACAGCTGTGAGTCCAGAATGACTCCCAGGCTGCGCACCTGGTCCTTCAGGGGCACATTTATCCCATTCAGGACCAGGGAGTTCCCCACACTCGCCCATCCCCTGTCCCCCCAAAACAATACTTCTGTCTTGTCAGGATTCAACCTGAAGATGGGGGTAGTTCTTCATCAGGAATTAATGACGTACATTTGAGTTAAAAACATGCAAGGAGACAACAATACTCTCATGTTATTGGCTTGGGCATTTTTCTAAGTACCTGCAAGTTTTAATTTCTCTCCTTAACGTTTTTTATGCTTTTTATAACAAAGCCACTATCACGGCATCCTAATTAACAGCCATACTTTTCATTGCTTGCCATCATTATTTGTTCACAAAATGGGTAGATAATGAATCCCTCAACTGCCCCCTTTAATCTCACTACTATTATAATCTTTCAATTATCCATTTAATCTCACCCAATATGTTTAATGGCATTTAAGTGTGTAATTTGCAAAACAGGCATTTATTCCAAAAATGCTACCGGCAAGTCTTTAACTAAACACAGAGACATATTTGACTTAGACTGTTCTCGTGTGCCCTCTTGTAATTCTGCTGAATATTTTAAAGATGCCATTTCCAGTTGCTGTGTATTAAATAGATTCAGCTTTGTAGAGGCATGGAGTGGGATGAGAATCATCCAAAAGTATCGTTTGAGCAATCACCCAGGGAGCAGTAGTTGGGGAAGGAGAGTGATTTCAATGCCCCCGCGTTCTGTGTCAAAACAGAGTATGGTATTTTCCCGTCTATAAGACACCCCCATCTATAAGACACCCCCAAATTTTTGACATTATTTTAAAGGAAAAAACCCTAGTCTTATACACGGAAAAATACGGTATATTAAATAGCACAAGTTCCCCAGGATTCCCATTGAAAACACATAGAACAGAGACGGTGATAAACTTAGTGGCTTGCTTTGCATGTCACATTAAGTCAAACCTTGGTTACAACTAGAAGGCGCTATATGATGATTCCAGGTTTCAGCCATAGTTTAGATCAATGCATGGTGTCAACAGCAAAAATGCCTGTGACAATGCGACCATGACCTCTTGTGGGAGCCTGCATGTGGTTGCACTAACTAAACCATGGTTTGGCTTAGTGTGACGTGCAAACCAGTGTTTCTACAGTTGTGGCATAAATTACTAAAATAATCTACAGCTAATTGTGGACAATGATCCTTTTTTCTAAGAGTGCGCTGTGGTCTAAACCACTGAGCCTCTTGGGCTTGCCGATCAGAAGGTCGGTGGTTCGAATCCCTGCGACGGGGTGAACTCCCGTTGCTCTGTCCCAGCTCCTGCCAACCTAGCAGTTTGAAGGCATGCCAAAAAGTGCAAGTAGATAAATAGGTACCACTCCAGTAGGAAGGTAAACGGCATTTCCGTGTGCTGCTCTGGTTTTGATGTTCTATTGCGCCAGAAGCGGCTTAGTCATGCTGGCCACATGACCTGGAAAAACTGTGGACAAACATCAGCTCACTCGGCTTGTAAAGTGAGATGAGCGCCGCAACTCCAGAGTTGTCTGCGAGTGGACTTAACTATCAGGGGTCCTTTACCTTTACCTTGTCTGATGGGTCTGTTGTCATTTAGAGACTCACAACCAACAATGGACCACCCAACAATGATACAAACCAGGGTCATGCCTGCAGCAATCCACACTTTCCTGACAATCTACTCCTACAAAACTACCTGTAGGACCCAAAAACATTAACCATACCACCAGGGATTCATTACACATACATTCTCCAACATTATATACGCTACACCTTTCAGCCTCATATCAATTTCTATGCAAGAGAATAAATGGACACAACGATGGCATTAATAATATCCCACTAATTTCTGAATGTTGCCAATGTTTCAGTCTCCTGGGACATGCTAACCTCAAAATCACCATACTTCACCATAAAAGGCTTCAAAAGGAGACTATAGCATAACATTTATAAACTAGAATTTATCAGCAAATTCAGTCTTATTCGAATTGGACTTCATCAGGACTGTGTGCTTCTTTCCCACTACAGGTGTTAAATTAACACAGCATAGCAAGAAAGTATTATCTCCAGCGACTGCATTTGTCAATGGTTTACGTTGTATGTAATCTGCCTATTGAATGCAATGTCATGGGTTCAAGTCCACAAAATCTTATGCCATGATAATATTTTTAGTTCTTAAAAATATGCTTTTCTCTCTGTTTTTTTGCCCCTAATCTAGATACCCCCCTGGAATAAGCAACCATGTATACATTCTAACCATGCTTAGAAAATGGCATCTATATTATGTGTTTGCTATGGCTTCCCCATTCACTTGTCTTTCATAGGTTGCTTAGATTACGTTGCCTACAAACCAAAAGCTGTGGATCTCCTTTTCTTCACAAACCCACAATAAAGGGGACCCCAGACCATTAGGTCCAGTCGTGGCCGACTCTGGGGTTGCGGCGCTCATCTCGCTTTATTGGCCGAGGGAGCCGGCGTTTGTCTGCAGACAGCTTCTGGGTCATATGGCCAGCATGACTAAGACGCTTCCGGCGAACCAGAGCAGTGAACGGAAACACCGTTTACCTTCCCGCTGGAGCGGTACCTATTTATCTACTTGCACTTTGACGTGCTTTCGAACTGCGAGGTTGGCAGGAGCAGGGACCGAGCAACGGGAGCTCAGTCCGTCGTGGGGATTTGAACCGCCGACCTTCTTATCGGCAAGTCCTAGGCTCTGTGGTTTAACCCACAGCGCCACCCGCATCCCAAATCCACAATGGGATTGTATTAAAAACACCTAGTATCTTTTAACATTCTAAAATTCACCGCTCACACATGATTACCATTAACTGCTTTAAAAAGCTTCGTAAATTGAAAACATTTTGTTCCTGTACAACTCAGGAAACCAACATGAGACAGCAAATAGATCTCAATGATTATTCTTAGTGAAACATTGCACTTACATGCTCTGATGAGATTTTCTTGAGAAGTTCAGAACTGGGTGTACCAACCACTTCCATTATTCGTTTCAGCTGGTCAATATCTGTACAAATTTAAGAAAGCTACAGGAAACGTGGGGAAATAGCAGATGAGCCGCTTGCTTACATAAATTGCCAAACCCGTGTCCAACCTCTGCTTAATCTACTCCGTTATCTAATGGTGGAAGTTTAGAGAAGTAGACTTTTCTTATGCCATAAAGCTCTTTGCAGACAAAGTGCAGTCTTATTCTTCACCAGACAATGGAAACTGAAACAGAGTTATACAGTATATGTCTTTAAGTCCTCGGCTATATTAGCTGAATGATCCATTGGTCTTTTTAGGAAATGATAAGAGTTTAGTAGAAATCTCAGATTTGGTTGTTATGAGAGTGTGATCCATCATCAAATACCAAACAAAGCTTATCATTGTATGGGTAGGCCGTGATTGATATATTTCAGCATATATCACAGCCTACCCATACAGTTGTACCTTGGCTCCCAAACGCCCTGGAACTCGGAACGCCGCAAACCCGGAAGTGATTGTTCTGGTTTCCAAACACTCTTTTGGAATCTGAATGTCCGACAGGGCTTTCGCGACTTCTGATTGGTTGCAGGAGCTTCCTGCAGCCAACAAAAGCCATGATTTGGTTTTCGAATGTTTTGGAAGTCGAACAGATTTCCGGAACGGATTCCGTTTGACTTCCAAGGTACAACTCTCCCTCTCTCTCTCTCTGTTATATATATTAGAAACTCTCTAGAACAGCGGTTCTCAACTACAACTCCCATCACCCCTGAGCTCTGGCCTTGCTAGCTAGGGGTGATGGGAGTTGTAGTTCAACAACATCTGGGGACCCACAGGTTGAGAAAGGCAGCTCTAGAAGATAAAAGGAATCACCCAACTATCCATTCTGCCAAAGCTGAAAGCCCTCACACTTCTAAGCCTACAGAGTGTGGTTTATTATGACAGTAGTCCAAGTCGTTCCTCTTCATCCTGGAGAAGAGTGACTAGTGGGGTACCACAGGGTTCTGTCTTGGGCCCGGTCGTATTCAACATCTTTATCAACGACTTGGATGATGGACTCAAGGGCATCCTGATCAAATTTGCTGATGACACCAAACTGGGAGGGGTGGCTAACACCCCAGAGGACAGGATCACACTTCAAAACGACCTTGACAGATTAGAGAACTGGGCAAAAACAAACAAGATGAATTTTAACAGGGAGAAATGTAAAGTATTGCACTTGGGCAAAAAAAAAAAATGAGAGGCACAAATACAAGATGGGTGACACCTGGCTTGAGAGCAGTACACGTGAAAAGGATCTAGGAGTCTTGGTTGACCACAAAGTTGACATGAGCCAACAGTGTGACGCGGCAGCTAAAAAAGCCAATGCAATTCTGGGCTGCATCAATAGGAGTATAGCATCTAGATCAAGGGAAGTAATAGTGCCACTGTATTCTGCTCTGGTCAGACCTCACCTGGAGTACTGTGTCCAGTTCTGGGCACCACAGTTCAAGAAGGACACTGACAAACTGGAACGTGTCCAGAGGAGGGCAACCAAAATGGTCAAAGGCCTGGAAACGATGCCTTATGAGGAATGGCTAAGGGAGCTGGGCGTGTTTAGCCTGGAGAAGAGGAGGTTAAGGGGTGATATGATAGCCATGTTCAAATATATAAAAGGATGTCACATAGAGGAGGGAGAAAGGTTGTTTTCTGCTGCTCCAGAGAAGCGGACACGGAGCAATGGATCCAAACTACAAGAAAGAAGATTCCACCTAAACATTAGGAAGAACTTCCTGACAGTAAGAGCTGTTCGACAGTGGAATTTGCTGCCAAGGAGTGTGGTGGAGTCTCCTTCTTTGGAGGTCTTTAAGCAGAGGCTTGACAACCATATGTCAGGAGTGCTCTGATGGTGTTTCCTGCTTGGCAGGGGGTTGGACTCGATGGCCCTTGTGGTCTCTTCCAACTCTATGATTCTATGATTCACTAGGAGTGTGCACAGTTCCTAGTGTTGGCTTTGAAAGGCAAAGCCCTTGTTTTCAGTGAGTACATACTGTCCCTTTCCTCTTCACAAATGAATAAGGAGAGCCCTTATCCACCCATGGTCTTTGGGAAACAAAGCCATCATCTCTTGTATCACTGGTGTTTCCTGCTTGGCAGGGGGTTGGACACGATGGCCCTTGTGGTCTCTTCCAACTCTATGATTCTATGATTCATTCTCTAACAGTGCCATTAATAACTGCAGTGGGGAAGCTTTCCCCAGGGTCTTGTTGTTTGCAAATCCATCTCCTTATAAAGGTACCTGCCTGCCAGTTCCTATGGTTACCTTGCTGGAAGTGATGCTTCCAACATGAGTCATCAAACAACGATGGACACAGAATGTAAGCCTATGGAATCTGTATTCAAAAGTGAACTCAGCACCTGGGATGCATCACCCCACCTATGTTGGTTGGTACCAGCGTTGGAAGTCCCCAAACGGGTTGCTTTCAATATGCTCCAAAACGGGAAAAGAACAGATCGTCTTCAGATAGTCCTGGGTGCTGCTAAATTAGAGAGGGATAATAATTTATATATATATAAAATTGTATTATTTTCCCCAGCCGTTCTGGGCCGATACCCTGTGTTTTCCAAGGGAGCTATGAATCTTTTCAGCATCTCTGTTCTCCAGCCCAGCAACCACAGTCTTTTTCAAGCTGTTTTTGTATCTGGGTCATTATTTAAATGAAGCATAGAAAAGCAAAGATTTTAGGCAGCCTACTGTGGCTTAAGGACACAATGTTTGTTACTCTTTATGACCATTATCGCGTCCAGCTGTGGGGGGGGGGGAACAGTCACTTTAATGATTACTAATATGTTTGTTGTACCATTTTTTTTGTGTGTGTGTTAAACGGCTAACACTGCTTTAAAAGCATATCTGTGGCACCAGCAGTGCGAGACCCAGAGTATATTTGCACTTGTAGGGGGAAAGGATACAGTCGTTTCCAGGGAAAAGGGCCTTCCCTTTTAGCAGCTCTGCCATGATGCATCCAACTGACCAAATGTCAACTGCCAAAACACAAAACAACCAATCAGAAGGGGCTTTTTTGCCGGGTTGCGGAGAATCTGCATGACAAAGGTATTCCCATCCAAGCCCTTAAGGTACATATTTCATAGCACAACACAAGGAGATTCCCTCCCCGCTCCATCTTACCTGTTTGATTATAATGCATCCAATTCAACATGATTTCCGGGGCTCTGTACCACCGTGTCGCTACATAACCTGTCATTTCATCATCCGTTTGCCGGGCTAAGCCAAAGTCTAAAATCTACAGAATAATAATAATAATGAAATTCCCATTATTTTTATTATATAAATGGTCAAACCTATCTTTCTTCTGGCTCTCATGACTCATCTAAGCCAACAAGAGAAACATCGGGTCCATAGCTAACCCACAGTTCCAACAATTAGAGATTTCCTGCTTTCTCTCTACTACCCAAACAGATTCTCCTACAACCAACTTGAGGTGTATCATAGAAAACAGCAGGATCATTTGGAGGGAAAAAATAATGTGCGATGTTGCTAGATATAATCATGCAACCCTGCCACTTCTTACTGGAACCCAGAAGTGAGGAGGAACACCTAGGCTCTTTCTAGGTTGTTGACTCCTTTGGCTAGTTTCTCTTTCCTTCGCTGGTCAGAAGAGGCCTAAAGTCAGTATGAACCAACTACGAGGTCACCTAGAAAACTGAGCATTTATATTGACACACGGAGCTTGGCAGATCAGTGACAGTGGTGAAGGGGAATTTTTGGTATATTTTGGGAAGGTGCTAGAGGCAGCAGCTGGTTCAGGATTCACACATCAGTCAATCAAAACTGCAGAGGGAAACGCCGGCCCCCCAGATGATTTGGAACTACAATTCCCATCATCCCTGACCACTGGTCCTGTTAGCTAGGGATGATGGGAGTTGTAGTCCCAAAACATCTGGAGGGCCGGAGTTTGCCTATGCCTAAAGCATAAAGGGAGGTGTCCCAGGATTTAGGTATATAGGAAATTGCCTCATATCTGCTCAGACTATTGATCCATCTATCTCAGTCTAGTCTACTCCGATGGGCAGTAGCTCTCTGGGTCCCCTTTACATACAGAGCATGTACCGTACTCAGTCACTGAGCTATGGTCCGTCCTGAGGGCAACCTTTTCCTCCCAGGGTGTGACGGCCAGTGACACAAAGCATGCACATAAAATCAGGCAGCACAAACCAGAAGGTGATGCTCTCTATCCATTATTTTGATTATAATTTCTCATAAACTGCTATTTCTCAGACTAACCCAGTATTAGTAAGGTGTGCCGGTCTCTACCCATTATTAACTTTTAGGAGGAATCTGAAAACATTCCTGTTCACCCAGGTATTTGGTGGCTGAAGAATGCTGCTCCTGGCAGCCCCAAGATCACAGAATGGAAGAATGTTTTTAACTGTAACTAGAGGCTTTTAATTGTAATTGCTTTTACAATGCTTTAGAATGCTTCCCCCCACTTCCTAAATTGTGTATCTGTTTGCCGCCCTGGGCTTCTTGGGGAGGAAGGGCAGGATATAAAATCAATGATCAATAAAATCTTTGTAAGATTTCTCTTTTCCTACTGTTTGTCTATTATATATAGCCACTCTGGGCGGCTTCCAACAAAATATTAAAATACAATAGTCCTTCAGATATTAAAAGCTTCTCTAAAACCGGGCTGCCTTCAAATGTCTCCTAAAAGTCAGATAGTTGTTTATTTCCTTGACATCTGGTGGGAGGGCGTTCTACAGGGCAGGTGCCACTACTGAGAAGGCCCTCTGCCTTGTTCCCTGTAACTTCGCTTCTCAGAGTGAGGGAACTGCCAGAAGGCCCTCGGAGTTGGACCTCAGTGTCCGGGCTGAATGATGGGGGTGGAGACGCTCCTTCAGGTATACTGGACTGAGGCTGTTTAGGGCTTTAAAGGTCATTACTAGGGTCATTCATGGATTATTTCCTTTCTTTGACTATGAAACGAGGACATAAGTGCACCAGGTAAAAACATCTGTTTTGTATGTCTTAGTTATAGATGCAGAGGCCTGAAACATTGTTTCTTTGACTCAGAATCTTTTGAGCATACTTGATCCAGAAATCTAATCAGTAATGAATTCACTGTGCCAGGCTTAATTTAGCTTTTTATCTGCCTCATTAAAATATTCTATGAATATTAAGGGGATAATTCAGAAGCCCTGTGACTTAAGCATGTCGTGACTTAGAGACCGACGTCTTTAAGACAATGGCTTGATGTAAAAAAAAAATCATCCTAAATATCTTCCTGCCACAGCGATTTACATTCACTGGAAAACTGTGTTGTCCAAGGTATAGGTATCAACCTAAGCATTTCAATGCATTGCAGCAGCAAGATCAGATCGTAAGGCCCTCCCTCATATTATAGTATAGTCCCATCAAGCCTTATGCTCACGGAAGGTCATAATTCTCTGGACTGCTGTTGCGGATCTGGGATGAAAATAAAAGCATTTTCTATTAATTCAAAGCTTCTTCTAATTTTTTTTTTTAAAAAAAAACACACACACAATACAAAAATAACCATTACACGGAGAGATTGGGTCATACTTTCAAGAGCACTTGGATAATCCACAAAGTCAATTACCATTCAATTAGACTTCAGCGTTCAGGAAGTGTACTCTGACTGAAAGGATTCGGGAACATCTAAATACTTTGAAAAGTGCATCCCATAAACCAACTGATGCCAAGTCAAATGTTTTCAAGTAGGTTCCCGGCTGACGTCATGACTCATGATGGTTGAGCTCCACTGGACTCTGGGGCAGTGCAGCTGTTTGGGCAGTGGAAAGCCAGGATGTATGAGGTAAAATTCCTGGAAATGCCCCTTAGGTGGTTCTGGGGAGTTCACTGCATCCCACGGTGTCGCTTAAACCCATATCTGCCAACTTGAAAGGCAGATCTGGTGTGACCTGGGAAGTATGTGCCTGCCACGGACGAACCTCCGTCTCCAGAATGATTTGTGAGTGGTTCCTCACTAATTTGGAATATTGGCATTAATTATAAGGCGCTCCTGAAATTGCATAAAGGGCTGCAATCCATCAGCTGATGAAAGGACTGGGTTTGGATCTCTGAAGGTATTTGAGTGATTTTTAAGAAGTGTGGAAACCCTTACAACAGCCAGGAAAGAAGGGGGAGGACAAGACGCTGCCTGCTTTCATACAGTTTCCAAATGGTTTCTTTCCTTCATGACCTCCCCTGCAAAATGAGTGAGCCATGTGTAGCCGTAGCTATTTTCAAACCACAGAATTCAATAGGATCACTCCCATTCATATGTTTCTAGAAAAAGAGGTGCTGGAACTCACAATGGAACTCTTGTTCAATGGCACCCACCTGAGAGGTGCCGGAACTGAGTTCCAGCTGAAAAAAAAGGCCTGGTTACGCCCATGTTTATAAACTGCCTGAGGCAGTGCTCATCTGCACAGGGTTGAGCAGCAGACACAATCCATCCCATTCATCACAAGATGGCCTTATACATATTCTCTGTGCTCTGATTATTGGTGGAAAAATTGGGCGTCAGAAGCAGAACATATGAAGACGGGGTTTTTTGGGGGGTGTAGGCAACAGGCATATAAAGATATACTGAGCTTACCTCACAAATAAGAATAAGGGATACAGCAGAACAAATACTAATTAGGTAAAATTTTGTCTGCATCTCTAAAACAGACCAGCATGCTTTCATTCCCCCTCCCCATGAGCTAATAATTTATTTTTGAGATAAAATAAATTTACATTTTATACACACAAATGAATAGCCAGCAAATGAAATGAAATTTGGGCCAAATGAGACTCAACTGGCTCATATGTTAGAAAACATCACCTTTTTTATATCTCACTGATATCCCAAAGATTCATAAAAAGCAATTATTACCAAGTAAGGATGTGTTTGGTAGATGCTCCACAGTTAAGAGAGCTTTCTTCCGAAGTCACTAAATCCAGAACTTTAACATTTGTATTTCTTTGGACATTTATATCCCGCCCTTCAACAAATCAGGATGAATTATTAAGAACAGCTTCTGAAAACAGTATAGCAGGGGTTTTTTAAAAATAAATTTTGGCTGGTGTTTCCTTTGGCTTTGTCAGGGGGAATTTTTGTATATTTCAGTTTAATTGGAAGGGGATTCATCTATTGTTTTGATCATTGTGATTTCTCAGCAGTGGTCTGCAGGTTGCTTCATAATATAGATTCGATCCAGGATAAGGTCCCCATAGCAGGAGGGTATTGCAAGGATAGCATCCCTTGCCACAGGCTCTGCGCGCAATTCTGGTGGCTGTGAGACCATTTCTCATGTTGCGTTGTAACGGTAGGTGGAGTAACAACCACTCAATGGGCATTGTCAGCTGCTGCTTTGAACACTACATGAACAATTTTGTGTTTGCATTTCTTCTTAAAACTGATTGGGATAGAGCAAGTTAAAAAATCTACAATGTATAAATAAATAGAAGATGTCTTCTCTTGCTTTACAGAACGAAAAGTAGGATATAAATATAATTAACCAGGATTTCTCAATGTAGGATGATATGTTAACTTGAAAAAAATCAGAAATAGGAGCATCTAAAAAGGTAAAAGGTAAAGGACCCCTGGACGGTTCAGTCCAGTCAAAGGCGACGATGGGGTTGCGGTGCTCATCTCGCTTTCAGGCCAAGGGAGCCGGCGTTTGTCCACAGACAGCTTTCCGGGTCATGTGGCCAGCATGACTAAACCATTTCTGGCACAACGGAACACTGTGACAGAAACCAGAGCGCACAGGAACGCTCTTTACCTTCCAGCCACAGCGGTACCTATTTATCTATTTGCACTGGTGTGCTTTCGAACTGCTAGGCTGGCAGGAGCTGGGATAGAGAAACGGGAGCTCACCCCGTTGTGCAGGTTCGAACCGCCAACCTTCGGATCAGCAAGCCCAAGAGGCTCAGTGGTTTAGACCACAGCGCCACCTGCAGCCCTAATAGGGCAACACCAGTACGAACAATAAGGTCTTATAAACTGTCAAGTGAGACTCAGAGATGGCCCCACTCTGTTGGTGTGTCCATTACTATGTAACAGTTTAGCCTGTAATCCTAAATACAAATTATCTGGGAGTAAACCCCATTGAACAGGACTTATTTCGGAGCAGAATAAGGATTGCACTGTTAGCTAATACACATCTTCCTTTTTAAAATGCTAGTTCCGAACTCCAAGTAGTTCCTTGATATCTGCAGCACCTACTATTTCATCTAGTTATCCAGGGCCTGAAATGGACACAACACTTCTTGTGAGTAGTTACTGTAGAAATATTGCCCTAAAGACAGGACCAAAACTTCCATAGTTGCTCATTTATTCAGAGAGCTTCCTGATCAGTTTTAAATTGGTCGGGTTTACAATTTAGTTTTTTACTCGGTACCAGAACAACCATTAATAACAGATGCTGGCATGACAACAGGCACCACTCTTGTTTCAGTCTTGGTTCAAAACGTACCGAAATAATCAAAATAGCATGAATCCTACCCTTAATTCACAGTCTTCATTGACAGCTAGGTTACTAGGCTTCAGGTCCTGCATCAGAACAAAAAAGTTAAGAGCATTAAAACGGGGCTAAAATGAAATGAGGTAAAAACAGTCTTGCAACTATATCAGAGCAGCAAGCCCAACCAATGACATGCTCACAGTGCATTATATTCCCAGTGCAACGTACCCGGTGAATGATTCCAGCCGAATGAATATACTGTTAAATAAAAAGAAAATGGGTGAGGTCAGACAACAAAGTCAAACGCAAGTGATTAATGACAGCTATTAGCTGTCATCCACTCAGACAGGTGTTTTTATTCTACAGTACAAAGAGATAAAGGTTAGCCTGTATTCCCACCTATGTGGCAAATGTTCAGTGATGTACCTAAGGAGCAAACGCACCAATAAGAAAGGCTGCTGATGTTTTGCAATTCAATCTGTAATTTTTGTGAGTTTAAAAGCCCTTCCAGACACACTGTTTGTAACATAGGGCTCCTCTTCTATCATTTCTCTTTTCGCTAAAGCAGCAAAACTTAAAACATATGTGCTAATTATAGAGGAACTTACAAATCCCATTAATCCACGAATTATGATTTCAGCACTGCTGACATCTGTGTGGCACACTGAGCTGCAGTGTTTAACCAATATTTTGAATAACTGAACAGGTTGATCAAATCAATTAACTAGGGGTTAAAATGTTGTTTTAAACACAAGCAGTTATGGGAAAACCTATGAGTGCTTACCCAAGAAGTATTTTCTGTTGGGCAAGGCTTTTGTAGAACACATAGTAAGAACATACAAATAACATGAGCAGCAGGCATTATCTTAAGAGATGTTTCATCCTGTGTTTCAGCTCGAGTATGTTTTCCCCCCTCCCTCCATGGGTTTTACCTTAAGCCCTCGAAGTAACTGATATATAAGAAACTGTATATGGTCGTCTGTCAGTTTCTGGCACTTCACAATGTTATTCAGGTCAGCACCCATTAAATTTGTGACAAGGTACCTGTAAATACAAAGCATTCAGATGACATCCAATTGCTTCTAAAGTCTTTTTTTACTGTATCAGTGCTTTTCTTTGAAAAGAACTGGTACACAGGGTTTCCTGCTGAGGCTCTACAAGCCGTGCTTCCAGACACAAGTAAGATCCAAACTACAAGGATCCAAACTACAAGAAAGAAGATTCCACCTAAACATTAGGAAGAACTTCCTGACAGTAAGAGCTGTTCGACAGTGGAATTTGCTGCCAAGGAGTGTGGTGGAGTCTCCTTCTTTGGAGGTCTTTAAGCCAGTGGCGTAGCGTGGGGGGTGCAGGGGGGGCCGGCCGCACCGGGCGCAACATCTGGGGGGGGGGCGCTCGCACTCGCAGCTCTCTGCCCCCTGCTAAAATCCACGGGTTAGGGGGCGCAAATTACTTGCCTTGCCCCGGGTGCTGACAACCCACGCTACGCCACTGCTTTAAGCAGAGGCTTGACAACCATATGTCAGGAGTGCTCTGATGGTGTTTCCTGCTCGGCAGGGGGTTGGACTCGATGGCCCTTGTGGTCTCTTCCAACTCTATGATTCTATGATTCTAAGAATGTGACTTCCATGCATTATATATGGTCACAAAACTGAGGAATGGGAAAAATATGAAGACTCGGTTGTCACAAACCGTGGCTAAGGGAAACTGAACTCAGCGTAAGGTTTCTGGAATCGCAGGAGTGCACCCAACGTTTCCTTCCTCTGACACTTCCCACGGGAGGAAGCAAAACTTTGGCTCCTACCAACAGAGTTCAGTGCAGGATTAAGCCAAGTGTACAAAAGTTGAGCAACGAAGGCCAAGGAGGTTACAGATACTGTGAGTACAGTAGCATGGGGTAACATACTCCCCCAAAATAAACAAATAAATACACAAGCACTAGATAACGTACAGGCAAGAGATCAATATCCTATCTTTATTCATTTAAAGCAGTTACACTCCATGCTGTAGAGGAGGCGGCTCCTAGAGCATCTTACAAAGATCAATAGTCCTTGCCCCCTGCCCTCAGGCTTACAATCTAAAAGATACAACACAAAAAGAAAAAGACTGGGAGGGAGCTCAGGCGCCAGTTCTTAGTCACCATTGTTATGACACAGTAAATAGTTCTGTCTATATGGAGTATGGGAAGCCTGATGCCCTGAAGATGGTGTTGGAAAACAACTGCCATCATCCCTGGCAACTGGCCACGCTGAATGGACTGGTGGGACTTGAGGTCCCAAGATCCAAAGGTTCCCCATTCTTGTCCCATACAAAGCACACACACACACCACACACTGCAGGTACTTGCTGTACATTTTAAACAGCACCTTCTCCAGCCCTGGTTCAGATGAAGTGAACGACAGCTGCATCAGAGCGGCTGTGTTGCTCACCTGACTTCCCACAGGCCAGGTTCCTGAAGAATCATGGGATGTGAAGAGGTGAGGTGATGGCAAGGTTGGTGCTGTGCAAATGCCTTAGCGGCAGCATCCCAGCTACACTGCACTGACCTCGCTGCCACCTCGCCCTTCCCCTTTCCATCCCGTATACAGTCATACCTCGGGTTAAATATGCTTCAGGTTGAGCGATTTCAGGTTACGCTCCGCGACGACCTGGAAGTAACGGAACGCGTTACTTCTGGGTTTTGCCGCTCACGCAGACGCTCAAACTGATGTCATGCGCAGAAGTGCCGAATCACGTTCTACTCAGGATGTGAACGGGGCTCTGGAACGGATCCTGTTCGCATCCAGAGGTACCACTGTACAGTCGTACCTCCGCTTACATAGCCCTCTGGGTACGTAAACTTTGGGATATGAATGCAGCAAACCCGGAAGTATTTTTCCGGGTTTCGCCGTGCGCGCATGCGCAGAACCTCTTGTTGCAAATTCCTCGGGATGCGGCCGGACCTCCGGAACAGATCCTGTTCGCAACCGGAGGTACCACTGTACTGAAACAATCCGGCTGCGGGAAGGTTGGGCGAGCAACGCAGCCCCACAACGCCAACACTGCCCGCTACTGCTTTCAGAGTCTATAGATGTCAGCGGAACACAGGTGAGCGCATACTTTCTATAGAAATAAACAAGACTTAGGCATGCATAACTTGGGCTGGCCGTTTATCTTAGCAGCTTGCCAACAAGTTTAGGTCAAACTTTACTTACACTTCATTAAAATTTTCTATTGACGCCGCAGGTGTGAAAACATCTAGTAATCCTATAACCTGAAACAGAAGAAGAGGGGTTTTTATTTTATCTGGAGAAATGCATGTGGCACCGCTATCTCTACTTACCAGTTTCAAATCTAAAATGAAGGATAATGGCAGCCCGGCACGGGATAAGGTATGCCAAAACCTAATGAAGTTAGTTGTGTCTAACCGATGAACATTTTAATAAAACTAAATGATTAGATGGATTATTCGCAATTCGCACAGCCTGTTCCACTCACGTTTTCGTGTTTCATGTGCTTCAGTAATCTAAGCTCCCGGTAGGTTCTTCTGGCGTGAATAAGGGACTGGAAAGGTCTCGAAAGCTTCTTGACTGCCACCTTCTGCCTTGTTTTGGTATCATATGCTGAACTGAAACAAATGCAAATGCAAAAGAAAAGAAAAGGAATTTTACTATATTTTATTTCATAAAATTTATACATTGTTTGATTGTAAACAAACAAACAAACCCTCAAAGCGGCTTGCAAAAGAGAGTAAAATCAAGAAAAAAATAACAACACTACTCTAAAACATTCAAAAGATCAAAGTTACCTCAATTTTCTAAGCACCGGCTTGTCTAAACAGGAATGTTTTAGCGGGTGCCAAAAAGAGTAGAGTTAAGGCATCTGCTTAAGCTAAAAGGCAAGGAGTTCCAAAGTGCAGGTGCTGCCACACTAAATGATCAAGTTCCTACAAATGCCGAATAGGTATGATGTGGCACCTGTAAAGGACCATTAGGTCCAGTCGTGGCCGACTCTGGGGTTGCGCCGCTCATCTTGCTTTACTGGCCGAGCGTACAGCTTCCGGGTCATGTGGCCAGCATGACTAAGCCGCTTCTAGCAAAACCAGAGCAGTGCATGGAAACACCGTTTACCTTCCCGCCGGAGCGGTACCTATTTATCTACTTGCACTTTGTGCTTTTGAACTGCTAGGTTGGCAGGAGCAGGGACCGAGCAACGGGAGCTCACCCCGTTGCGGGGATTCGAACTGACGACCTTCTGATCGGCAAGTCCTAGGCTCTGTGGTTTAACCCACAGCGCCACCCGCGTCCCTTATGATGTGGCACCTGAGGTAATGCCAATTCCACCAATCAAAGTGGTTGAGTGGGCATCTGTAGGGTAAGGTGATATCATAGGTAACTGGCCCCAAGTTGTTAAGAGCTTTATATACTAATAGTAACACCTTGAACCTGGCCTGGTAGCAAATCAGCAAGTTGTCCATACTTTAGTCCAGTGTTTTTTTTTTCAAAAAAGAGAAAATGTTTAGGTACTCTCATTTTGACTCATTTTATAGTTCAAATCGCGGAAAATAAATACAGTAAATGGACAAAAGAAAAAGATTCACAAAATGCTTAGGGGTATTTCTTTTTGAACTTAACTGTTATTATAATCCTTCATTCCTTTCATATGGGGAAAAACAAATCTCAAATATTATTCAGGGTTCCCCACACTGTACACACATTTATCATTAAAGATCCATTAACAAATATGCTGCTGAAGTAAAAGCAAACATTCAAACAACAAACTATTTTGAACTCCTTTTAATCGGCTGCTGTTAAGGTAAATAAAGCAAGTGAACTGGGTGCTTGCTCCAGTTCAGTGTTTGTTATGGCATCACACCAAAACAATGGCCTGGCGAATCAACCCAGACCTGCACATCTGTACCCAAGTCTTGCATTGGGTCAAGTAAAAACTGAGACGAGAATGCTGGGACAGAAACAGGGAACGACATTGCTAAATATAACCCTACCGGCATCAACAGGACCAAGGACACTTCTGTACTTCTAAAACAGAAAACAGCAATAATAAACTTAACCAAACTGAGTAACAGACTTCAACATCAATAACCTCACCACACCAGTGGATAAAAACCCGGAAACAAGCAGCTGCTATTCGGACAATAGCAGGCCTTTGCAGATGCTGACAGGATCAACCTTGGAGAAACAGAACACATAAAGAGATAGCTACCAATTCTACTAAGGTCTGCTGAGCTTTCTCTTTCATTGACCGGACCCGAATATCTTGTTTGACGGCTATATATTTCCAAAATAAGCAAATGTCATTTGTGCAGGGAAGGTTCTTACTTACTTATTTCTTTCATTATCTTAACATAGCAACCTTTTACAGAAAACTCCTCAAATAAGTATTTCTTGTGATGACCTACCACAAGCATTCTCCCTAGGTGATATCTGTCGCTCCCATCTGCCATGACAAACACCCAGAGAATTAGCATCATTAATTTGGCTTCCTATCTCCCAGGTCCCCAAATCAAGACTCCATAGGGAGCACTTAGATCTGGATTCTGGGCCCCTGGTGAACAGACAGGAGCCTCTATTAATTACGGAGTCTGCCACCCTGTCTAGGTGTATCGAGTGTTAATTACGCCTGCCAAACATTGGCATGCTGCATGTAGCCTTCTCATGTGCATCGTTAATTAAAGCCAACCAGCTTACAAGGCTATAAAAGGTTGCCTTAGGCGCCACTGACAATAAACAAACCTTCAATATAAATGCTCGAGGCTTTGATAATGTAGGCCTTGATGATTCAAAACCTTAACATTTTCTTGTCAACCCCTTCTCCTATCAGCAGGTAGCTGCATAACTCCTTTCCTTATGATGCAGATGTTGTGTTTGCTGTAATGATTCCCACAGCCTTACCTACGCAAAAGACAAATAATAATAATAATAATAATAATAATAATAATACCTTTACAGTGGTACCTCGGGTTACATACGCTTCAGGTTACATACGCTTCAGGTTACAGACTCCGCTAACCCAGAAATAGTACGTCAGGTTAAGAACTCTGCTTCAGGATGAGAACAGAAATCGTGCTCCGGCGGCGCGGCAGCAGCAGGAGGCCCCATTAGCTAAAGTGGTGCCTCAGGTTAAGAACAGTTTCAGGTTAAGTACAGACCTCCAGAACGAATTAAGTACTTAACCCGAGGTACCACTGTATTGTCAATGTACAACCTATGCACAATGAAATTCACCGAGCCTCCCTCCCCCTCCCCACAAACACTCAGTCTCATTGCACTCTGTGTGCTTGTCGCACAACACACCAACCCCGAAAGTCAGTTGCACTATACAGTCATACCTCGGGTTACAGACGCTTCAGGTTGCGTTTTTTTTGGGTTACGGACCCGCCGAAACCTGGAAGTACAGCAATGGGTTACTTCCGGGTTTCAGGAGTTGCACATGCACAGAAGCGCTAAATGGCGCTTTTCGCATGTGCAGAAGCACCAAATCACAACCCGCGCATGCGCAGAAGCGCCGCTGTGGGTTGCAAATGTGCATCCCACGCAGATCACATTTTCAACCTGAGCATCCACTGTATTATTTTCTGTTCAGCAGCCTAACTGCCCACAGCCTAAATACCAAAAGGTTTTTGTCCTATTGTGGTGGCGGCCCAAAAATCCACAATAAATAGGATAATGTGAACCCCTATAAATCCTTGAGTGTGCTTCTAACAGAGATGTTATGGTAACCCGTTGCTTTATGAAACTGATGATTTTCGCAAGTTGCCTCCCCCATTGGGGCAGAAGTACAGCTAATATATGAATCACAAAGATACTGCTCATAAGCTAGAACATAAGTTGATACATGGTGCAAATGGATACGCGTAGCACAGGTTCCCAACATTCATACTAACACAATGTAACAGAAGTTAGTATTTTAACAGAGCGCGCTGGGAATCAAAGCTGAATCAACAGAAATTGCTAACGCGTATTGCGCATGTGTATTAAACATGAAATGAGGTAATGATGTACATGATTGGTGAAAATTGAAATCCTTTTTTTTGAAATGTTATAAATACTACCGCCCCGACCCTTGCGAAACAATTCGACTGTAACCTATTGCCTAGCAATAAACAATGGACTCCTAACTCCTCTTGTCTCTGAGTCTTATTGGCGTAAACTCAGAAGATAAGCCATTTTTGGGCCACAACACTATGTATCTAGCTGACTCTATCTATCTGGCCTATTGTGTGCACAGAATGCCTTCAAATTAAGGTTACCGGACATCCCCGTTTCCCGGGGACAGTCCCCAGATTTAGAAATCAGTCCCCTGACAAAATCCATCTATTTAGTAGGAAGTTAAAAAGGTCCCCGGATTCATTGAAAAAAATCTGGTAACCTTAACCTAATAGGTATCTAAAGCCATTTGCACATGCAGAATGTAGGCACCCTATATATAGAAATGAGTAAACCAGTGATATTTTAGGGAGCAGTCTAGCAGGCAGGCCCCATTACTTACATCATAGGAGCCTACACAACACAAAACACTGTTGCTGTATGCAGGTTTTATTTCATTTGCTTTTTATCTTATATTTTGGAAATGTATATCCAGCGTTTTTTTTCTTTTAGTTTTTTGGGGCCCCCAAGAGAGTGGGGCCCTAAGCTATAGCTTGTTTAGCTTATACGTAAATCTGGCACTGCTTCCTTCCAAAGGAGCCCAGGGTGGCATCCGCATAAGCGATAAAACAGCTAAACACAGTTCCAACGCAGATACACACTGGATAGACAAAGCCTGCCTAATACTTAAGGAGAGGGAATTTCAAAGTGTAGGTGCCAGAACATGAGAAGGTTCTGTGCAGAACAGAACTCCTGATAAAGTGAGTAATCTGCGGGAGGCCCTCACCTGCAGAGAGGAGTGATTGACTGGGCATATAAGGGATAAGATGATCTTAAATGAAATGTGAATGCATAAATGGCTTTTCTGGCTAGAAAGCACAAAAGAGAACAAAGGCCTAGCGTGGGGCTTAAACTCTGCCAATCTATCTGTACTGCAAGATTTCCCCCTTGGCTTGCCTTAACCATGTTAATTTTGACCATGTAATGGTGGCATCTGAATGCATGCTAAGCCATAAATCATAGTTAAGCAAATATGCATATCAGCTGCATGCTGGTGTGCACAAAGGCAGAGCGCTCCTACTCTGCTCCTTTATTAGTTGAGCAAGGAAATGAGCCACGGAGCGGCTGGCATTGACATTACATCTCCAGCCTGTGCTTGTGGTTCCTCTCTCACCAAACAAACCACAACAGGGTAACCAGAAACAAGAGTATTTCATCCATGGTCCATTGTGTGTCGAGGTCCCCAAGCCACCCCAAATAACTCACACATCACACAGAAATTTTGTTTAAGGTTTTTGGCATAATTTTTGGCCACAACTTTATTAAAATACAAAAATGTGAGTGGTTGCTTAGGCGTTGGTTGCGACTATCTGCCCCCCAGTGAGGGACAGACTGACATTTCGCAAGCCTGCAAAAGTCAGAAAAGGGGAATACATTTGGGGGTAGCGACGGAGCAGGGAACCTGCCCTCAGCCCTCCCCAAATGCAACCAGGGGCTCTTGTGTGGCCCTAGCCCCTTGACAGGGTTTGGACAAAAGCATAGGCGAGCCCCTGTATTCCTTTAATGGAATCCCTTGCAGCAGCAGCATTGGAGGGGCAGGCGCAGCCAATCCATGCCCCTCAATTAACCAAACCCTAAACCAATGCCTAACCACAACCTTACAAGTTGTGGCGATTTGCTACGCAGTAGGCAAAAACCAAATGGCACCAGCCAATCAGCCAGATGGACAAAATTCCTACTGGGCCCCTGCCCCAAGAGCAGACGACCCCATGACAGGCATAGCAAGGTCAAAGCGAACAACCCTAAATATAGGGAGGAGGGACGGGCAATCCGATGCACGGAGCGAAAAGAGGAAGCTCTACGCTTTGTGCAGGGAGTTTTAACATTTCTGGCTGTCACTCACAGAATGGCAACATTAACTTCATCCCAACAACAAGGGAAGCCCCAATCGCATCAGTGGCCAATGATCAATTAGCCCGCCCCACAACTTTGGAGTGTCTTGTCAGCCCCCACCGCAACAAGTGCTCTCCATGAAGGAGAACACGCTTTGGTGATGGGAAGTCAGGCAAGCACTGCTGCCATACTAAGCACTACTGTCTTGAAGGAATCCCACTCATTTCCCTCCTCCAGCCCAGTAGGTGGCAGGGGGAATCATTCTGCCCCCATCCCACTGCCACAGAGGTAACCTGGAGTTGAAAAATAATTGTTTTGTCCCATTCCGCTTCCTCTCCCTCATAGCTGGGTCAAACAACATTATCCTTAGTCATATTTACTTGGAAGTAATGGGACGTGGGTGGCGCTGTGGTCTAAACCACTGAGACTCTTGGGCCTGCCGATTGGAAGGTCGGCGGTTCGAATTCCCATGACGGGTTAAGCGCCCATTGTTCGGTCCCTGCTCCTGCCAACCTAGCAGTTTGAAAGCATGCCAAAAAGTGCAAGTACATAAGTAGGTACCACTCTGGTGGGAAGGTAAACGGCGTTTCCGTGCGTGCTCTGGTTTCGCCAGAAGCGGCTTAGTCATGCTGGCCACATGACTCGGAAAAACTGTCTGTGGACAAACGCCGGCTCCCTCGGCCTGAAAAGCAAGATGAGTGCCGCAAACCCAGAGTCGTCTGTGACTGGACTTTACTGTCAGGGGTCCTTTACCTTTTTTTAATGGGAATTAATTTCAGGCAGGGTGCCCACTTATACATAACTAAAAGTGAATAAATACCGGTACCTCATCACCCATTACCCAAAGAAGAAGAAGAAGAAGAAGAAGAAGAAGAAGAAGAAGAAGAAGAAGAAGAAGAATTGAAGGCAAAACATGCAGAGTTGCATAGGTTTGTGTATGCTAATTGATATGTACAGAGGAAAATTGAGAAATACAGTTAAGAACTTAATTTGTTCTGGACCTGAAACTGTTCTTAACCTGAGGTACCACTTTAGCTAATGGGGCCTTCCACTGCCGCCGCGCCATGATTTCTGTTCTCATCCTGAAACAAAGTTCTTAATCCAATGTACTATTTCTGGGTTAGCGGAGTCTGTAACCTGAAGCGTTTGTAACCTGAAGCGTCTGTAACCCGAGGTACCACTGTAGAATGGGAAGACTAATGTGTATTGTCCTGCGTGCCTGTCCTGATACTAAATGTTGGACAATTTCAAGGTTCCTGATCTCCCTTCTAACGATTTGACTGGGCAGTTTCCAAACTGAGGTTGCCTTCAAAGAGAGGACTGTCCTTTGACAGCTTTTCTAGTAGAAGGCTGCCCTCTGTTAAGTAGGACACATAGCCACTCTGGTTGCAAGTAAATCTGCACTGGACTGCAGGTGGAGCACTAAGCAGTACATCCTGGGTTTTTTAAGGGCTGGAAATAGAGAAAAGGGTTGGGTGTTTTACCTGCTCATGCCGTCTTGCAATGTCATTGTTGATACTTGTATGGTAGCTCCTAGCAACAGCAACCCGCACAAATACAAGAACCCTTTCATTTTTTGCAATGAATTTCACAAAGATCAGCACACACTTAATGAGAAGCAAATGAAAGCTCTCACACGCAGCCTGATCATATGCATATTTACATGCAGACGAATCCTACTGAGTGTAATGGGGTTACTCCAATTAAAGTAGTTCTAATGTGCATGAGATTGCAGCTTTAAATATTCCGCTCCTTACTATGGCCGTCATTGTAGCTGTTTCTGATGCCTTGCTGTCTAAATAAGTAGCTACGGCAATGCACAGTTGAAGGAAGATCCATAAAATAAAGAAGGAAGAAAATCGAATTTAAACATCTCATTTAAGTTTCAAGAAGAGTGATGAGCAACACTGAACGGCAGACCTAAAACACTGATTTGTCCCTGGAGTATATAGTATGTGACTATTAATTGACTGGTTCATCAGTTAAAAGTCAGATAAAAATGGTAAAGGTAAAGGTACCCCAGACCGTTAGGTCCAGTCGTGGACGACTCTGGGGTTGCGCGCTCATCTCGCTCTATAGGCCGAGGGAGCCGGTGTTTGTCTGCAGACAGCTTCCAGATCATGTGGCCAGCATGACTAAGCCACTTCTGGCAAACCAGAGCAGCGCACGGAAACACTGTTTACCTTCCTACTAGAGCGTTCCTATTTATCTACTTGCACTTTGACGTGCTTTTGAACTGCTAGGTGGGCAGGAGCTGGGACCGAACAATGGAAGCTCACCCTGTCGCGGGGATGCGAACCGCCGACCTTCTGATCAGCAAGCCCTAGGCTCTGTGGTTTAGACCACAGCGCCACCCACGTCCCTAAAAGTCAGATAATCAGATTTAAAACATCCTTAATGGTTTGGCAGTCCTAGTAACAAAGCCAATTGTTTGTGCAGAGTCTCAAACTTGTAATATTTGCAGATGTTTCAGTCCACAGTGATCCACTGCAGGCAAATCGTCTCTTTCTACTCAGAGAGGAAAGCGGAAGTCAGCAAATAAAGAATGCAAACTCATCTAAAAAAACAGTTTTGAAGGCAGACGTTCTGGTCAGAATAAGACCATTAACTCTGGCTCTTCTCCTAGAAATTGCAAAGGCTTATTTCTAAGGAGCCTAAGGGTTAAAAGCTGGTATTACTATTTCTTTTAACATTAATTATCCCTTTCACAACTGCTTCTTTATCTGATGTGACACAAAGAGGAAGTGGTATTTGCCTACTATATTATGCAACACACCAGCTACACTCAGAGAAATGTGAAACGGATACTGAATATGTGCAATTTCATATTGTTTTACTGGTTTTAGTATACAGCACTCTGGTCTCCTTAGAGAGGAAGAGAAGAATAAATATTTATTAATTCCTGTGTTGGGTGGTGGTGGAATGAAGCAACTTACAAAGTTGCTACACTTTTCATCCTTGCTTTAAGGGATGTTGACGCAAATGCTAAAATGACAAACAGATTGTCATCATAAAACAGCTTATGAAACTAATGTTGCACTGAACCCGATGCATAGGATTGCTTGCGATGCTTTTATCAGTAACGGCAATGGGCTCAAATAGCCAAAGAAACCCAAAGCTAAGATAATGCAGTAGTCCAGGAAAAGGGAACATGTGGCCCTCCAGAGATACTTTTGGACTCCAACTCCCATCAGTCCCAGCCAGCAGGTTGTTTCCAACTAAATTTTGGATTAAACCCATTAAAATTAATGGACCAAAATTAACCAAATTTCAGCAGATCTTCAAGTCTTCTCCACGCAGAATTGGCTACAACCCAGTATGGCCAATGTTCAGGGATTATGGGTATTGTAATCCAGTAACATTTGGAGAGCGACAGGTTCCCTATCCCTGAAGTATCCAAACAAGACTGAGATAGAACAAGACCACTCTCATGGTAACACACTATCCCCCCCCCTTCCCAGCTCGAAACCTCCCAACTCTGTACATTTGCATTATGTAACTGAGCAAAGTGTAATGCAAGGGTTAAGCATCTAACTGGGGTTATCTGGTAAGTTTTGTCCTGAAGGAAAACTGGGCAGTTGCAAACAATACGGAAAATGTGACACAAACCCTCATGGCAGTAACCTTCCTAATCAAAAAGAAGACAAGGAAAGGGAGCCAAAGAACACCACAGCCTTCACACACCAAAGTTATGCATATAATCCTGGATGCAATGTGTTCCTCAAGCAGAAAAGAAGCTGCTCTTAGCTTCTCCAAAGCAGTCATGTGAACATGACTGCTTGTTATTGTTGTTGTTTATTAGATTTCTTATCCACCCTTCACTATAAGGTCCCAGGATGGGTTGCAACCATTTAAAAACCACAGCGTTAAAAACAATTAAAACAGATTACAATGAAGAGAACTGAGTGGGTGCTAAAATAGCTCTCTCAGGTGTCAAAGGCAAAGTACAGAGGTGCATCATTAGCACACAGTGAAAAACTTCGCAATGAAGGTCCCAGACACACTGCTGTGGGGAGCGAATCCCAGAGCTTAGGGGCTACCACAGAGAAGCCCCCTCTCTCAGGCAGTTGCACACACCCCAAACCTCTGAGGGCAGTGGGACTACCGAGAAATGACCTCACTGCCAATCTTAACAGCCAAGGAAATATGCAGGGAAGGAAGAAATCTTTCTGATATTTGGGGCCAAACATTTGATACGTCTTTAATCAAAGTCAGAGCGTTGGTCCATTTAGCTCAGTGCTGAATACTCTGATGGAGAGCATCTGTCTGGGTTCTCAGACAGAAGCCTTCCTCAGCCCTCTTGCTCAAGCTCAATCTTCAGATAACTCAAAATACCTCAGTGATTCAAAGCTGGGGCTTTCAACACACAGAGCATGTGAGCTACCACCAAGCCATAGCTCCCCTGCCTTGCAAAAGTGCCCACAGGCCCCAAAAGGTGGCCAACCCCTGATGTAAAGCAAACTGCCCCTTAAAGTAAAGGTAAAGGGACCCCTGACCGTTAGGTCCAGTAGTGACCAACTCTGGGGTTGCGGCGCTCATCTTGCTTTATTGGCCGAGGGAGCCGGCGTACACCTTCCGGGTCATGTGGCCAGCATGACTAAGCCGCTTCTGGCGAACCAGAGCAGCGCACGAAAACGCCGTTTACCTTCCCACCGGAGCAGTACCTATTTATCTACTTGCACTTTGACGTGCTTTCAAACTGCTAGGTTGAAACTGCCCCTTAGCTGCCTTTAAAGTGACAGTGCAAGCTCCCGGTTTAATTGTTGCTGATCTGTTACACCCGTATCAGACAATTCCTCCAAATAACACAAATAAACAGAGAGTAGGTTGTTTTTCAGTTAGCTAATGGCGAGGCCAAAATCACTGAGGCTCAAACATCTGTTTCCCAGATATTCCAAGCTCTGAGAGCATGTAACAACAACAACAACACCACAATCAAATTGTTTTACAAGGAAATGCTATTATCAGAGCCGGCCCACCCATGAGGCAGGGTGATGCACTCGCCTCAGGCGGCAGAAGTACAAGATATGGCCCGATCGCTTCTGCCGCTAGCAGCGACAGGGAGGTGTTCTGGCAATGCTTTACAGAACATCCTGGGTCTTGCTGCAAATTCTCACATGCCACATTGCCACTCAAGTTTCCCTCGCCCTCAGGGGGCGAAGCTGAGCAACAACACTTTGAAGCACACCCCAGCTCCCCCAGGGTTTGGCAAGAGCCAGGGCATTCCTGCGGTGTGTTGGAGGGCGGGCATGGTGGCGGTGGAAGGGGAGACTGGGACATGGCTGTGAAGGCGGCAGAAGGAAGCAATTCCCATTTTGCCTCAGGTGGAGGGGGGGCTGCCCCTGTCTATTATACAAGTTGGCTGCTGTGGCAGTCATAATGCTGGGTAACATCAGCCCCCTTTGCCTGTTTTCCATGTGAAGACTTTCAAACAATCATAATTATTATTAATAATAATTTGATTATTTGTATGCTGCCCATCTGACTGGGTGGCCCCAGTCACTCTGGGAAGCTCCCAACAGAATACTAAAAACACAATAAAGCATCAAACGTTAACATCCTTCTACAGGGCTGCCTTCAGATGTCTCCTAAACGTCAGATAGTGGTTTATTTCCAGATATATTTCCTTACTGGCCCTGCCCCCAATGTAGGACACAGTATATTTGAAGGAGCGTCTCCACCCCCATCGTTCTACCCGGACACTGAGGTCCAGCGCCGAGGGCCTTCCGGCGGTTCCCTCACTGCGAGAAGCCAAGTTACAGGGAACCAGGCAGAGGGCTTTCTCGGTAGTGGCGCCAGCCCTGTGGAACGCCCTCACACCAGATGTCAAAGAGAACAACCACCACCAGACTTTTAGAAGACATCTGAAGGCAGCCCTATTTAGGGAAGCTTTTAATGTTTGATGCATTCCTGTATTTTAATATTTTGTTGGAAGCCACCCAGAGTGGCTGGAGAAGCCCAGCCAGATGGGCGAGGTATAAATAATAAATTATTATTATTATTATTATTATTATTATTAGCCCCACTCCCTGCATATCCATGCCAGTGGCAGGGCCAGTGACAGGGACCAACACATGAAACTCCCTTCACATGATTAGCTATCGTCATGATTTTACACACCGCAAGCAGTTTTGGAAAGACAAGCTTTATGTTTCTGACATTTATTTATCTGTTGGCTCTGGGGATTGAATTTTTGTTGTATGCAAGCTTTGCGCAAGATGCTCCACCATGCGCTCCTAGATTTCTAGACTTGGAGTCAAGAGTGAGGGAGCCATTGATAGAAGAGACCTGCATTTCCTTGGGAAAGCCTGTATATTCCGGGTTGTGCGTCATGACTGGCTGCACACTTAGTTGGGACCCTTTGTGTCTTCAGGCAACACCAGTGTGTTTAGGATCAATGACAGCCAGCGGGCATAAACTGAAGAAATTGCAACCCTATTATAGATCGTAGGCAAAATCAATCAAGTTTATAGAGCAAGCAGTTCTAAGGCTTCCAACACCGTCTTGTTTGCCTATTATTTTCCTCCATGCCATTGCCTGCTTGCAGTGAATTCTGAATGCCACACACCTCTGTATAACGAAGATAATGAACAAGTTATTGAGTGGATATGAAAAAGGTGCAACTCCAAAGTCTTCCATTATTGAGCAGCTCTTTGCTTTCTTTTCAGTTCACTCCTACCTTGGAAGCAAGTAACTGATTACAAAAAGAAGACACAAAAATATATAAATTTGAAGCACCACCCTTTTTCAAAATAATCTGCCCCTTAATGTTCTCTCTTTTCCCCCTGGCATTAGGTACAAGAATTCCTTTATACATAAAGCAATGGGACATCTGCAAACCTGCTGAGCAGTGTGTGTGAGGCACCGCATGTTTCCACTTCCATCATTATGCCTGGAAAAAAATAATTGGCACTCTCACTACACAAATGGTTTTCATAGCTACATGGGCATTAGAAAACAACAACCAGGTGCAATTAGGAAAACACAAATCCTTAATGGGTAACAAGGGATAAATCTCAGTCTCACAGACTGAGAATTATTTGAAAGAGGAAGATTTATGAAAAAGAAGATAAGCTTCAGATAACAAGAGCAGAATAAATACCCCGCCCCCGAATGTTAAATTGGAGGCTGAATGATAAATTGGGAGGTTGACCAACTGAGATTTACACACACGTGCACCCCACAGCTATAAGACAGAAACTTGATATAAGGGCAGAGGCGGCTAATTTGTGCTCCATCAAATGTTGCAACTCCCATTTGTCTGACTGCTGGACATGGTGTTGATGGGAGCTGGGAGCCCAAAAACATTTTGAAGGCCAGAAGTCCCTCACCCACACCTGCTGAAAGAACAAGAAACAGTCTATGCAAGACAAACATTGCAACAAATATAAGGCAGAGCACCAAGTAAGCCAAAGTTAAACTATGCGGGGCACAGAGTCTTCCCTTTTCCCCAGTCACTCTAATGGGGAAAAGGGAAGACTGTGTGCCCAGCAGATTAACTTTGGCTTACTTGGTGCTCAACCAAAGACACAAGCAAAGAACAAGCCTTGGCCTCATACGTCTTCGGCTGACCTACATAGCGGAAACATGTAATTATGTTGTTGTGCAACTGAGCCCAATGCCTCAGCCCTAAACTTGCCACTTAGGGCCACTTAAAAGCATACCAGATTTCCAAGTAGGATAACATTTCCACGCAGCACAGTGGGATAGCCATGTGCGGAACATCATGAGTGGCAAATGAGCACACATCTGCGTGACTGCAGAGAGTATTCTGAGCTACGCGCATCTTGAGTTTCAGTAGTTTGAGTAGATGCGTGGCAAATCTATGATCTTTTTGACACATAGATGCAGAACTGCTATTGACGTAGGTAGGACATATCTGAAGGTATTTTTAGAAGCAATTCAATAGCCTCTTGGATACCGGCTTGGATCATAAGCTATTCCTCCTTTCAGAAAGTGGGAGATGGCCACCAAGCCCCCACCCAACATTGAAGCCCATGTCCCACACTGTTCCCAAGAGTCCTCCAGACACAGATTTTCAGGTGAGCACAGGCTACAGAAGGGAGGGGCAGATGGGAGAGCCCCACTCTGTGAATGTAAACTGTTCTATTCATGGAAGGAAACAACAGCTGTTGGGTTGTATCACCAGCAGAGTTCCCTCTCCCTCTCCCTACACACTCCAATAGCTGCTCTGGAGCCCCCCAAATCTCTGGAAAACATTTTGAGGAGCACAGGGCCCTGCATGGAAGAGGAGAAGAAATGGAAGTTCTGTTGCACCAGTGGAAGTCCATTAGCAGAAGAGCAGCATTTGGTAACAACCCTTAGAATTCTGCAGCAAGGATTTATTTTTATTTTTTACATCAGTATAAAAAATGCTTTCCCAACCTAACCATTTCATTTGCAATGAAACTTCATTCACCTTAAAGAAACAGACCCCTTCATGGTTCACTGCCTTGCCGTGGCGAAGGGGCTTGAATAACTCGGAGAAGCTATGAGCTATGCTGTGCAGGGCCACCCAAGATGGACAGGTCATAGTGGAGAGTTTTGACCAAACGTGATCCACCTGGAGCAGGAACCAGCAAGCCACTCCAGTATCCCTGCCAAGAAAACTCCATGGACAAAGACAACAGGCATATAAAAGTTATGACACTGGAAGATGAGCCCCTCAGGTCGGAAGGCATCCAACATGCTACTGAGGAAGAGCGGAGGACAAGTACAAGTAGATCCTAGACAGCATCTTAAAAAGCAGAGACATCACCTTGCCAACAAAGGTCCGTATAGTTAAAGCCATGGTTTTCCCAGTAGTGATGTATGGAAGTGAGAGCTGGACCATAAAGAAGGCTGATCGCCGAAGAATTGATGCTTTTGAATTCTGGTGCTGGAGGAGACTCTTGAGAGTCCCATGGACTGCAAGAAGATCAAACGCATCCATTCTTAAGGAAATCAGCTCTGTGTGCTCACTGGAAGGACAGATCGTGAAGCTGAGGCTCCAATACTTTGGCCACCTCATGAGAAGAGAAGACTCCCTGGAAAAGACCCTGATGTTGGGAAAGATGGAGGGCACAAGGAGAAGGGGACAACAGAGGATGAGGTGGTTGGACAGTGTTCTCGAAGCTACAAACATGAGTCTGACCAAACTGCGGGAGACAGTGGAAGACAGAAGTGCGTGGCGTGCTCTGGTCCATGGGGTCACGAAGAGTCGGACACGACTAAACGACTAAACAACAACAAAGAAACAGAATCCCGTGAAAGTGGACATAGGGTTGCATCATTAGTTATTTCACAAAATGATTCAAATCACTTGGGGGGTGGAAGGAATGGAGCCGGGTTAAGTCCCAGACAAAAAGAGTTTGAAAAGTACAAATGCTGTAAATCTTTTTTTTATGTGCATTGGAAATGGTATTTTTAACGTCACACAGTGTGTCTTAATTTAAACTTTGGTTACAGCAGTGTGCAGTATGCATCTGACACAGTGCTTCTGACACCAGACGGCAGCTACTTAACTGAGACTGCTCTTTCAAAGGTTGCATGAATTCGTTTTAAAAAATGATGATGACGCAAAAACAACTTGTCACTCGCGGGCAAACATTTCTACCAGAAAAGCCAGTCCCTCCATGATGTGTCCTAAAATTAAATTTTTAAGAGATGTGACACAGTTTATGAACTTACTAATTGCAAAACAGGAAGTTTGGTTTATTTATTTATTTACTGTTTAATTACCTTTTCACCCTGCCTCTCTCCCAAACAGCTAAGGACTTCATATCAATTTTGTCCTTTCAACAAAACGAAGCTGAGAGACATCCCAGTGAGCTTCATGGCACAGGGAGGATTTGAACCCAGGTCTTAATGGTCCAGTCCAACACTCATTAGGAAGGAAATAATTCTCGGACTAAATGCTGCATTCACTTTCAGGGTCTGCATACTAAGGTGGGCCAGAGCAAATGTGGGTGACAACTGAGCAAGTTGGAGTAATAATAATAATAATAATAATAATTTATTATTTGTACCTCACCCATCTGGCTGGGTTTCCCCAGCCACTCTGGACGGCTTCCACAAAGACCAAAAATACACTAAGATGTCACACATTAAAAACTTCCCTGAACAGGGCTGCCTTAAGATGTCTTCTGAATGTCAGGTAGTTGTTTATCTCTTTGACATCTGATGGGAGGGCGTTCCACAGGGCGGGCGCCACTACCAAGAAGGCCCTCTGCCTGGTTCCCTGTAGCTTTGCTTCTCGCAATGAGGGAACCGCCAGAAGGCCCTCGGCGCTGGACCTCAGCGTCTGGGCAGAACAATGGGGGTGGAGATGCTCCTTCAGGTATACTGGACTGAGGCCGTTTAGGGCTTTAAAGGTCAGCACCAATACTTTGAATTGTGCTCGGAAATGTACTCGGAGCCAATGCAGATCTCTCAGGATCGGTGTTATGTGGTCCCGGTGGCCACTCCCAGTCATCAGTCTAGCTGCCGCATTCTGGATTAGTTGTAGTTTCCGGGTCACCTTCAAAGGTAGCCCCACGTAGAGCGCATTGCAGTAGTCCAAGTGGAAGATAACTAGAGCATGCACCACTCTGGTGAGACAGTCTGCGGGCGGGCAGGGTCTCAGCCTGCGTACCAGATGGAGCTGGTAGACAGCTGCCCTGGATACAGAATTGACCTGCGCCTCCATGGACAGTTGTGAGTCCAAAATGGCTCCCAGGCTGCGCACCTGGTCCTTCAGGGACACAGTTACCCCATTCAGGACCAGGGAGTCCTCTATACCAGCCCACACCCTGTTCCCCCCAAAACAGTACTTGTCTTGTCAGGATTCAACCTCCATCCATTAGCTGCCATCCATCCTCCAACCGCCTCCAGGCACTCACTCTTTATATATATAGCAAAAACAGGATCTACACCGGAGTGTCAGGCCTAATGCGCACAGCATCTCTTCTCTGGCAAGTCTTGCTCCCATGAAGCAGTTGCTGAGACTGAAGGCCAAAGTCCCTTCCTCTCCAAGGTTTCCCCAAACAATCTGAGACTGCACCTGTGTAAAGCCAACTTCTCCTTTGCCCTTTCCATGCCTCTTCTGGTTCTGGGAGACCAAAGGGGATGAGTTTGTCACAGCAGGAAGGGGAAGACACCCATGCCTCTTCACCAGCCTGAATCATCCCTGCCTCTTGGTCTCCTCCCTTTCCTGCTTTAGCTTCTTCCTCTGATTCTTGACTTATCTCTGACACAGACTCGCCTCACTCACTTCAGCTTCCTACACCTCCTTTCCCCAGTCTTCTCCCTCTGACCACTCCTTGTTGTCCCACCACCACTCCCCTGGTTCTGAGTCTTCTTCCTTTGGGGGGAGGGGGTTCCCCAGCTGTTTCCTCACACCATTCCACTGCGTCCAACCAGTCCATGATACGACATGACTGAAGAGTAACTAACATTTGGCAAAAGTCAGTGGCTTCTAGTCACATTTCTCAATCCAGGAAAGCAAGAGGAATTAGCCCATTTCAAAGATCCATTCCAGGCAGAGAGAAGCACTCAAAGGAGGACACAGAGAAGGGCCAGTGAGGAGGGTGGTCTGGAAAGTCCCACAGGCTGGTTCCCAACACAGAAATCATAGAATTTAAAGCTGGAAGGAACCCTCAGAATCATCTAGTTCACCCTGCAACACTGGTGTTATCAGCTATCCAAGAACTTGTTACAGACCCTTAGATAGATAGATGATAGATAGATGATAGATAGATAGATAGATAGATAGATGATAGATAGATAGATATAGATAGATGATAGATAGATAGATTTTTACTTGGTATTATAGGTCAGGACATTAATAGGCAAGATGTTAAATTGTTTTTATATGCAACAACTGCGGCAAGAGTATTGTTAGCCCAGAAATGGAAACAAGAAGAAATTCAGACGAAAGAAGAATGGCAGACGAAATTAATGGACTATGCAGAATTGGACAAAATGACAGGAAGGATTCGAAACCTGCGGGACCAGAGATTTACAGAAGATTGGAAGAAGTATATGAATTATTTGAAGAGCAACTGTAATCAACAAATTACACTAGTAGGACTACAAGAAGTTTTGTAAGGAGAAATATACGAAGTGTTACAAAGTAGAAAAAGATAGAGATATTGTTTATGAGTTTGAAATGTAATAGGGAAGATAAGAAATGCATACTGAGAGATTAGACTGGAAAATTTTCAGACAGGATTGATGGAAGTAAAAAATTTGAATAAGATGTAAAAGTATGTTTAATTACTGTTGAAAATGATATGTTAAAAAAAACCTTTAAAAAAGATAGATAGATGATAGACAGACAGACAGATGATAGATAGACAGACGTTTACAAGAGTCCATTAATTATTATTATTATTATTTTATTTAAATTTTGAAGTTTTACTTTCCACTCAGTATTCTAAGCAATATGTACCATGCATAAATAAAATAATAATAATAATAATAGACCCTAACAATAAGGCAATAATCCAGAAAAAAATATGAAGCACCCATTTATTGTCTCTCCAAACAAAAACCTGTGAAGCTGAACCTTGGCTGAATGATACCTGAATCATATGATTTTTCACCAGTAACTAACCCACTGAGCTACTTTTCTGTTGTGCCCAATTAAGAGTTACCTGTAAGCTAAAAGTCTGGATGCTCTTTTATTAGCATATATCCGTCCAATTAATTGATAGCCCTGTGCCAACATTTACGGAAGCAGTGGGGAATCTCTGGCCCATGGGCACAAATCTCTGGCCACACCACACCCACAAGCCCCACACCTGACATCAGGAAAAGATGGAGTTTAAAGTTGGCTCCCAATTGTTCCTTATTGCCTGTCAAAGGCCTTTAGAATTGAACATTTCTCTTTCAGACAACAGTAATAATTCTGGAAAACTCAATCAGCACAGGGCTAAAATAATAATCGAGCCACGATTTATCATTCATTTCTGTAGTTTTGTATGGCAGAATACAACTCAGAAGCTGGTAGTAGGAGTAAGTATTGCTCTGAAAAAGGATGGAGACCCCCCTGAGAAGCACAGGCTGTTTCTCACCCCCAAATCAGCATTGTTTCCAATGAGATCATTGTTCTCCTGCCTTAAGTCAACACTCGCGTTACCCTGTTTGCCAACAGCCGCATCACTTACACAAACACAAAGGGGAAATCATGGGAGCAAGCGAGAGGGAAGCAAGCCAGGGAACCAAATAACCTGCAGCAGACAGCGAGCAGCAGATTTCTGCAGCTTTTCTCAGAAAGATGTTATCAATAAGCTCTTAAAACAGTCCTGCAAATAATTCGCAGTATCGACACAAGGCTACTTTGGCTTCTCAGAAACTAAATTTCATTTCTGATTCACACAATGACTCTGCAAAATCACTGGCATTGCTACAGGGAAGAAGTCAGTGTGTTGACAAGAGAGGCCGGCTGTAAACACACACACACACACACACATACATACACACAGTTATTTCCCATTACTAAGAGTGCAAACCACTTCTCCCATGGTATTGTCCAACTGATGTATCCTTGTGACTTATCAAATATTGCAAATCATGCAAGCTTTTACCTCCACAATAATCTTGAGGTTAAGCAGATATGATAAGGAAATTTTGTGGTCACCATGAGATCACTTTTTCTTCTAAGGAATTGGCATGTAAGCAATGTAAGGGGTCGGGCTGCAGAGCTTTACATGCAGAAGGTCTCAGGTTCAGTCCCCATCATTCCTAGGCAGGGCTGGGGAACGCTTCTGTCTGAAACCTTGGTGAGCCACAGCCAGTGCACAGACATTACCAAGGAAGACAAGCCAATGGACCGACTCAGAATAAGGCAGCTATTCTTAACATGTGGCCAGAAGGCACATGAGGCCACCAAGTCTGTTGGAAGCTAAGCAGGTCTGTGTCCGGTCAGTGTCTGGATGGGAGACCTCCTGAGACCCACATGTTGGGTTCCATGGCAATACTTCAAGGAATGCTGCTCCCGACCAAGACCCTTCAACCATCATCTGAGGCCCTTCTTCATGTGCCCTCCTCCACGAGAGTCCAGAGGGCAACAACATGAGATCAGGCCTTTTCTGTTGCGGCTCCCTGTCTGTGGAATCCTCTCCCCAGGGAAGCTCGCCTGGTGCCTTCATTACATATCTTTAGGCTCCAGGCAAAACTATTTCTCTATAAAACCAGGCCTTTGGCTGATTAACCTTCTGTGGCCTGTGGGAGCGGGGACTTATTGGTTTGTTCTTGTTTTATTATGTATTTTGTGTTCTCATTTTGTATTTTTATGTTGTGAGGCTCCCTGTGAGGGATGGAGGGCAATATACAAATTTAATAAATAAAATAAGTAAATAAGTAAATAATGAAGACAAGTATGATATAGAAGTAAGATAAATAAATAAATAGATGGCCACTTCCTTCAAGCATACAAAACTGCCTTATCAGTATATCCTACCTTTTTTTTCATTATTTACAGGTGAAACTCGAAAAATTAGAATATCGTGGAAAAGAAGAAGAGGAGGAGTTTGGATTTGGATTTGATATCCCACTTTACCACTACCCGAAGGAGTCTCAAAGAGGCTAACATTCTCCTTTCCTTTCCTCCCCCACAACAAACACTCTGTGAGGTGAGTGGGGCTGAGAGACTTCAAAGAAGTGTGACTAGCCCAAGGTCACCCAGCAGATGCATGGGGAGGAGCGGAGATGTGAACCCGGTTCACCAGATTACGAGTCTACCGCTCTTAACCACTACACCACACTGGCCCTCACATATTAGTTTCGCCTTTTAAGTTGAATTACTGAAATAAATGAACTTTTCCACGATATTCTAATTTTTTGAGTTTCACCTGTACAGTGGTACCTCGGGTTACAGACGCTTCAGGTTTCATACGCTTCAGGTTACAGACTCTGCTAACCCAGAAATAGTGCTTCAGGTTAAGAACTTTGCTTCAGGATGAGAACAGAAATTGTGCTCCGGCGGCGCGGCAGCAGCAGGAGGCCCCATTAGCTAAAGTGGTGCCTCAGATTAGGAACAGTTTCAGGTTAAGTACGGACCTCCAGAACGAATTAAGTACTCAACCCGAGGTACCACTGTATTTACTTATTTTATAGTCGGTCTGTCAGTACCTAGTCTGGACCAGTCTACTCCCTCCGTTAGAGGATGTTGCACAAAAGTCTTTCCCCAAATGCTGCTATATGACATTCCCTTTTTATTTGGGGATGCTCAGGGCTGAACCCGGAAGCTTCTGAAGCATGTATATGAAAAGACACCCAACATTTCTAGGCCAGGCATTCTCAAGTGCAAGATTATTATTAGCCTTCTTTGGTCACCATCATGAGCTTTCATGATTCCAACCGTCTGAAGAAACATCTCTCTGGTCTTATCAGCAATCACTGTTTAGACAGCTGAGGCACAATATGTTCCCTGCTGTAGCACTGACACACCGAGCGTGTGAAAACAGAGACACTAAAATACTGCTTTTGTCTGCAACACACAAGAAACCGAAAGCATGCACATGCCAACACAATGAATTCTGGGCTTTTCCACCACGTCATATCCCACAGCCAGGGCTTTCAGCCTCCTGCATCCTCTAAACCACATGACCAAATTATACCATTGCTTGAAGCACACCGAGTGGATTCAGATGGTGTTGTTTTTACCCATCACACAACAGCAATCTCATGCGAATGAGTTCTTTAACACGTCCTGGACACCTGTGGCATCATAGTTTGAGCAAGCCTCGTGCTTTAAGGTAGACAAAAGAGGCTAATTGAGAGCTTCCCAGTTCCACCAGCATCACACCAAGAGGTCCCAGCAAAAATCGCCACTCAATGACTGTGTTCACTCGAGTAGCAGCCCCAGTCATCGAAAACATTTGGCATTTACATAATACATTTTGAGTACTCAAATCACTGCTCAGTAATCCTTACAAAAGCCAAATAAGAACTTAAGAACATAAGAAGAGGCCTGTTCGATCAGACCATCTGGTTCATCTAGCTTGCACCTTGTTTCCAGCAGGGACTAGCAAATGCCTCTGGGAAACTCGCAAGCAGGGCTTGAAGGCAACACTTGTTCTCCTTGTAAGCCCAGCTTCTAGTATACGGCCTCTGAACATGGACATTCCCAATTAGCTATTCAGGACACAGAACTGCTGATATACCGTATTTTTTGCTCTATAAGACTCACTTTTTCCCTCCTAAAAAGTAAGGGGAAATGTGTGTGCGTCTTATGGAGCAAATGCAGGCTGCGCAGCTATCCCAGAAGCCAGAACAGCAAGAAGGATTGCTGCTTTCACTGCGCAGCGGTCCCTCTTGCTGTTCTGGCTTCTGAGAGTCAGAATATTTTTTTTCTTGTTTTCCTCCTCCAAAAACTAGGTGCGTCTTGTGGTCTGGTGCATCTTATAGAGCGAAAAATACGGTAACTATCCTCTTGAATTTGTCTGTTCTCCTTTCAAAGCTGTTTTAGCTAGCAGCCAGTACCATCCTGTGGCACCCTGCGTTCCATAAATTGATACCGCATTTTCTGAAATAGCACTTCATTTTTGGCTGTTCTGAGCCTATTGCTGCTCAACGTATAAGAGGGAAAAGTTAGTCTTTAACCACTTTCTCCATGTTGTTCTTAATAGTTACAAAAAAATTCCCCTTTAATCCTGTATTTTGTAGACTAAAAAGCTTCAGATCCTTTCAACTCTCCTCACGGCGAAAAGATCTCCAAACTCCAGATAGAAGTATTTGTTCTTTCCTGTAGGTTTCCCATTGCTGCAAGATGTTGCACTGTTCCTCACCAGGGGAGCCATCTCACCCTCAGGTAACATGGTACCCACCCGCCGTAACATGGACGTGTGATGTCACATGCACTCTCCTGCAGGTGTGTGTTTGTGTGTGATGTTGCACATCCGAGTTGCGGCGATGGCTCCTCTTCCTCCTCCTTTCCACATCCAGTGAGACACCCTTCTCTTTTTTCTTCGTTTTTTATTTTTACTTTTCAAATGTATACATTTTCACTAGTTTTACAATCAATTTAACATTTAAAAATCTGACTTCCTTCCCCCTCATTGTTTTTTAATATCTTCTGCATATCCAAATTCATTTAGCTTGTTCATTTAATTATCTATTGTAAATATATATTCTTGTTAAACTGCAGTTTATTACAAGAATCCTGCTAAATGTTTTTTATCTCTTTGCAATTTATCTGTAAATATTCAATAAACCAGTTCCATTCTTTTATAAAAAGTTTGTTATCTTGATTTCTTATTCTTCCGGCAAGTTTCGCCATTTCTGCATATTCCATATGGTTTTGTATCCATTCTTCTTTGCTGGGCTTCTGCTTCTTTCCACTTTTGGGGCAGGGAGGGGCTTAAACTCTGAGGCAGAGAGACCCTGTTTCCTTGTCCAAGCCACCCCCCACAAGGGTGACTCGCTTGATGGCCGAGGAGGGCAGAGCAGAACGGCTTCTCTTTCAGAGGCAGCGCAGCAGAGGCTGCCTGCCTTTCTTTGACTTTGTGTGTGCCCCCCCAATGATATTATTGTGGGTGCCCAAGCACCTACAGCCCCCTGGAGTTGGCTCCTACGCAGAGCCGTCTTTCCCATTGGGTTTAGTGGTGTCTTGCGCCAGGGTGCCGGCCTCTCAGGGTGCCCCAGTGAATGGGGGAGCTGTGTGGCTTCGCTGGCGGCCTCCCCTTTCCGTGCAGGCCTCCCAGCTTGCCTCCCAAGCCTCTGCGGGAGGAGAGTGATCCCCTCAGAGGCTTGGGAAAAGGTTGACAACTCTGGGAAACAGGGTGTGTGTGTGTGTGTGTGGTGGAGGGATCTTTGCACCACGGCGCCAGATATGCTTAAGACGGCCCTGCTCCTACGCTGCTCACATATTCCTAATGTGGCCGCAGCAAAGACTTACATAAAAGCATTATGAGGCCGGCACTTAACTTTCAGTGCCTTTCCAAGAAATTTGAAACGCAAGAGTATTTCCTATCACTGCACGCTGAGTTGATGCCTCCGGCAAGGTGTTTACCACAACCTCAAGGCACATTTCCTGTACACTCACAGGACCCCGTCAGGGTGCACAGGTAACGCTGCAAATTGTTTATGACTCAGTGTTTTGGGCCCTTTGTTACCTGACTATCCTCTTTGCCGTTTTTGCTGTCAAACCGCAAAGTTTGGACAGATCCTTTGTCCGTTTTCCCCATAGACAGCTTCGGGTTTCACCCTTATGAATGAACTGGCATCATCCACACACTTCACTGCTCCAAATGGTTCATGAAGAAGCAAAACAGCAGCAGTCCCAATGCATCTTTGGGGAAACACCAGTGCTTATTTCCCTCCATTATGGAAACGGTCAATTCACTCCCATTCTCTGCTTTCTACTGACCACACAAAAGCAGGAGCTTGCGATGAAAACCTTACAGTGTTTAAAGAGGTTTAAAGACTGTCTCAAGGCAAATCCAAAAAAATGTAGTATAAACACTGACAACTGGGAAACACTGCCCTGTGAGCACTCCAGTTGGAGAACAGCCTTTACCAAAAGTATCATGGGCTTTGAAGACACTTGAACTCAGGACGCAAGGAAGAAACATGCTAGGAGGAAGACACGCTTGGCAAATCCACACCATGATCAACTCCCGCCCGGAAACCAATGTCCCCACTGTGGAAGGATGTGTGGATCCAGAATTGGCCTCCACAGTCACTTATGGACTCATTGATAAGACCGTGTTTATGGAAGGCAATCTTACTCGGCTACGAGTGATCGCTAAAGAAGACAGTATTTATATATTCTTGTCTTTATTGCATTTCTGTCCTCCGCACATCCTTTTCCTCCGTGGACTATACATAGGATTCTTTTTTTAGGGAAGGGCCATAGCTTAGTGGTAGAGCTTGGCTGCAGAAGTTCACAGCTTCAATTCCCAGCATCTCCACATAAAATTGGGAGAGAACCGTGCCTGAAACCTGGATAACTGTTGCCAGTCAGTGAAGACAATACTGAGATAGATGGACTCATGGTGAGTACCGATCACTTACCCAGGCCCAGAGACGCTGCCTTTGGTTGCTTCCGACCATGCCCTAAACAAGTGACAGCTAACATCATAACTATTGCTAAATCAATGCTTCTGGCTTGCACAACAGAGCCAACACAAGGCCAGCCCCCACCCCCAATGTTGCATGCAATGTCATGAGTGACTGGAAAAAGGATAAAAATATTTCAGAGTTTCTCAAACTGTTTTCAGACTACAACACCCATCATCCATAGCTAGCAGGGCCAGTAGTCAGGGATGATAGGAACTGTTGTCTGAAAGCAGCTTGAGACTCAAGTTTGGGAAACACCGTTTCAGAGGAAGGTTATCTTAAGCTGCCATGCAATGCTTTTAAAGCTACTCAAAGGCGGTGGCAGAGAACCGGGTCTAATATTTCACTCATCCGGAGGGGAAATCAGTCTGTATTTTCATGCGCTGCTCCCAGTTCCTAAAAGCACACTTAGGACTTGACCACAATTGCTGTGCGAATAAAAGCACCGCCCTGCCACAGTCCCATTCAGCAGTGCAGTTCGGTGGTGAGGAGGTGGAGGAGGAGGTCTTAAAAATAGTCTGGGGAAACCTCTTTCAATGGCTGGCATGGCCCAGGGTTACCCGTAGCAACCCACGAGGAATTCCAGGCTGAATGGCATTGTGAGAGCGCAGCTCAGCTTTGCCTCTCTCTGTGTGTTCTCCGAACTCCCGGTGGGGGCAGGGAAAAGGCAGGAAAATGAGCACAGCCCACCCCCACCCGTGACACACAGCACAGGGCTATAGGTCAACGCACACATGCACTCCATGGGAAGGGGTCCTACCTATTGTTATACTATGCACCTTGCACGCAGCTGACCGCAAATACACACTCTGGCTCTGCACACACAAAACGCAAGACAAAAAAGAAGCATTTTCTTACTATTCTATATAGGTGTTTGTGTTTGTTTGTGTGTGTGTGTGTGTGTGTGTGTACACACCTATGGACGCGCTCCTGTTCAGAGCACCTAACCCACCTTGAATCTCTTGTTCTCTACCCCAAAATTATTATCCTGGGTGAAATATGATCGGTTTGTACATTGCATATGCACATTTTCCTGTATGCACACCCAACGTCCACCCCCTTCGCCTGGCCTACTAAGGCACACATGTCAATCCATCACCTGTGCACCTGCTTTCCAACCAAGCAGCTACCAGGGGCGGGATCGCACCTGCCTCCCAGCGTACCTTCCCGTACGTGTACCTAACATCCCAGGTGGTCTCCGCACCCACCTACCCGGTGGGTATACAAGCCTAGGGTGGCTGGCTTTCGCCCATACATCCGGGAGGGGGGGCTTAACTAGGGCGGCTGCGTAGAACCTGCCTGTGCGTACAATCCGCGCAGGTGTCGCCCCCCCCCCGCAAAAAAAGCAAAACACAAAACCCTGGACGCATGCAGATCCCGGGGACGCCTTGTCTATGGGCGCACCCATTGTGCGCGCTGGCTCTCCATGCACCAGGCAGGCCTAGCGGCTCCAGCGCCCAGCTGCTGGCTGGCATTGTTTGCTTCCCGCAGCTCCGGCGAGGGGAAAAACCTTTTGCACGGCTGGAGCGGAGCCTTTTTGCCCGAGGCTCACCGCACACCTTCTGCTGCTGCTGCTTATGCGCAGCAAAGCAGCCCCCCTTTCCGGAGCAGCCTCCACCTACCATACGGAGCCGTACGCCCCCGAGCCCACCGGGGTCAGGTGCTGGTAGCGCTGGGGCACCTCCCACACCGTCTTGTTCAGCTCCTGCTTGTAGAAGCCGCCTCGCTCGGACATTTTCCCCCAGCCGGCAGCAGCGCCGGCAGCAGCAGCAGCAGCAGAGGCAGAGGCGGAGACCCAGCCAGGCAGCTCCAGCTGGAAGTTGCAGAGCCAGCTAGCCAGCCAGCCAGGAAGCCACCGCCGGCAGGGAGGAGGCGGTTAGGGGGAGGGGAAAAGGGAGGAGGAGGAGGAGGGACAGGATGAATGAAGTCGAGGGAAAGGGAGAAGGAGCCGAGGGGCGGGATCTCCCCTCGAAAAGCGGGCCCCCGGCTGATCAGAACGAGCTGCCGGCCCCTAGCATTGTAACTAAAGGTTGGTGGAAGGGAACTCCGGCCATGAAAGTAGATGTGCTGGCGCGCCTTAGGCCAGGAAGCCCCAGGTGGACCGCCAGGTAGTGCTGCGACTGGAACCTCTTGGAAGGGACAAGCTATAGCTTAGGGACCCACTCTCTTCGGGCCCCCCCCAAAAAAAATTAAAGGAAAAAAAATGGATGTACATTTCCAAAATAGAAGATGAAAAGCAAATAAAATAAAACCTACATACAGCAACAGTGTTTTGTGTTGCGTAGGCTCCTATGATGTAAGTAATGGGCCCCGCCTGCTAGCCTGCTCCCTAAAATACCACTGGTTTGCTTATTTTTATATACAGTGGTACCTCGGGTTAAGTACTTAATTCGTTCCGGAGGTCCGTTCTTAACCTGAAACTGTTCTTAACCTGAAGACCACTTTAGCTAATGGGGCCTCCTGCTGCCGCCGCGCCGCCAGAGCCTGATTTCTGTTCTTAACCTGAAGCCAAATTCTTAATCTGAAGCACTATTTCTGGGTTAGCGGAGTCTGTAAACTGAAGCGTATGTAACCTGAGGTACTACTGTATAGGGTGCCTACATTCTGCATGGACTTTGCATTCTGCATGGACTTTTCAACAATTACTTTGATAAAATACATGTTTTGTTATGTGCAAATGGCTTTAGATACCTATTAGGTCCATAAGTTACCACATAGCATACATTCAACACAAAAAACAGCAACAATTTGTTGTTGACAAAGGCATAGCTGTCAACATTTCCCTTTTTTAAGGGAAATTCCCCTATTTTGAATAGGATTCTTTGCAAGAAAAGGGAAAAGTTGACAGCTATGGACAAAGGACAGCTGGACATATAAAGGGCCCCGTTACCTTCAGTAGCTTAGGGCCTCATCAAACCTAAATCTGGCCCTACAGCAGGGTCATATAGTTCCTTCTTCTTCTTTGGCGATCCCTCGTAGCCAAGTAAGATTGTCTTCCATAAACACCGTTTTAACAGTGAGTCTGTAAGTGACTGTGGAGGCCAGTTCTGGATCCACACGTCCTTCCACAGTGGGGACATAGGTTTCCGGGAGTTGATCGCGGTGAGGATTTGCCAAGCGTGCCTTCCTCTTAGCGCATTTCTCTCTTTCGTCCTGAGTTCGAGCGTCTTCAAAGCCCATGGCACCTTTGGTGAAGGCTGTTCTCCAATTGGAGCACTTGCAGGCCAGTGTTTCCCAGTACATTTTTTTAAAGATTTGCCTTGAGAGAGTCTTTAAACCTCTTTTGTTGACCACCAGCATTACACTTTCCATTTTTAAGTTTGGAATAGAGTAGTTGCTTTGGAAGATGATAATCAGGGATCTGAACAACATGACCAGTTCAACTAAGTTGATGTTGAAGAATCATTGCTTCTACACTGGTGATCTTTGCTTTTTCTAGAACACTGGCATTAGTTCGCCTGTCTTCCCAAGTGAGGGTAAAATTTTCCGGAGACACCGTGGATGGAATCTTTCGAGGAGTTGGAGATGCCGTTTGTAAGTGGTCCATGTTTCATAAGCATACAGTAAGGTTGGTAGTATAATAGCTTTGTAAACAAGCATTTTGGTTTCCCTGCGGTGCAGGAATTTTTGCCCAACGTGGCGCTCAAACTCACGACGCTGAGAGTTTCATACTATCCTGTAACACCCATCATCTGTTACCATTGGCCCCACTGGCTGGGGCTGATGGGAGCTGAAGTCTTTGACAACATCTGGAGGTCCCCCAGCCCTGTTCTGCAAATTGAATTGTCCTTCTGGAAAATCGGGATGGGGATGATGACACACATAGCACCAGCCCCCTAACCTGTTCTTAATTCCATAATCATGAAGGCATATAGTCTATGAACTAGCACCTATCATTGCCTTTGGCTAATTAATTAAATCTATGGCCTTTAACTGGGAGAGGGTAATGTTTTTGTTTCTTACTATGTCATGCATTTTTATGTTTTTTATTGTAAACCGCCCTGTGATCCTTGGATGAAGGGAGGTATAGAAATTTAAATAATAATACTAGAATTGAATAATATACCAGAAAAAAACAAGCACCCCCTAGCTTTTCGGATTGTCAATGCCACGTAAAAGCAGAGTTGAGGCCCATCAATTCTGGTTTCCTAGTGACTTCCCTAAAGTCATAACCTTTTTTGCAGGCACCTTGGCTTTCAGCAGCAACTATTGCTGTTTACATATTTTCCTCTAGAGGGGATTAAAATGGCTTGGAATACTAACGAACACAACACCCCAGAGAACATTTCCAAATTAATTATGCCAATATTTTCCACTGTCTTGTTTTATGGTGCCTTGCCATAATTGTGGATAACAAAGCCAGTGCTGTCAATGCGATGTTCAAAGTTTCTCCCCCAGGTAGAACTGTGTTTTGTCTAGAATAGCTTCAAGCAAAACTTGAACAGCCACCTTTAATTTATGCGAGTCTGAGGTCAAATTGTAGTCTGGAGAAACAAATGAATTATAAATACGGGAGACCAAAGGCCACCAGTGTTTCCTCCTTGGCAGTGATTGAGTGGAGAAGGACACATCATCTTGCTATGCCCCTCTTCTGAACATTCTGAATTTACCCAGCTGGGTGGTTTTCGTCTCCATGTTCTGTGCATCAAATAGCCAAATATTTTGAATCTGATAATGCCTGTGTGAACAAAGTTTCTGCTGAAAGAGTACTGGATAGTAGTTTTCCAGGGAAGCCAATGAATCCTCAGTGACTTATTTGAATGAGTGTGTGCAGTTCCAATTATAGAAGATCAGCATGACTGCGTCAACAATATACCTACAAAGTGCATTCTGTCATTCTAAGAATTCTGGGCAATGTAGTTACAATTCCCAGAAACCCTTAACAAACTAGCGCCCACAATTCTGTTCCTTATGATTAGTCGGAATCTCCTTGCAACTTGAATCCATTGGTTCTGGTCCTAGTCTCTGGAGCTGGAGAAAACAAGGCTCCTCCATCTTCCATTGGACAGCCTTTCAGATGTTAGAAGATGGCCATCACATTTTCTTTCAGTCTACCAGGCTAAACTTACCCAGCTCCTTCAACCATTCTTCATAAGGCTTGATTTCCAGACCCTCCTCTGCACATGTTTCAACTTGTCTATATCCTCCTCATTGTGGTGCCCAGGACTGGACACAGTACTCTAGGTGTGGTCATACCAAGGCAGAATAGAACAGGATTATTACTTCTCTTGATCCGGAAACTATACTTGTCACTTTTTTCCAGGATGATGAGGAACCATTAGTGAACAGACAGTTGATATTTGTGTTGAAGGCAGCTGAAGTGAAGATGTACCCATGGTTTGTATCCCTTGCTTAACAGCCAAAGGTTAGCTGCTTCTAACTCGTCTCCTACAAAGGAAGATGCTAAGAAGCTAGTTGTGCTCTCTCCCCAGCCCTTGTAAGTAGCAATTTTCAGTGTTGCTTGGTGCATGGTGAAGACAAATGCTTTTGGAACTGAAAAAGCAAGCAAATCGTAACCCAGGTACTTAAAAGATTGTTTGCAAGCACATGTGTTGCGCATTTGGTGGTTTCCTGTTTTAGGAGGCGACCCATTTCGCTTTCGTGAAGAAAGTTGTGCATTGTTATACACCACAAGATAGCAGTCTTTTCCTGGGAAACAAATTCACAGTACTGCAGTTCATGTGTTTATTGCATTAACATATTATACCCGTTCCAGATACAGAGTTTTTCAGCCTTGCTTCTGTACGTGGATGGTTTCCACTGGATAATTTTTCAGGTGTCAAGTGCACAGACTTGTTGCACTGAGACCTGAACTTAACCTTGGCTGGATGGTGCTCAGACATAACAGTTGGCCATCTTGCAGGACTATGTTACGTGAATGTAGTTTGCATGTTGGGGAAATGCTGTAACATGCACAGATGTTCTTTGATTAATCATTCTCTTTAACGTGGCAAGTCATTGTAGTCCCCATTTAACAGATCATTAAGTTGTAGTGTTCTGATGAGAACAGTGTTCCTTTGCATTTATTTAGTTATCAACCTAATTTATGTTCACACACGACAGATACTGTTGGTAGGTAATGGTGGCGTTCCATCTGTTCCGGATATAACTGCACTTTCTTCTAATGCATCAAGATTGTAGCCTGGGGATTCTGTTATAGATTTGGCCCTTATTGTAGAGGCCCAAGCGGCTTCCATGGCACAAAGTGCCATTCAACAGCTTAGCTTGGTGTGCCAGATGCAACGTCTCCTAAGCAAAGACAGACTTGCAAAAGTTATGCGTGTCTTGGTAAAAGCTGGTCTTGATTGCTGTGATCTATTACATATAACACCAGTCCTGAAATACCTACATTGGCTCCCAACACGTTTCTGAGCACAATTCAAAATGTTGGTGCTGACCTTTAAAGCCCTAAACGGCCTTGGTCCAGTATACCTGAAGGAGCGTCTCCACCCCCATTGTTCAGCCCGGACACTGAGGTCCAGCTCCAAGGGCTTTCTGGCAGTTCCCTCACTGTGAGAAGTGAGGTTACAGGGAACCAGGCAGAGGGCCTTCTCAGTAGTGGTGTCCACCCTGTGGAAAGCCCTCCCATCAGATGTCAAGGAAATAAACAACTATCTGACCCTTAGAAGACATCTGAAATATTTAAATATTCTGTCAGGAGCCACCCAGAGTGGTTGGGGAAACCCAGCCAGATGGGTGGGTGTAAATCATAAATTATTATTATTATTATTTGCTACCCCTGTTTCAGAACCGTCCTGCTTCCGAGGTGAGGTAAATGGCAACCAGGTGGAGGAGGTGATGATATGGGGTGTCTGCCAGGGACTATCAGTGGGTGCACATTCTTTTAAATATTAGGTGGCAGATTA